ACATTACTCCTGTACAATAATCACTTTCAATTGGCACCGTAGCGCGAGTACACAATTAATGGGACACCAACTAACGAGTGAAAGACGCTTAGGCTACCTGTGGATTTCTCAGTCCAATAGATGGAATTATAGGTTTAAGGGATCGTGTCATGCATCTCTAAGATAGACCCTTTGCGTTGCAGCCATGTTAAAGGTACGTGTTTTCTTTTCTCGTGCATGCGCATGGAACACCTAAAAACAATACAATATGGGGGAGGGGGATGTGAGGGGGGTCTATGATAGCGGAAATTAATAATGGCGCCTCGTATTACCTCTGAGGGAAAGCTACAGAAAGGCTCAGCGTCTCTAAATTCCAAAGAGTGAAAATTCACTCCATTCGAGTGAAGATTCACTCCTACAGTCGGAACTAGGGACTAGACGTTTTAGAGTGAAATTCCTTCAATCGTAAAGATCGAGTTTTCACTCGAGCTTCGTCTGAAGTGGTTCTTTTTCAGACTTTTTCACTCTAAAACGTCTAGTCCCTAATTTCCCTTTTTGAATTTAGAGAGTATTACAGAATTGTGGCCCTCCATGCGGTAAATAGCAAGCGTTGTAATAGTTGTCCCTGAGCTTAAATAATGTCACTTTCATCAGTGACTAGATCTGAGCGAGGTTTTTAAACTTAAGAACACTTGACTCTCGATCGATAAACACGACTGGAAGCCGAGGCTACAACCCTCGCTCAGGTCAGATTGGGCTAATTAACAGCCACTTTGCCTCGCTGGTACCCGGCCAAATTAAATCCCGAGGTCAAAACTGTCATTGTTCACGTTAATACCAAAAACGACACACAGCACCGACGATTATTGGCAAACTGTAATGATGAATTTTGATATTTTGGCTCGGCCGAACGTCATTGGGGTTAGGGGATTGCTGTCTCCACTTACCAACCCCCGCGTCACGAGACACGATTAGCTGGCTCGAAATCAGATAAATCACGCGGTATAAAACTGTCCGTGAAATCAACAACATAATCAGTCAAGGGGGATATCAGTGAGATGCGTGGAGTGGTGGGGCTGTTTATGCGGATCCTCGTTTATACTATTGCTTTGTTCACGGTCTTTGCTTCCACGTAAGAGGGGTCGTGTCGAGGTTACCATCACCCTTAAACTTACATTCATCAGCAACCAATCGAGTTGTGTTAAGCAAAAATTATATGCTATGGGAAGTGTCTATAAAAGTAAAAATAGCTTGAGGAGGGTCAGTTTGTTATGACGTCACACAAAAACCATCTAGTCCTGTTACAAAATACATTTGCTACTGCCTGACTCTTATATGTACATCCTTTTTTGATAAACTCAAAGAATTATTTCTCTGACACACTCATGCAGTGGTGTAGACAATCCTTATGCCATAAGAGTCTGTATCTACAACCGCACATTTCATGTTTATTGCGAGAGTAACAATAACGGATTGGATATCAAAATGCAGTTTTTCTTAATTATTTAGTATGAGATGTATATTGCCATAGAGTGGCAATATTGTTGTTACTCGTAATTTGGGACCTTTTTTCCCCTCTGGGCGTCATCGGCCAAGGCGGGCTTATTAAAGTCCACGACCGTACCAATGGTTAATCCCCACAGCTTAAGACTTCTTGGTGAGGCTGATGCGGTGATGCATCGCACGACCAATTTAAGCTGACTGGCCTTAGCAATTAAGTGCCAAGTCTTGACTATTGGCTGCCGTAGTTTTTCTTTCCTTGTTCTATTAGTACTGCATCCCTGTGGATTTTTGATTGATTTGAAATACATAAAGGTCGTTGTGAGAAATAAAGAAAAATAAAAAAAAACACTAAAATTGTACAGCGCCTGATTTTAAACCAAAGCATTAGAGTCTATGAAGCCTGTGCCTATACAGCGCAAAGCCTTGTATGCTTGAACCAGTTCATAATTCAGATGTTTAGTCTTCGATGTTCAGGCTTTTTTAATACTAGGTTACCCATAGCATTGTTTCCTGCAGCCAAAAAAAAGTCTATACTAAAATGCCGAATGCGATTGCGACAACACCTATTTTAAAAGGTATGATTATACTGATGCAAACTAAACTACAGTGTATTTGACTGAACTAAAATAGCTCCATGGCTGAACTGAAGGCGGTTTTGTTTATCAGACGCAAGATAAAAATACACTTGCTTTCTAGCTGCATGCGCATAACAGAAAAAAAAACTATCAAAACGGAGCGGCTCCGGCTGAGGTAACTATCGACTATTTTTGATTGCCTCACCATTTTTAATTAGTCCCTCACCCAATGCCAATTAGGGCTTCACGGCAGCAGGCGAGCACTAGCTGGTCGCGCTGTAAACGGCCAAACGACGTTCGGGGTCGGTGGGATCAAGCGCGGCCGGTGCGCCGTTTGGCACGGCCATCGATTCAGATCACTGCGGGGTAAATTACGGCTAATTGCGGGGCCCCTCAAGACTATCGATTGCTAGTCGATAAAATGCTCTTAATTAGAACATACTTATATGTCTAGACTGGATGCAGTAATTTAATACCTTATTAGAGACTTCTATGAATTTAGTAGCATGCATGCCCCTATTTTAACGTTGAGTAACCACTATGAATAAAAACATATAAAGGCAGTTTTATCCAAAATTATTCTCAAGAAAACATGATTGCCAAACACTAAGAATTGACAGGAAAATAGCATGCCTACACTGCCTGGTAAAATGCATACAAATGCACACATCATTGCAGCTATAGAAAGTTTCTTTCAAAATTCAATGCCATGCATTGTTTCCATTGAATACGTAGGCCCTATACAACAATATTTACCCTCAATTCCCGCTCCCCATCAGTTCCGCGTTGTAAACAATTAAAGCGTGTCCTACATTGCAAGAAAGTGCCGTTTCACCTATTTTCACGCAGACTGTGAGGACAATTCGCACGTTCCCACCGCCCTAAATCCAAGGGCGGTTGTGACCTCTAATTTCTTTGCGCTCCCATTAATGGACTTATATAAAACTAGTGAGTAAGGGTCAACACTTCCTAGCGAGAAAAAAAGTGACAAAGGGGGAAAAAAACTAACAGTTAACTTGCCCCAAAGATTGGATCTTAAAGTTGTCGTGTGGATTGTTGCTATTAGACCAACAAACGACAGATATCACCGACGATAGACGCACGCTCTCCCCCGTCAAATCCCTGCCGCGCCAGGCACCGTTGACAGGGCTCGGCCTCGTGCTGTATGTACTTCTTCATATAATACCGCGCTCTTTGCAAATTGAGCGGTGTGAAAATTCCCCTGACGATTAGAGACCGCTGCGCGATCCGTGGCTGATGGGGAAGCTAATCCCCAGCCTTTCGTCAGAACGTTCAAAAGTAGTTCTTAAATGCACCGCAAAATCCAGAAGGTTTGGTTCGAAGAAATCTGATGTTTCTCCTCTCTTTATGTGTGTACATTCTCCGTGTTTGTCTGAAGCTGTCGACTCTCTCAACACGCCGACCCCTCCCGCCCTTATCGTGAAAGTACACTTTCCCTTATCGACAATATCCGTTGTAGTCATCTTTAAGGTGCGTACGTTTCTTTCAATAGGTACGCCGTAAAGCCTAGTGTTTAACTTTTGAACACATTAGCAACGCCTTTTGGCAACAGTTCAAAATCGTTTATAAGGGAGGGGGGGGGGGCAGTACAAGGCCTAGGCTCAATTTGAGTTGGATTCATTGGGCACGTATCCATGTACCAAAAACAAAGCCTCAAACAGCCGGATGAAGTTTTGCAACTGCTAGTAAATGAAATTTAACTTTCAGTAAAACAAATAGCAAACATTCCGATTACATTGTAAACGTCTCGTGAACGGTTCTCCTTAGGAACCTTAAACGCCTTGTGATAAACTTATAAACGTTCGTGAAAGGTTCGGTTTAGGAACACTCAACATCGTGTTTAACTTATAAACGCTTATGTTTTTACAGTGTTTAAAGGTCTGTTTACGAAGCTTTAATAAGTTAAACGCGGTGTTTAGTGTTCTCACATAGAACCGGTTTTACAGTGCGTGCATACCACCTGCGTTCACTACTTAAAATATAGTTAAAAACCCTTTAAGATGGTTGCTGAATGCAACGAGTTTAAAACAATGTTTTAAATTAATTGAAAGTTCATATTATTTAAAAAAAAAAAATAAAAAAAAAATTACGTCACACCCTCTATGTCCCTGGACTGGGCATGCAGGAGTGCAAGCGTCTATTTGGTAACACAAGTATCCAGTAGTTCCATGTTGTCCGTCACACGTCTTATATTTCTGTCCTCTGTCGTATCAGGTTGCTGAGCCTCATTGTATAAAAAGGTTCGCGTGTGGAGAAATGTTTATCACTTTTTGGGCGAGGTCCTTTCAGTGAGTAACCTGTATATTTGCCACATATTGGAGCATATCCATCTAGTAATAACTATTTCAGCATATCCATCTAGTAATAACTATTCAGTGGCTTTTCGTGTCGCTTGAAAATGCACAATGTCATACACATCATAAGTGCAGGTTTTGTGTCCAAATGCTTACTGTATCACACTGTTTGCCTAATACTTCCAGTGCACTTTCCCTTGCAGCTGTTTTTTGTTGTTGCGCGTAACCCCCCCCCCCCCCATGCACCTTTCCAGGATCCAATAAATGTTTCTTTTCTACAAAAAGTATCTTTCAATTCTGTCTGACGTACATGGGGTGGAGGTGTGGGCTGATCCTACCCTCTCTACGATAACCAATGACAAAGAGCGCCCTCTATAAGAAGAGATACAATTAGCAAGGGGCATTTTAAATGCTGGAAAATTTCAAATGTACTCCGAGCTATTTTCGTGGGGGGTGGGGGGTTCACCCCGAAAAATAAAATTTAAATTGTTTTAATTGCCATTTGTCTAGCATTACAAAGATATTCACTTGTGAATGTGACATCGAACGAAAAAGATCTGCCCATTGGATAATAACTCTACACATTTTAGAATTACCACATGTATAGCCCCAACATACTTCAGCTCGCAGGGTATATACACTGGTTCCACCCCGCCTTTTAGCATCAAGTATAAGGAGTCCACTCGTAAGGCGGATATGTTTTATATTTGTACGCAGATGGCAACACAAATTAAAAGCCTTATTACAGAAATGTACCATACAAGATTTAAACCGTTTATCATATTTCCAAGCTCCGCTTTTCACCGCAGATCCCTGGGTGCCGCATTTTCATCCAGCCTTCGCCCCTTCATATGTTTGATATACAGGAACATAAAAATATTTCTTATGAAACAGGTTTGTTTTTTAAGGTTTCAAAAATTAAAGATTATCAAAATTAATGGTTCTGGTGCCTTGGAGATACAAGCTGAACCCGGAGACGAGGCCTGAGATTGAGAACTGACCAAAGTCATCTAGGGATCTTTTTTTATCTTATTGGCTGTTGATGCATTCGGTTGGCTGGTCTGCGCAGGCGTCAACCTCGTCCTCGTAAGCAGATGTGCAGATGTCTCTGTCGTCGTCCAGGTTCTTGTAGCCGTTTTCCTTTGGCTGGAAAATGTGAAGAATCCTGGGAAGAAAGTTGATAGAAAGAGAATACTTTCAATTTACCATGAGCTGTGGTAGGGAGCGCTGTAGCGATTATCCACTATGAAATCAGAAGGGTTTGTAATGAACCCTTCGATACAAAACTGGCACTAGATATTTGTGTCTTTTATAAGAATAGTGCATAGTAAAATTGAACCTGTCAATACTAAACGAAGAACCAATGACAAGTATCTTTGACAAGTATTTCTGCACTAAGTTTGCTTTGCGACTCGTAATAAAGCTTCAACCATTATGGGCCTATGTCTAGATGTGAGTCCAGTTGACGCAATATCTTGTATAGTTGTGTTACCATCTTCCAACACTAGACCACGACAAATGCCCGAAATGAAGCATCTAATAAATATTGCATCCAAACCATGTCATAAATATATTATTTCAATCACCTAATATGTTTCACGCTTGCTCATTATGTGATTGAATCTACTTGGCTGCAGAAGAAAAAATACAGCCGCCTCTGAACTTCTCGTCTCGAGTTTTTGTTTGGACTTTTCAACAATACAACTACGTTGGAAAGTACTGACAGAAGACATAGCCATTGCCCAAGTCGTACACGGCTTGAGACTGAAACATTTTGTTTTTATAATTGTCTAAGCGTATAACGGATACGATATGGATATCTACTACGGCGAATCAACGTCAAAAAGCCGAGGACACAAAACAGTCCCTGGAGATTAATTCAGGCGATACCAGACTGTTCGGATAGGGATTCCTTGTCTTCGAGTTTGACTCATCACAGTTATTGGAAAAAAAATGACAAAAACGTCCGAAGGTTCTTAACCAAAAAGATGTTAAACTATGGAATCCTGCCGTTGATGTTCTACAGTCGTGACGCATATCGTTGTGGCTGAGTAGTTTTTATATTCAAGGTGGCGTCACTGTGGCTCGTTCCCTGTAGTTTGCGCGTACCGGGGTCCGCCCCGAACGTTATGCCTCAGTGAGATCGATAATGAAATGATATCTTCAATCACGGGCTTTGTTAGCCGACCATGATCAATATGAGGTGATTGAAAAAACGGGCGATTTAGCTAACGCAGATATACAGGTACAGCCTAAGGTTTCTCATTTTTGACACAGGATCGAATTATGGCCAAAAAATGACTAAATCGCTAGCGAGCTTTTTCTTTGTACCTTACTTGTACTGAAGGACTCAATAGAGTCATTTAAAGAATCCATTGATATGTTGATATTAGGGTTGGTTGGGGGCAGTGGCGTACGAAGGATTTTTTCAAGGGGGGTGTTTCAAAATTGGATGTCGTCATTTATGACGCTAGAAATGAAGATGGTAAATTGTGTTGGCGCCAGAAATAAAAAATAGTATCAGTGGGCTAAACTTTACGCTTAAATAAAAGTCAGGAGTTTGTGTTGGCGCCAGAAATAAAAGAGGGTATATTTGGACGGGTTAAACTCGAAGGGCCGGGAACCCACGACCATCAGTTATCTTTTTGAGCTAAAGCATAGTAAATCGGGAAAAAAAATGTTCTGTGTCTTTAGAGTATGATGAACATATGAGTAAAGGGGTCAATGTGGGCAGTCCCCTCCCTCAACAGCATTTAAACCGAAAAAAGAAGAAATTCAAGAAAAAAAGTGACACGGGCTGCGGAAGTGCTAGGATCTGTTCTTGTTATTGTCTAAAATCACTCAGCTTCGTCCCCTGGATCTCATGATTCTCATCCGTTGGGAATCTTTGTGTAAACCGCCCCCACCCCTAAGGCCAAACTTCAGATACAGGATACATATGCGCTCTGGTCACAGGAGCGGATTCAGACTGCCATTTGCCGGGGGGCCTAGAATTATTGTAATGAAGGGTCCAGGACCTGCGAAGCCCTTACGGCGTGGGGTCCGGGGCCCGCTTAAGGGCCCCGGGAAAAAATGGGATTTTAGATGCTCTGTGGTGCAATCTGAGGCGATTCCTGGCCACTTCCACCGTTTAGAAAACGTTTTAAACATCGAAAATTCCATTTAAATTTGTTATGTTTTTTTTGTTGTTTATAAAGTTTGTTACGTACTCAAAGTTGTGAACCATGTTCCATCTCCGTATTTTTTCACAATTTTCTATTTTGGAAAGGGATTTATGCCACTTAAGGTACAAAATGGTGGGGGCACCGCTAGGGTGAAATTATAGCATAGAGGGAATTTGAATCCCGGGACATACCGTTATTTCGTTTTACCGTTTTGGATTTCCTCAAAAACAAAAACAGTAAACGAATCATCGACCGTTTTGTCGTTTTATAGTGTTATAAGACGACAAGCGGTATTAAGATAAATACGGTTTCTCCGTTTTATAAGTTTAGTAAAATTCATTATAGCATAACGATCAATGATTTTTGTTTTACAGATTACACAAATACAGACTGTTTTTTTATTCCAGTGTCATGGTTAACAGTCCGTGGTGCATTTTGTGGCGGTGGGCAAGGGGGTGGAGGGGGACCATTACATGTTTTACACGAAGAAGTGTTACCTCAGCATAATTAATGCGTGATGTGATTCCTGGCGCGGACCCTGACCCCTTTCTCATGCGATTCAGTCAAGTTGGTGGGGCTTAAAGAGTTCCAAGCAATATGGCGCTAGAAAACTTCAAGGGAGGACATTACTTTTCACAATGGAAACAGGATGGTAATAAGACGTTTGATGAAGTTGCAGACATTTTGAAGGAAAATGGGGTTCAAGTCGACGCGGCTCTTCAATAGCCAATTCGCAAATTTTGTCGTGAGAACGAAATGTAAGGAGCGGGGCCCAGGCAATGAGTCGATCCCAAGGGCGCATTAATTAACATTCCGGTGCATTGCTTAATTGCCGAACCTAAAATCAAAAAATGGTCGGTAAGACTATTGACCGTTTTGTCATTGTCATGATTTTGTAAAACAACACTCTAAAAATAAAGCAACTAACCGTTTATCGCTTTCTACAATTAAAAACAACAACAAAAAGTATTTTGTGTGTGTGACTTAATACCGTTTGACCGTTTTACAAAACTGTAAAACGAGAAAACGGTCAATGGTTCGTTTACTGTTTTTGTTTTTGAGGAAATCCAAAACAGTAAAACGAAATAACGGTATGTCCCGTGATTAATTTGGCCGGAGGACCAATGCGAGCGCGGAGCGCGAAGCACTTACGGCGTGGGGTCCGGGGCCCGCTTAAGGGCCCCGGGAAATTTTGGATCGTAGATGATCTGTGGTGCAATCTGAGGCGTTTCCTGGCCACTTTCCCCTGTTTTTTTTAGCAGAAGTTTTTTAAATTATAAGGGGATATTTTGTTTCATTTGTTTCAAATACATATTGGCCTATATACTCTTGCTCTTAAGTGTCTTCTGTATTCAAAGCTTAAAGTTGAGAACATGCACATAATTTGTAATTGTTCCGCGCTCGGTCACATAACTCTCTTTTCCCCTCATATTTTTACATGGCAAAGGGGGGTGTTTAACAGCCAAAACACCCCCCCTGCGTACGCGCCTGGTTGGGGGTGTTGATAAAGTGGACACGGTAGCATGTCGCTTTACGGTTTGGGTAAATCTGAGTTAATGCAAAATAATTTACCAAAACCAAATAATTATAGCACATTCATAATGTGTCCACCATATCTCCAAAGGCTATGCTTAGGGCCCGTACTTACAAATTGATAATAATGGGCAGGATGAGTATCCCGGCTGCCATGTAGTATGTGACCGTAGGCTGGGAGTTGTGTTTCTTCTTTACCTCAAGCTGGAGCACACCGTTGAGTAGTATGGGCGAAATGAATCGAGCTAAGCTGATTGCAACGGCTAAGCATCCAAAAACTGCCCCTGGGATACACAAAGACGGAGTGTTTTACCCATTTACACTATGACTTGTGAAAATATTACAGACACGAGAATAACATGTGGATCGTGATTACAATAATGATATTTACGATGCTGCAAAATGATGGATGAAAATTATGTCAGGTACTACAATGGAGGCTTAGTTTTGGATCTCATGTTGACGTTAGGGGTCACTATTTATGGTAATTTGTAAATGCAGGGCTGGCCTACTGTTTTACACCCCTTCGCCAATTTTCAATATATATAATATTGTAAAATGAATGCTACATGCGGCCTCTTCTTTTTTATAAAAAAAAATTTGGAAAGCGTCCTGCGTCCATCACTGTTCAGACTAGCCAACGGTTACGCATTTTCTCTCATGACTTAAAATTCGCATTCGAGTGAGGGCGGTATTCCATGGAATATAGCAAGGTTTGGTGACGAAAGTGTTTACAATGATCGTTCTAGTTTCAAATCACCTATTGGGCTCACCGACACATGTGGTCTCTATAAACAAATTACCTTGCTCTTTGTCATCAACTTGTTCGGAAATTTTGGCTTTCACAATCGGTAGGGGCATCAGGTAAAACATACCGATTACCGGCGCTGTGTGGATTGGAAGTGAAGAGACAGGTTATGTTTGTTGAGTTTATAAGTATCAATAAATGTAATGCAATTGCATGAGTGGTTCGACTAATTTTTTTTTTTTTTTTTTTTTGGCGCCATGTACTCTTGAAAAAAATGTCCTAACGAATTTTCAATTGATGTGTTTTGATTGAACGTAAAATCTACTTTATTTCGATCAAAAGCAAGGAGAACGCATCTTTAAAAACAAAAATGAGAGATATGTTGTCTACGTTTACCTATGCCATTATTAACTTTGATGCATATTTAATCCAGTAAACTTGAAATGCATGCAACACAAATTCAAAACAGCAGAATAATTAGTTACGTTGGTGAGTACACCGCTGGCCCAATTCTCCCAAAGGAGATACGGAATTAAGTCAAGTAAGGTGAGTACACTGTACACCAGGCTATAAAATGATAATAATAACAAGACGTGACAGTGGCGATCTCTGTCAACTCACCTATAAAGGCCAGCCAGAGTGTTGTAGGTGCTAGTGCCGTGGTGATCAAATACCCGATACCCGACACGAAGCCGATGTATACCATCCAGTATGACGACATGCACATGCGCAGCACTGGTACCGCAACGATGGCGACTGTTGGTATGGAGAAGAACACCGACACAAAATGAAGATATTTTTGCTAACTTTGAGGCATTACTAACTCTACAAATAATCGACAGACCGAGTATTATTCTGAGACCTTTAAACCCCCTCATATGCAACTCACAAACCGAGCTAATAGACCAGTGGCTCGTTCGAATTTGATACACCAGCGGGTGCAATGAATGACTTGCAGATACCGACGGTTTAGGAGACAATAAAGACCAACTATTTGGAAATTGGAATTGAGAAACAAAAAATGCCACCAAAAAGAAACTAAACTTAAAGACTATTGACTACATGAGAAATAAGAAGGGTCAAACGTATTTTTTTCACAATGTTCTGTGAATAAAATCCAAGTGCGAGGTGTTTTTTTCTTATACGTACTTGAAGTGTGGAAATTGGGTACATCTTACACACGATGCGTTAAACTAATATTTTCTAAACAGATTGACTTGGTCATTTCTTGTTCTCGTGCTGACTTTAATTATTTAATTATTGCTTTCCTAAAGCCTGTCGAAAAAACTCATAACCCCAACCACACACTTGTCTTGTCCAAAACTCACCTGTTGCCGTCAACCCGTTGATGAGGGCGCCATAGGCTCCCACAATCTGAGGTGTCCAACAAAAAGGAGGCGACAATCCGTAGATAGTGATATTTCCTCCTGCACCGCCGAAGACTAATGTCCAGAGAGAGGCGACGGCAAGGAAGAGTACCAGGCGCCACCTACGGCCAGCGTGAGAAGCACCGAAGAGGGACAAGACGTTGAAGACGAGGTCCTTCAGTACCCCTCGAGGGAACGGTCTCCGCTTGACTGTCTCCAGCACGAAGAACGGGTTGATGGTGTACAGCAGATTAGCTAGAGCTATTCCAACAGTTATAGAATAGACGAGGATGAAATTGATGCCTGATGTCTGCAGGATTTCTCCAATGACGAACTGGCTAATGCCAAAAGATAACTGAATGATGCCATCTAAGAGGACCAGCCGGTAGGTACGGGCTTTACCCGAGTAGATATCGGCCACGTAAGCTTGGGCGATGATGGCAGTGAAGACGGCATCCCCAGCCAAACCCAACATGAGCTCTCCAACGATGAGCAACGGTAGCGGTAGCTTGAAGATGGCGACACACAGGAACAGGACCGACCCCAAGAAGTGCCCCGAGGCGTTGATGATGAACATGGGTCTCCTGCCGACGAAATCGCTGGCCGCGCCCAGCACCAGAGCCACCACGATCGGCGGGAAGACCGACATATCCTTCATCCATGTCACCCAAATCGCTGTCTCATCCTCAATGTGCCTGTCGGTCTCGTCCTGGGTGGCGCAACTATTGCGGCCGCTCGGTAAGGTATAGTTGCTATCATCAGCTAGCCGATGCTCGATGTACTGGGACCGTAGAGTAACAAGAGCTCCCTGGACGCAGTCGATAAAGATCAGGATTGGTTCCACCGTCACAAGTCGCCTGGACGCGCGATGAAAGTTGGCGTGCTTGTCCTCCTTCCTGCTGCATTCTTCGGACGCCATGTCGAGCTCCTGTCGAAACACCTGTTACCTTTGAGGCAATTTACAGCCAGAACAAACACATGAAATTGCTGTTCGTCCGCCGGTTTAAATTTCTAATTGAGGCACCATCAAAGACCTGCACTTATGAATATTAAAAGAATTCGCTAGTTTCTATAGTGGAGATTTTTAATAAGTCGCGTTACAAAAGTGGGGAGTTGCTATAATAAAATGCAAGAGTGGGTGTGTTGATCGATGTTTACAATTCAAAACAGACGTTCTGCCTTATGGTTTGCAATGCAGGGAAAATGAAATGCACGTTGTACGTTGGCTGCAAATCAGCAATAAACACACAAGAGTGAAAAAAAAATCTAAAATGAGAAGAAAATATTCAACTTACTTCACAGGCATCGTCCAAGCGAAAGCTTTGATAGCACAACGTTTACAAAATGGTGACGTTGAGTCAGAGTGTAATACAGCACGGGATATTATGGCGCATTTCAGTCTTATCTCAGTGGTACCTAATGGTTATTAGCCAAATGTAGAACCAGTCGCAAGGTCAAGTATCGCATGTGATGGTACCAGTGTATTTGTTTTCAGATTACGAAGTCAGGCAGTGATCAGGGGTTACCTACTCCATGACTAAAAACTTGGGCGCGTTTTTTTTTTACTTCGATGTTCATTTAAAAGTGAGTAACTGTAGAAAATGTTTTGTTTTAATCAAAATTTCGAGATAAATTGCACGGGGAGAGCAATGTTTTTCTCCGGACACTTAGCCTTCGTAAAATCAATGGGGGGGGGGGGGGGGGGGCTCATACCATATTTCAACGGGGGCGCTGTTCAAATCCGATGATCATGAACACTATATTACAGAATAGTTGTACAAATACCACCGTGCCACTGGATTTGTCCTGATCTTGTGCACAGGCGGACATTATTACTAGTATATAATCGTCATAATTGTTTTTGGGTGTCACACGGGGGGGGATTCAACATTTTTTTAAATATATTTCTATGAAAACAAAATTGAGTAAGAGCTGCCCCCCACCCCCCTCTGAATCCGCGCCTGGACTCCTCTTCTGAGCTTCGTTTTCCAGTACCAGAACTGTTCCAGTGAAGTGATGCCTCGTCTATCAACGAGTATTCCCAAATTGTTGCCGTTTAGGAGTCTCGTAACGCCTGCTTCAAATCCTAGTGAGATATTTTAATTACTAATTAGCCTGAGTCTTAAGATCATTCATGAGGTGTTCCACTGTATTCGTAAGTTTCGTTTTACAAGCTCTGAAATAAATCAACGATACTTTGGAATATTGTCACGTTGTATTTAATAACGTTTACTCTAAAATTATACATTGACGCGAATTGTTTGGCCAATATTATTATCGGTCAACAGTATACTTGTTTGGTTCCGTACCTAATTTTAAGTTTTCAACTCGAGTTTTCTTTTATATTTCAAACCTGTATGTGTATACATATTATGAATTGGTTTTACGTCAAAAATAACATTACAAAAATTCAATCAGTGATTATAAGCTCAAAATTGTGATAAATCTATAAAGTGAATCGAGTTAATATTACCAACACATTCTTAGGTTGACGCTTGTTCCTGTTACTCTGCCGAGCAAAGCTTTTATATATCAGTTCATATCTTCCATCTTATCACTGTTAATTGTTAAAATACCATTGGTAAAAATCTAAAATTTCCCGAATAATACTTTTAAGGACCATTTATATAGCGCCAAAGTCCGCCTAGGAGACGCTCAAGGTGCTTCACGAAGATACAACTTAAAAGCCAAGGCCGATCACAATTTAAAAAGAGAGAAAATTACAAAAAAATAATACTGAAAGGTGTATCCAAGCAAAAAGTAAGAGATCACATAGATACGAATTATTATAATCACAAAGCCACTTAAATGGAGAAATATACGTATTCTCAAAAAAATACAAAAATTGCATCACTTCACAAAATGTTCCTACAGGCAGCTCAACTTAATCCATTTTTAAAAATCCAAGTAGCGTTCAAATAAAAGCCTCTGATGGCGTTTTTTTATTTCAGAATATTTATTTTCACTTCCAGAACAAAGAAGAAGCGATTTTTCGCTTGTGTTTTGCACTTTAAAATGTTGAAAGACAAAATTTGTTTAGTGGATAACGAAGGACCACATTCAGACTCGAATTCAAGCTTAATCTCTCATGGTCACAACGTCACGCTTTGTGTACAGGAACCCCCCTCCAATGGGAGCTTAGTGACTCCCGTAAGAAAACGCTCATGTAAACAGAGCGTGACGTCATTTTGTTCCAGGACTATTTACAAGCAACTTACAAGCAATCTCCACGAAGAAAGCGAGACGTGAATTGGAAAAAAATGTAAAAAACTTAATTAACTCCGAAATGGTTTAGGTTGCAGTATATTTGTTGTCTTGCCTCCATGCATTGCATAATATGGAAACTGCGTGGTGTGATTTGCCCTGCTTTAGTTGCGCTTGTTGAGGAGGTCTTTCTCGTCGCAGCAGGCGTCGTACCCCCTCTCCTCAGGACACACAGTACTGTCTTCTAGGCGCTTGTAGTCATTTACCTTGGGCTGGGTGATGTGCAGAAACCTAGAAGGGCGATTTGAAAACGACCGTTTAATATGTTGTACATTTAATTGAGGAATTAAGACATGCAATTGGCGAAGATTGAACCTTTTATTAAGAAAACATTCTCAAGCAAAACTGGTAACGAGCATCCTGTTGGGCAGTAGGCAGATACTCATATTGTCGTTTTAGCGCCCTCATCGTTTCCAATTATTCATTATTAAAGTTGAGCGTTATTACTAATAGGAAGCATACCGGAACAGTTTGGACTATTAGAATTCGGCGACAATTTAACAATAGATGGGGATATCTAAGTGGTACACATTATGAAGAAAAGGTGTGATAATTAAAGGCGTGTAAAATCATTTGCATCTATCCCAAAAGCAACTAAGTTACCGAATTATTTTCCAAAAAGTTTACTTGTATTAAAGATTGTGGAACTAAAGATCACGTGAAATTGTTCCATCTGGTTTGCTGTCATTTAGAAGTAATCAAGAAATGCATTCCAACGATCCGTCTGAATCTTGGAAATAAGACGAAATCGTGTTTCGTGATGAAAAGGTTTTCACTGTTTTCTCGAAAAATATAATATATCCACTGAGCTGAAATTTAGCTTTTTGACATATTTTTAATTTTATTCTGAGTTGTTTTGTTATTGGAAACGAAAAAAGCTTGAAAAGCAACTGTTCATATATGACTTTAATAAGGGAAAAGGGCCAATCAAATATCTGTGATCAAAAGTTTAGCTTACGCATTGATCATGATGGGCAGTAGAAGGATACCAGCAGCCGCGTAGTATGTCACGTTGGGGTGACGCTGTCCTTTCGGCTTTTTCAGTTCCGTCGCCAGAATTCCGTTCAGTAATATGGGCGAGATGAAGCGAGCTAAGCTGATCACAACGGCTAAGCATCCAAACACCGCACCTGACATATTCAATATCGATTATGAGAAAGGATTAGAACTTGTTCGCCATTGTCCCCCTATAACCGACATGAATCATTGTTAACATCATTAAAGTATCCTCAATCCTCCTCATTGTTAGCATTCTCACTATACACCATCATCAGCATCCTCATCGTCAATCCTTACATAAAGATAAGAAAGTAATTTGGAGATCATTTTGGAACCAAAGCGGGCTTTGTCTTTTTGTCGTATAAGCAATGGTTTTCGAGACAAACTTTTCATCTGAAGATTTAGGAGTAAATTAACCCATGTGGTTAAAAGAATAATTTGGGCTAAACCATGTATAAAAATGTTGACTTCTTAAAACGAAAAACGATCCACAAAGTGAGGAAAAACGTATCGTCAACTTTAACGTAATTGTGATGTTGTCTACTTTCCTTTAGATACAAATACAACACTTTGAGCATTATTTTAATCAGATGAACACACATTCTCATTACCTTGTTCGTTTTCCCCTACTTGCTCAGAACATTTTGTTTTTGCGATCGGCAGAGGCACCAGTAGGAACATGCCTATCGTTGGAGCTGCAGGATTGATAGATAAAAGATCAGATAGGCTAATTATAAGTACCTAATATAATAATAATAGTGGCATCTTATTAAGCGCAAACAGGTCCATCACTCGGTGACGCTCATGGCGCTATACAAAGAGTAAGTACAAACTACAAAAAGTATACATTTTGAGTATGAGTATGGAGAGCTGTGTTTTGAAGCAATTGCTGGTTGGTTTTACATTCTACTAGTTTCAAAACGCGTTGAATTGAGACTATAGCTCAGTCAGGTCCGAAGTGCAAAGGATGCCGTACACGGATGATTTACCCACACAAAACACTCCAAAACCTGTGTAAAATTGCTGACAGAAGCACTATACTGATAGCAAGGGTGCAAAAGGTTGTGTAAGTACTCGAATTGAACTATTTGCCTTTAGAGTCAATTTGACGACAAGCATTGCTGATAAGCAATTCATTGCACGCACCACTTGGGGCTCACACAATAGACTTCTACAGTGAGAGTCGAAACGAAAGCGACCAAATTAGATCTGTTTCATGAAAATCAGCTCTATTCCAAAAAAAAAAATTACACAGGGGTAAAGTATATGTTATCAACTAGTAACTGTGAAAATTTCGCTTATTTGCATAATATTCCCAAGTGATGACTATTTTAATAAAACGATCACAAAACTCAGATGCATGTACCGTACTACGAACTGATGAATATCCATTAAATACTACCTCCATGAATGAACGAAAACTTGCAAAGGACAACAATGTTACAGACACAAATTGCCATCAATATTTCAGATACAAAGAGTGGACTTGTTCTTCATATTCAAAACGCAAAATCTGACTGTATAAATAATGTTCAGTTTGTATTTGAATGCGTGTGATGTGTAATCTGTAATTCTCAACCGATAGGTTCTTATAGTTTTATAGTATAAGACATGCTTAACTTATAGCATGGATCGATTGCAGTAATTTTTTTCTTCCAAATGATCGAGTGGAAGAACATGCTCTTTTAGGATATACTTCATTGGTGTAATTCATGCTGTTTTTAATCGTTTTGCCCATGATGATGCACCACTGTCTTAATTATTTCATTGCCATACAAAAATTATCAACGGCAAATACGATAGACAGAAATGACTGTTTAAACAGTAAATAGCGAAGTGACGCAAAACATCGCCCAGAACACTTTTGGGGTTAACGGTAAAATCTAATCTAATTTTTTTAACCTATGAAAGCTGGTGGAAATTGGGAACTTGGGGACTAATTTTGAAAGCTTCGTTGAAGCAATTATATATATATTGTTTTTTAAAAATGTAAAATTGCGAGGAATAGTTCTCTCCAACCCTCTTTCTTACTAACCCACCCCTACCCATTAGAACCACCCCTGCAAATTTTCAATCGTTGACCAGCCACCGGCATAAAGTCATGTGATTCATCTACACGTGACTGCCTATCAAGCCTAGATTTGGGCAATCAATCGCCTGACAGGTCACGGGATGGTTGAAAAAAATCACCGTGGGCAGAAGTTTTTTTGATTAGTTTACACAAATCTACCTTTGAGCGGATCTGACGCCTGTGTAGGCCCGTAAACTCACCTATATAGGCCAGCCAGATGTTTGTAGGTGATAGTGCTGTGGCGATCATATACCCAATACCCGAAGCGAAGCCGATGTACACCATCCAGAATGTGGACATGCACAGGCGCAGCACTGGTACCGCAACAATGGACACTGTTTTGTGGCAGGATGGAAGCAGAAATTGGTGGTTTTATTGTGGCCACAATAAGAAGTCATTGCTGAGAGTGTATGACACTCATGTACTCACTGTTAGCGCACTCGATCATTTGACCGATGACGTACCTTGCTTCAACTTGGCAAAATGCATGCACATGTCCCTTAGGAATACGTACAACCTGTCTAATTTATATGCACCAGTGTGGCACCAACTAGTGGTATCAAATTGTGCTTGAAATAAATTAGTGAACTGAATTAAATCTTTATGTGAACTGATTTTTGTTAACTTCCTTGAGTGTTACAGTGAAAAGTATGAGACATGTTGTTCGGTTGCAATTTAATGCCGAGTTTGCCGTGGAATTAAAACCCTAACCTCCCCGACTCCATCAAGGTATCTCCCCCATTTTGCTGGAGTTTTGAGGACTTGGTCCTGCAGGCCTAGTGCCTGGAGGCCTAAAGCAAAGCATGGAAGCAGTCTGATTGATAGATTTGGGCGGACTTGGTCCCAATACAAGACAGTAGGGAGTTAAGGTTTTGACGCACCATGAATGCGCTATATATCAGATTGAGGAACCTATAATGCTCATTCGGTAATGAGTATTAGGGTTGGGTTCACCAAGCAAGACCGCAGGTATAAACTGTAATATTTTTATCATATACGAAAACTATGAAATAATAACTTACCTACTGCTGGTAACGCGTTGATGATAGCACCGTATGCACCCACAATCTCAGGCGACCAACAGAAGGGTGGAGACAGTCCATAGATGATGATGTTGCCTCCCACCGCTTCGAAGATGAGAGTCCACAGACAAGCAATGGCAAGGCACAGCGAGAGGCGCCACCTACGGCCAGCGTGAGACCTGCCAAAGAGAGACAGGATATTCAGGGCCAATTCTTTCAGCACGCCTCGAGGGAAAGGCCTCCGCTTCACCGTTTCTAAGAGGAGGCACGGGGTGATGGTGTACAGGAGGTTGAGCAAAGCCAACCCAACAGTGATTCCGTAGACGAGGATGAAGTTGATGCCAGTATTCTGGAGAATCTCATCAATACCGAACTGGATGATACCAAAGGAGAACAGGATCACGGCATCTATGATGACTAGCCGGTAGGTACGGGCTTTACCCGAGTAGATATCGGCCACGTAAGCCTCGGCAATGATGGCAGTGAAGACGGCATCCCCAGCCAAACCCAACATGAGCTCTCCCACGATGAGCAACGGCAACGGCAGCTTGAAGATGGCGACACACAGGAACAGGACCGACCCCAAGAAGTGCCCCGAGGCGTTGATGATAAACATGGGTCTCCTGCCGACGAAATCGCTGGCCGCGCCCAGCACCAGAGCCACCACGATCGGCGGGAAGACCGACATATCCTTCATCCCTGTCACCCAAAGCGATGTCTGATCCTCGATGTTCCTGTCGGTCTCGTCCTGGCTGGCGCAACTATTCTTGCCCGTCGGTAGAGTGTAGTTGTTTTGATCGGCAAGCCGATGCTCGATGTACTGGTACCGTAAAGTGACGAGGGCCCCCTGAACCAAATTGATTAAGATCAAGATGGGTTCCACCGTAATGAGACGTCGTGAAGCCCGTTGAAAATGATCATGTTTCTCTTGTAACGTACACAGTTCATCGCTGTTCACCGAATGAGTTTCCTGCAAAGACACCCAAGTTAAATCCATCAGTAAAACCGTAAATGGACTTGAAATGTACTGCAACCCATTTCTGAAACTTCAATGAGTATACAATTGAGAGAATGCGCCCATTTCTATACGAAAATGCGTTTACCACGAAATGAAAACATGGAAATAATTGTTAAAATTTAAAATATATATATAACGTTCAAACAGCCGTGTCTTGGAAATGTGCTGTTTGCATGTATGTACTACGCGAAGGAGTTATTGGGCGCACAAAGCTGGCCCTCAAAAATCGAGCCGTTTCAGCCCAAGTCGTCATTCATTTAAACATCCCAGCGCACATGCATTTTGAAGACTGTTTTAACAAGAAAATAGAGTTTTGTGCGCTGGGTTTACCATCATGTATAATTCTGAATCTAGCGTGGAACCAATAATCTATAGCTGCAGTGGATTGTTCATGGCAGATTTTGTGTGGCGTCAATTTTAGCTTGGCTAAAAAATTTGACGCTATGCGAGTTTCACTATTTCATCCGTAAACGTAGGACATTATGTGAATATCATACGATCATGCCCTTTGAAACAAAATGACTAAACTATCTCACATACGAAATGATGGCACAATTCGGCTGAGTGTACACCTGCTTTGATTTCAAACACAAACTGAAAAAGTCGATTAACCAATTCGAAAGCTATCGTTCAGGTTCAGTAGCAAAAACGAGAAAATAAAAAAAACTCTGAAAACTAACTCTCGATCACAAAATGTACTTCGCTTTGGCCTAGAAGTCTGAAAGACAAAACTTTTGATATTTTACCTTCATCTTTGCTCTAGGACTGTTTGGAGGCCGGTCGGAAACCAGAAATTTAACACAGGCGAGAAAACGAGGCCGATTATCTCAAACCCACAAGCACGAGCACAATCACATGACAGAACAAACCCCAGTGTTACGTTATATTTATAGGCTAAGCTACGCAAACTATAGCTATAATAGATAAGGTACCGGTACCTTGGCCTGTTGACCATTGTTTGAAGTTCAAGTGTCTTTCGTATGACGTGCCGCATATGACAGAATTGGGTCGTCGGGAATATTGCAAACAAAACTACATATTTGGGGCGAAAACCAATAATGTTGAAGGGCAAAATACACCACGTTTAAAGAAGATGTTAGCTAATAGCAAACTCATGCATTAGTTGCACATGTTCTTGCTTAACGTTGGTCAAAATGTATCATACACTTTTGGGCATATTCTTTCCGGTAAAGGTTTGCTTGAACTAAGCAACGTTTGAAGTTCACTATGAGGGATCACTATTCATTTTAAGGGTTCGTTATTCAGTATCGGTTCGCTGTGGTTTGCTCTTCATAAAGTTTGTATTAAATATGTGTAGGGCCTAAGTCCTGATTTTGTCTTAAATGGCGCCTCATATTCCTGGGTCTTCTTCAGTGATTGCATCACCACATCACCTATAGTCGGTTCCGAACTTTTAGTCATTCGGGAAAAAAACACCTTTGGTTTACCACACAGCTGTATATAGAAGGTGCATTTCCTTTTCATGTATTGGAGATCATTTCATTTTATTGAAAAAGTCTCCCTCACTCGACTGGAGTTTAGATCCTCCATGTCAACAAGTGCGAGACGTCACAATGTCAACCATTAAGGCATACATTCTACACTGTAGACAAAATACAGTTTTTTCTTAGTACCACTGTAATAGTTGCATACCCCTTTTTATTTTTTTTATTTTTTTTTTGGGGGGGGGGTTGGTGTTGTTGGTTTTGTTTTGGACAAAAGTATTTTTCCCTCCTAACGAATCATCAGTTTGTATAGGTCGAGTCAAAAAAGCGGAACCCGAAACAAAGAACTAGGCCTATATTTCATTAGGGGCCTATATACAAAACTATGTAGCACCAAACTTAATTATGACTTGGAAGGCCATTTATTTAACTATTTTAATTAAAAAACTATTTCAATTGCTCTTCAAGTGAAAATGTTATCACTATTGTTTCATATATTGTTAGCGATAGTCGGATTTGAACAGCGCCACCAATAAAAGTATGGTCGAGCCCCCACCTCCACACCAACCCCACCCCACCCCACCCCACCCCCACCCCACCTATTGATCTTACGGAGGCCAAGTTTCCGGAGGGCAAAAAAAACTGTGTACATTTCAGCATTGATTTGCTGATGAAACCCCCGCCCCTGCATTGAGACTGGAATTTAAACAATTGGGTGTAGCCTTTTAATCATGTGCATTGGAGTGTGAGGCAGTGGTGTGCGTGTATAAATGTGCTTTCGCTCTACACATGGTCAGTTGTTTCGCTGCCTATTGCAACATCGCGGTTTGCAAATATTTTATCCCGATTTTGCTTGCTCGACAAGTATTCTTCTTTTGGGAGTAGGCCTACTGTTAGACTCCCCAGTTTAACTTTGGGACTGTGACTGACTGCAGGCAACGATGGAGGCCACAAAAATGTAAGAAGAATTTTGTTTTCCTCCATTTACACTGGCTGACTCTGTTACTGAGTTAGTTCTCACACGTGATATTTAGTGGTTGGACGGTAACCAGAAGGAGGAAATGAAAGTGACGAAAGGTATGGTGTTCCATACGTGCAATTAGCGTTGCATTTTTCGCCAGAGCTTACTGTGCACTCGCACTTGTTTTTTGGGTTTTTTTTATGACGGGCCTCAAAGGCCTTGTTGAATATTTTTTACTTAATATTTTTTACTTTTAAACTAAGGTTTTATCGCTGGTGATGTTGGAATACAATTGTAACGACAATTCGTGGAATCGCATTTTTGGACGAAACAGATTTGACGGTCATTTCGTTTAAATGGTGATATAATTTGAACGGATTGAGCAATTGAAGTAATTTGTTTCATCTAAAAGTAGTTTATTAAATTGGCTTTACAGTCATAATTATTTTTGTTACTACATATTGTTCTGCATATGAAATACATTTCTTTGGGTTTGAGTTACGCTTTTTTTTACTCGCCCTGTGTTCCTTGTTTTAACGGGGGAAAATATGCGTATGTAATCCTCCGATAAACGGCTTTCGTTTTGTGCACAAATGAATTCGTTCTAGGAGAGCCGAATGATTGTCAAGCAGCCAATAATTTAAATTTTGTAAAGAAATAATTGCAATAATTAAACGTCGGCGGATTTCTTTTGTTGGATGTCTCACTTCCACCGCCGGACTGGCAGAAACAATCACCGGAACTGCCTTCATAAATACGTATTACAGACGCTCCGTCCGCAGTTCAATAAGCATCTGTACTGATGACGTCACACATTGTTTATACTCGTGCGTTTTTCTATGGTGCTACGAAACCGTCGTCCCACCATGTAAACAAAGAGTGACGTCATATGTGCAGAGGCTTATTATAATGTCCACACTATATCTTTATCTGTCAACTGTCACATCATAAACCATCTGAAATGAAATTATGTACAACAGAGCAGTACGTTTCGTTTTCCAACTTTTTCGCTCTCGGAAATAATTTGAAAAAAATGAGGAATTAATTGCCCTGCTGGTACCTGCAGCAAATCCCTTTGACTTCTCAACACCTTCAAGTACATTGTGACAATTTTCTTGGAATTTTCCAGCAAATCCACATCAAATGACATTCCCTTAATCTTGCCTGCACATACCGGTCTTGCCTTGCTATTTTCTCATTTAAGTAAACACTTCTTTCAAAATATGTCTGATTAAAAACAGACCCATGGTTGCGGATCCCATCTGACTCTAAGGCTAACACGGAACGTAGGCTCCGATTACGCCGTGCCACCTCCAAATCAAAACAGAAACTGCTTCAATTAGATACAAAATTAGTGTACTATAGCTGAATCAATCTTTGTCAGCTCAAACCCGACAACTCGCAAGGGAGTTTCGCCTCCTTTCACCTTCGATCGTCCCCATTTACCTCCTGGAAGGGGACGACACCCCTTGCAACCCCAGTTTTGGGTGTAACCCCCCCCCCCCCCAACCAAACCGCCCAACCCCCCGTCACCCCCCCCCCCCCCCCAAGATCCTAGTGCTGATGCGTTCCTGAACATTTCCGCGCACATGAACACTTCTTTGCATTAATTTTACGGTTTGCTATGATACCTCACGAAGTATAATATTACAGTAGGGGGACCTCTGCGTTTCCTTACCAAATTGTTCTGAAACTGAATTGCAGAGCGGTCATCACGGTCATCATGCAGCGTGTTCAAGGAGGTGGCGCGGCTATAACCCCTCCTGCCCCCTCCTGCCCCCTCCTGCCCCCTCCCCCAACACTCGGAGTCTAATATATTAATTTTACTTCCGGATAAAATCTTAAATTATCTTTAATTTTGTGTGTCATTGTTTCAGGCCTATTTTTTCTCTAACATAGAGAGTCGAGAGTTGATTTCTTTAGCCACCCTAACCTCCCCCGGCCCATCCCCCGAATGTCGTGGATTCGCCATTGCGTTGGATACAGTCTTGGCTCGAGACGCTATTTTGTCGATCTTTGAATCGGGCCTCGCGTTCCTTCCTCCATGTAATGTTCCTTCCTCCATGTAATAGTTGAGGCGTATATGCCCCTAGAGGGAAAGATTTCCATATACGAAGTTCACTAATTTTCCTCTGTATTGACTAACAAGCCCCCAGATAGCAATTTCATGTCATCAAAGTCAATTTGAGCAGTGAGAAAATACAAGCATTTTCTTAGAAAACACTTAGAATTTTTCAGTCCAATCTCATAGGGTTTGTACACAGGGTGTTGAGTGAACTTCGTATATGGAAATCTTTCCCCCTAGAGCATTATTACCTACAGCAATACAAATCCCCAATTTTCTCACCCGTAACGTGACACAAATATATCTTGGTACGTTGTCATCATCAAAGCCCAAGCCTCACCCCCAAATTAAAATCCTCGACCTTTAGGTTCTAACCTCCACTGCGCGGCGCACCCCAATTTAAAAAGTCCTCAATGGACGTGTTTGATTCAACTTGACCTTATAGTATAGGTTTCGCTAAATAACTTACCGTAATGGTGCTATAGTTAGGGGGTGCCATGGCGTAGACAGCTGAATGCTTGATAGCAAATGCACGGCAAGAGCAAATCGAAATTGCTTGGCCGATAAGTCTAATATGTCCAGCGATCGCGACTCGCTACCTCCATGATTGTGTAAACCAAAGTAAATCTAACTCAGTAATATTATTTCCAACCATGACCTGCGGCACGAACATGTGACTGTCATGCATTTTTATTGTGAAAGACAACCGGAACTGACATATACGTGTGTGTTTCTCTATTATATAGCTATTGTTTAAGCTCTAAACCAGGAAATAAAAAAGTGCGCATGCGGACCGCATACACACATTCAAACTTAATATGTTGTAACACTCAACCCACCAACACAGAGTTTATTGCAGAAGTTTCTGCACAAGTGTCAGAAAATTGATTCGAGTCTGTGGTTTTTGTCTGGTTTCCCGTTGCCTTTTGGCAAGGCTACAGCGATATTTGGTATACTATAGGCGAATTGTGTGAAGACTATATTGGTGTGGTGAGGCGCCGCTAAATATTAAATTCGCCTCGCGGTTTCACCGCCCCCAAAGTCACGATGGTCGGATGGTCTTGCGTCAAGGGCAATTGTTTTCTGTAGGCTTTTTGTTGAAGGACTGATCGCATGGTCAATGAACGGGAGGTTTGCGGTTAACACCATGTGAATGATATCTCTTTGCAAGTAGTGCGGTTCTAAGAAGAACCAGTAGGTTAAATTTGACGTTTCGGACAGTGTGTTACGTTCGTCATCATGAGACACATGGTGCTTTGAATGTTATTCCTTTGGTTTCTTCAGCTTCAGTTTAAGTTAGTAAATCATTACTATAGAGGTTGCCCATTGCAAGCTTTCAAGCAGACCCATGCTAAAAAAGTAGAACAGTAGGATAAAAAAGAGGAAAAACTACAAAATAGGGCTTTGGAGGACAACATTAATCAGGATGAATGTCGAACCTTTGCGGGCTTTCAGAAGTAGTTTTTTGTGTTGTTAATACTGCACACAGCATCATAAGCCTCATATTGCATGTTCTTAAGCTCTTGAAGTACAGCTGTACTCCTATCCTACAAGCCATTCATTGTGTGATTTGCATATTACAGTGTGTAACACTGTTCATGAAAAATATTCAGTGAGATTTCATTATTTGGAGTTGCCGCAAAAAAGTATGAAAATGTAGGATTTTCAAGAAAAAAGTACAAGAAAAGTAGGAGCAAGGTTAAACAAAAAACAGGGAAAACTTGTAGGGAAGGAGGAAAACTTGAAAGCCTGCCAACGTTTAACCACCCTGCCCTAGCTTTGAAACAATATTCTCTACTTGCACTTTAATACATTGATACCACCTACAATAGACCTTTATCATGCTGCCACAATTTCAGTCATGTTCCTTGTATCCAATAACAGTACTGAGTGATAATGTTTCTTGTGCAAAAAGGAACCAGACTATTTTTCCTTCCCGCCTCGCTTTGGTTACGTTGATTTGAATGGGAAAACATCAAGATGGCCGCAACATGATAATGGTCTATGCCCAAGGTTACTGGGCAGTTTTCTTTGAAATACAATTCCGTACGCATTTACCTTCAGTTTCAGCCAATGTATTGCTAATATCAAACATACTGTTAGGCCAAATAAAAAAAGAAACATGTTTAGCATCCCCGTCCGCTCCCTTTTTGGAGGCCGTCTCCTTTTTTTTTTTTTTTAAACATTAAGAAACGATAAATTTTAAACAGTGACATCATTTTGGCCTCTTTGTCTGTTGCATCTAGCCGATATAAAGCTGGTATGTCATTCCTGAGTCCAAGTGGCAGCCATTAAAAAAAAAAGCTGGCGGTCATCTTGAAAAATAGCCCCGTCGGGCGGCCATTTTGGAAAGAAAAAAAGGGCCTCCTCCTTTTTTTTCAAACAGGCAGGACGCTAAACATGGTTGTTGTTTTTTGGCCTTACAGAACCTTTTTGGCGATTATGCAAATATTCTCTTCATAAAAATGAGCAAATAACCATTTTTTCTTCATAAATATTGACCTTTTTTTAACTTCTCAATACTTTACAGCAATCATGTCAATATCAGATCTGAACTAAACATCATCATGAATATATAAATTACTTTACTATGCCACAAAATACTTTGCCACAAAAAAATAGATTGCGGTCACTTTATCAGCCATAATTTAATTGAATTCCGAATAAATTATTTCACACAATTAAAAGCAAAAAAACAACAACCAGCATTTGTTTTACAAGATCAGCTTTAGAAAAGTGTATGAATACATTTACATTGTATAAAAGTAGTCTAACAAATTTTTCAGGGAGCAATTACATTTGGCAGTACAGCTGCATAATACTATTGTTTAAATGGCTGGTATAAACAAGCAGTCTGTTATTACTGAATTAAATATTGCATTTACACCAGCGCATTGCGCTTGTCAACATTATGACAGAGATATTCTCTGTAGATTTATCAAATATCTAAATGAAGTAGTGACATCATTTCTTAAAAAAAAATTCAAAAAAATGCATAATTACATAAAAAGGACCTGAGTACTGATAATAGTTTTTATTTCCATTGTTACAACTTTGTGTCACCCCCAACCAAACGGCACACAAAATTCAAGAAATGTCTTTCCATTTTAAATATCCAAAAAGTCCTGTTTGTACAATTTTAGATTTAAAATCTAGGTGTCACAAACTTAAAAGTTATGTGCTCTTTTTGAGTTTCATCCTGAAAAATAGACTTCTTTTCTCAATTGCTATTTTTTCTAGCAATACAACAGTTATTCACTTTGAATGAGACATCATCCGAAAACAAATCGGCCTTTGTTTAGCTATTGAATTATTACTTTACAATTTCGAATTATTGGCTGCCAGAAAATAATTCTGCTCTCGCGGGTAGGCTGGTTCCTGCCCCACAATCAGTATTGATACTGTACAGACTGGGAGCCAGTCTGCTCAAAGTGGATCTGTTCGTGCCCAAAGGGCTGCAGTTTTTTCCTATACCACCATTTAAACTGAAAGCATCATCAAGAGATAATTTAATTATTTATTTTTAAAAAATGGGGAAAAAATCTGAACAAGATCTTTTCAAAGATGGACTAGGTGTGTCAAATTAAAATAACAAATTAACTTCATTTTTTAAAAATTTATAATTAAGTTAAATTATTGAATAAAAAAAAATTCAACATGGCCGTCAATCAAGTTTTCATGGGTTGGGGATTCTTCAGTATCTCATCCAGGAAGTCCGAATTAAAGGTCAGTTTCATGATTGCTTCCAACACACGGGGGGCCAGGTCCCTCAGTAGAGGCGCAAATAGAGTCTCGTAGGCAGGATAGAAGACCTCCCTCTCCCTGTTAGCAGTCCCTGTCATGATGCGGTAACCCGTGGAGGACGAGGTTGTAAAAAACAAACCAGAGGCCATGACCTTCTTGGAGTATTCCCGTGCATTGGGGGTATCAATGGAACCTGAGGAGACAAACAAAAAACATCCAGAATAGAAATTCCACTAGACTTAGTCAATTTATTCCGTTATTCAATTTATCAAACTGTCAGATATTCGGATACAGTTTTCAGTTCATTGAAGCCCAAAACTTCAATAGTTCCATGCACACAACTTAAACAGGAGGGCGATGAACACAAAGACAGTGATCCTCCACCACAAAAACAAAGTCGGTAGTTATACTGGCGCATTTTTTTATTTTCTGAAATTACTGAAATTAAAAATTGAAAATGCCTATAACTGCGGCAGATTGTATCCGATTCCCATTTTCTATACATCATTGGAAAGCTTTTTCAATGTCCTTTTCCATTAGAGCAAAACAGTTTCAAAAATGTTTTCAAAATCTGGCTCAAGTACTTTGTGAACATAATGTCCAGACAAATGTTCCAAAAAGGTGAGTGAAGGATTGGTTAAAGCATCTTCCATTGTCTTATTTATCAACTGACCACAAAAAAAAAAATCCACCATTTCATTTTTTTAAATTAACTGAAAAGGGAACAATTACTGAATGAGACCAAAAAAAACTGTTCAGACCTCAATTCCATAGCTCCATAGGCCAACGTACTCGTTTTAAACACACTAACAATTTGTTTGAAAGGCTGAACTCCATTTCAAAGGCGAATTCCATCAATTCCATGGCACATCACAACATTAAAGTAACAAATTAGGAAGGATTTCCTTACCGATAACAAATATTGTCACAGAGATGCCCATGTTCTGCATCTGGTATTCCTGCCGTAACGTGTCAAAGAAGCCATGAAGGGCAAACTTTGATGCGCTGTAGTCAGCTACAAAAGGAACTCCTGCTTTTCCTGAAAGATATGTAGACAAAAGAACAGAAATGACCTTCTACTTTGATACTACCACTTGAAACACTCAACACCAAACTTTTATATCATTTGATTGTGTGTCACAACTCCATGTTAAGTGCATTGAATAGTTCTTAACATTTAAAAAAAAAAAAAACCTATTTCATTGAAGCGATTTTGCCTCCCCCATTTTTTGCAAAAGTCGTGAAACCAAATAAGGGTTAGCTATTATCTTTCTTACATTTGCAGAATAGGTATATTGTGTACATTTCGTACATGTACATCCAAACATTCACCCAAAAGAAAACAGGGAAGGGGTGCCCCACTAGCGACAAATGAGCACAACCCCCCCCCCCCCCCCCCCCCACCCCTGCTTTTTTAATTTGCGACAGCCCGTTGCCATCTGAGGTGCTTTGCCCTCCACTTTCCAAACTGATCCGCCATTGCTGCCCAATACCAAGCTGTCCATACATTGTTCAAATTTTGAAACTTGACAAAAAAATTTCACATTCATGAATTATTTAAGTCAGAAAAATAATAGAGGATGGCTGGGACACTTCAAATGACTGTAAACATTTTTGCAAAGATATTTTCTTTTTAAATGTGAAGATTATTTTGCATAATATTTGTGGAAGTTTGGTAGTTTTATTTTCTCTTTACCTGCAACAGATGATACAACTGCGATGCTGCCCTTGCTTTCTGCTAACATCGGTGTGGCAAAAGTTGCCAGACTCACATACGCATGGAAGTTGATGTCCATGGTCTAAAAAAAAAACACGACAAAAATTAAGTTTCAGAAAAACAGAAAACCAATCTGATTCAAGACACGATGATGAAATAACTACATGTGTTATCAAAAGACAACACTGAGAATACCGTGTTTATAAAAAAATAATACGTCGGTGAAGGGCACCCAATACTGAATTGAAAAATATATAAGTTGTGTGGTGTTATTTTTTGTCAATTCAAGTTCCATACTTTAGTTCAAAACCATGATTTGAGAGCTTCCATTCATGAGAAATGAACTGAAATTTCTTCTTTGAAATCGATCAATCAAGGGAATAAATACAATGTATTTTTGTAATACAATGTAGTACAATGTAGTACAATGTAATACAATGTAACACAATGTAACACAATGTAATACAGGTGCTACTGGGTTAAAATGACAAAGTCTGCTCACCTTTCTTAACTTCTCCAAGTTGCCAGCCCACAGGGACATGTAGTTGTTGGTGATGTGATTTAGGATGAGATGGTCCAGGCCTCCAAACCTCGCCTTAGCCTCATCAATCAACCTCCTGGTGTCGTTTTCTTTGCCCATGTCTAGCGGGAGGTAGAAGGCCTCCTGGGCTCCGAGCTCCTTGCATCTGGCCACCACCTGTTGAAGTGATAAGACCATCATGGTTTATTCTATCAACAAATACTACCCCTGTTCATCAGGCCATGAAACCATTTTTCTCTGGGCTCAGCTTCAGATCAGCACAATCTGGTTTCGCAAGTACCCATTGAACTCCTGGGTAGAAGGGGGCAGTTGTAGTCAAGTGTCACAGGTACCCATTAACTTTTGGGTTGAGAAGAGGAAATGGTAGTAAAATACCTTGCCCAAGAACACAAAGTATCAAACACCATGTTCCTTGTCATGGTTTCAACCCACTCGTGGTGCATGAGTTAGACACCATAACCACTGGACCGCCCTTCTTGTCCACAGTGCTCCCCACCCAATGGCGCTCCACACAAATTCAGGATGTTTGCTAGTGAAAACTTGAGAACATTTTTAAGTCACCTCGGACCTTATGCTGGCACATTCAATTACCTGTTGTAAGACTGCTTCCCTGCGTGCTGTGATCAGAACCCTTGCTCCTAGGCTAGCATACTGGTATGCTATCTGCTCCCCTATACCCGTACTGGCGCCGGTGATCACCACTCGCTTGCCATTTATACTTTCTGCAACAAAAACCAAAACAAAACAGTGAAAATGTTAAGCAACAGATCTTTTTAATATCATACTCATGTGTCTCCCCAGTACATGTATGTACTTTGGGGGGGGGGGGTCCTGATGCCACTTTTGTAATTGTGCACAGAGTCTATGGGAGGTTACAAACATTTTCTTAGACTTTTATGACAGAATTTGAAATGTTTCTCAGTCTCAAATTCAGTACTGTTTTAAACATATATCTATCAGTAATGACTATTGTGAATTATAAGCTGAAAACCAGCTTCAGGATAGTGGTACTTTTTTCAGGTTCCCATGCAAAAAGTAACAAATATAGAAATGATTTAACAAATACATGTACTAAGGTCACATGATTTATAGCAACCAATGATAAATACCGCACGTGTCAGTTTTCAAAATAATATTTCCTGGACTTAACGTCCTTTATTTGAAGATAAAATCTACTTTGATAAACTGTATAGATTAGACTTCTATGCAAAATAAAAGGGGGAAAAAATCATAATTCAAAGGAATAAATCAAAATCACAACTCAAAAATCTTAAAAAGGCACCAGTTTCAAACCTATTGAAAAGTCAAATGTGATTCCACAAATTTCAGTACAATTCAAAACTTTATCGTGTCATGATTATTTCCATTATAAAGCAGTACCGGTACTATAGGCCTACCACTTTGAAGCTACAAAGTGCTGCCGCTGCTTAAAAAGGTGGAAAATGCCTTAAAAAAGGGCCTAGTCCTAGGCCATTTTTAGTTTATGGTAAATATGCAAAAATGGTATTTGCATGCACTTGCAATTATCGAATGAGTCCGATGACAAGGACTTCTTAAATCACCTTTTTTAACATTTATTTTGGTCATATGGTCTGAAGGGACCATGACCAACTCTTTTACGGGGGCAAATTAAAACAAAAAAAGGCAATTTGTTGTAGAGTCTTTAACTAAATTAAAGTTAGTTACTTGGACAAATGTTCCAGTACTCATTAAATGATAGTACACATGTATAAAGCTACCCGCATCATATCAGCCTGCTCCCTAGTACCAGCAACCTGATAAAAAAAAAATCAGGCATGATTAACACTACAGCCTACACCCGCGCCGCCGTCCAGCGAGGCCGGCAACCGGCAGTAAAAGCAGTGTCAGCTCAGTCAGTGAGTAAAAAAGGTGAACCATCGGCGTTGCCAATTATAACAACAGTTCTCAGCGGTACAACTGCAATGAATGGCATTGACTTCACCTGGATCAAATCTACCGACGAGTAGAAACCCGATGTAACCAGCAAAAATTGCAATCAAATACTTTATCCAACCCATTTTCAGCGAAGAAATGTTCGAGATTGAAGACAACCGAGAACACTCGATCGAGTGTCGATTCAAGCAATGGCGCGGTGTACGTCTGGGTACAATTTCTATTCTCACTCTTCTTAGTGCATTGTAGGAAACTGGTTCCTATCTACGAGTGAAAACCATACAGACGTCTCATTATACATTTTGTCAAGTACCAGTCTACAACTATGCAATTGCAGCGTGATAAAATAGAAACAGTACCCAGACGTACAAGCGGGGTTTCGGTCGTCCCACTTTCAAGTTTCAGCTGAAATGACGATATAAAATGGGCCTGAAAAAGTATTTGTTTGCAATATTTGTTGGTTACATCGGATTTCTTCTCGTTGATAGATTTGATCCAGGTAAAGCAGCAGAGCTCTACATGAAAATCACCATTGCAAACCAAGTTGCTTCAACTTTCAAATTCATGTTCCATTGCCATACTGTGACTGTGAGTGTGACTGTCTGTGGCTAGGCTAGATAGCGCTAGCATCTGTCTACATCATGGGCTATGTACATGTAATTGCACGCACAAAAGAATTTCTCCTTATGGTGTTGGAAAAGTCGGGGGTAGTCAGTAATCTACGGAAGCCTGTTACTGTTAGGGCCAGGTACCTCTTTTTTGGTTCACGGCAGGGCATTTCATTATGGAAGGCCTCGCTTTCATAACATGTCACTCGTGGCCGCGACTTATTTGTGTTGCGGCAGCGACTTATTTACTCGAGGCCGCGACTTAATTATGTCGCAGCTGCGTGTTAACAAGTCGCGGCCACGACATAAATAAGTCACGGTCGCGACCGTGACTTATTTATGTCGTGGCCGCGACTTGTTAACAGGCGACCGGTCGCCTGTTAACAAGTCGCGGCCACGACAAAAATAAGTCGCGGTCGCGAGTTAACAAGTCGCGGTCACGACAAAAATAAATCGTGGTCGCGAGTTAAATCACGGCCACGACAAAAATAAGTCGCGGTCGCGAGTTAACAAGTCGCGGCCACGACATAAATAAGTCGCGGTCGCGAGTTAATAAGTCGCGGCCGCGAGTTAGTAAGTCCCGGCCGCGACATAATTAAGTTGCGGCCGCGGTGTAATAAGCCGCGGCTGTGACATGATTAAGTCCCGGCCGGCCGTGACTTAATACATGTAACTTGTAAGTGGCGGCCACAAGTGACACTGACATGTGCCAGGCCAGCTAGCATGAAAAGAGAAAGAGGCACGTGTACAGCGAGCGAGGCCGGAAATATGAGTGTGCTGCCCAAGGGTGATGGCTTCAACCCGCCTGGCTTGAGGTCAAGTGAAAAGTAATCCTGCGCCTCGTTCTGTTCTTGTCAGAATAATCCTGGTGTGAACTGGTTAAAACAAAAGATAAAACCTACGTAATTTAAAAAAATTAGGAGAAAAAAAGGGTTTTTTTCAAGAGCGTGGGGTACTATCTTTAAAATGTTTAAAATTAATCAACTTCAGGAAATATTGCCTAAATGATATAGCCTATAGGTACCTCTAGAATTAGAAGGCTTCTAGAAGTAACCTATAGGCACCCTTTTGTGGCCATGTATACTCTACTCATTTTGCATCAATTACTTAACCTTTATTTTCCTTTGTTCTTCTGTGCCATTAAACAAGTTTTCATTTTGTCTTTCAGCAAGTATAAATGGCAAGCGAGTGGTGATCACCGGCGCCAGTACTGGTATAGGGGAGCAGATAGCATACCAGTATGCTAGCCTAGGAGCAAGGGTTCTGATCACAGCACGCAGGGAAGCACTGTTAAAACAGGTAATAGAATGTGTCAACTCAACATCAGTGAAGTTTGGACGAGCGCCTTAGAGAAAATCCAGGCTTGGGATTTAATACAACCTGTTACTTGGGACCTGACTTCATGTGTAGTATATTTCTACAGGTCGTGGCCAGATGCAAGGAGCTCGGAGCCAAGGAAGCCTTCTACCTCCCGCTAGACATGGGCAGAGAAAACGACACCAGGAGGTTGATTGATGAGGCTAAGGCGAGGTTTGGAGGCCTGGACCATCTCATCCTGAACCACGTTGCGTACAGTGAACTGGCTGTGTGGTCAGGGGACTTGGATGGTTTAAGAAAGGTTAGGATAGTTGATATCAAATAATGGAATCTAGGGATTCGGGGAGGGGGGGGGTGTAGGGGGGGTGTAGGGAGGGATCTATGTAAATAAGGTTGAACCTTGTGAGATGTTTCTCTTTGAATTCCACCTTGACAAGTCTTCCGGTGCTCTACAAACTGAGTAGAGCACCTGATCAATGTGTCCTTGAGCAAGGTACTTTGTCACTCACTGCTTTTCTCCACCTAGGAGTAAATGGGTACCGGTGAGGGCAGTGTTGTTGACTGTGAGAGGTTGATTACGGCCAAGAGCGCTGAAGTGGCTGCCTACCGGCCGTGTATGCTCCCCAGGGATTTGTAAAGCACTTTGATACCCCATTAAAGCCTAAAAGCCCGCTACTGTTATTATTATTATTAACAGACTAATCCGTTGTCAAAGGTTCAAACCCTGCTCCAGTCATTTTTTTGGTTCAACTTTGAAATGATTAGAATGCACCTTGTCAGTTTCCCTAGATGTGGTTTAAATGGAAAGGTGTTTTTATTTGTGTATTTATTTTTTGGTATCAAAATTCTGTTTTTTGCTTCTATCAGACATCTGCTTGCCTTCTTGTAATGTGTCTGCTTCATCACTCTTAGCAACAGATATGGTATTCCTCAACACGTCACAAAGTAAAGGATCGTTCGAAGACCGGATCATGGGTAGAACCAAGAAGGTTGGCTTGGGGGCTAACCCCCCCCCCCCAAAAAAAAAACACACCCTCACCTCCGACCAGTGTCGTAGGACTCGAGTCCATGACTCGGACTCAAGTCAATTTGGCAAAAGATGAGGACTCACTCACTCTTTGCCATCATGACTAGGGACATGAGGCTAAGGCCAACCTTGTGATTACCTTTTTTACGCTAATGTCAAATTCATTTGTCTTGTTCTCAGGCTATGGACATAAACTTCCATGCGTATGTGAGTCTGGCAACATTTGCCACTCCGATGTTAGCAGAAAGCAAGGGCAGCATCGCAGTTGTATCATCTGTTGCAGGTAGGTTGTAGCATCCAAAATTACTGTTTATTAAAGAAACATACTTTAAAAGTTAAGTAGTTTTGTTAGATTTTTCAAGCAAGTTAATAAAATTCAAAAGAGGTATGTAATCGTGGAATTTTGTTCCAAGGAAAGAAGTGTTTAGGTAGTGATTCCTAAATTCTTTTGGAATGTTGAAACTCAAAATTGTATCCATCATCTAACGCCTTTCCAGAACGTAGCCCACAGCTTTTCTTCAACAACTGTTGATGAGCCATTTATGTATAGTATTTGCTCTTTAAATGTTTGCTTTCTGGTCTCTTTGTTTTTGTCTTTCAGGAAAAGTAGGAGTTCCTTTTGTAGCTGACTACAGCGCATCAAAGTTTGCCCTTCACGGCTTCTTTGACACGTTACGGCAGGAATACCAGATGCAGAACATGGGCATCTCTGTGACAATATTTTCTCTTGGTAAGTAACAAGTTCTTGTCTCTTGTGGTCAGGACAGACAAATTCAAAAACGCTCAGGTCATTCCTTATCCTTCTGGAAACAGAAATATAGCGACAGTCAGGTTCATACATGTAATATACAGAATGTCTTCAGTCTTGATTTAATACAGTCCTAATTATTTGGCTTTCTTATTTTGTCCTTAACCCTAACTGCCCTGAATCCTCTTTGCCAAAGTGGAGGAATTTGGAGGATTGAAGTTACATGGCAAAAGTGTGTTACTGATTTCTTAGGATGCACTTTGTCAAGGTCTTGGGCCGGACCTTGTGTTGTTTTTGCTCAGCCATGCATAAATATAGGCCTGGATTATTCTTGAAATCCTCCGTACTGCTTCAGGATGTCACTGGCCAAGCTTCAACATATTGACAGTCACTGCCGCAGGATTCAGGCAGTGGTCATTCCTCCGCAGACCATATTCAAGAAATAATGGAGGAATTTGCAGGATTGAGGCTACATCCTAGCAAAAAGGCCTTGAGAGTTCGGGTTAAATGCATGTTTATACAACACCAAACCTTAAAAAGTTTCCAACATATTGTGATAAACAGTGAAATATCAATTCATTCACCAGATTTGCAAATCTTGAATCCAGCACCAATCCACCTCTTAGGAAAAATTCCTGAGATCCAACCAGTAGCCAATCAAAACAAACAAAAAGATCCCATATCCCAATCAGAACCCGTGCAAAACAGCATTACCGCTGAAATGAAAAATGGTTCTGATAAAAGTTTGGTCTGCCTGCTCCGATCATCTGAAGAAGAACTACATCGGTACACAAATGGTCAGATGTTGATTTATCCATTGATGGTAGGAGGGGTATAGTCCATTGTTAGAGTCAATCGTGTCGCTTGATGTCATCTTCAACTTGCTCTTATAGAATAAATGTCTTTATGTTTAGTAATTGACTTATCGCGGTAGAATCACGCCAACGCAGCTTGTGAAATATTGTCCACTTCAATACATGATACAAAATCTGAGACAAACAAACTTAGTGTACAAAAACTCCATAGGGTTGTCTAAGGGGCGTGGCTAACTTGCAAACGGCGATAGGTAAATTCAACGATTACTTTACAATTGTTCTCACGGTATCGATAATGTACAGACTGGGAGCAACTCTGCCCACAAAGCAGATCTGTTTGTGCCCAAGGCAACATTTTTGGTTGGAATAAACAGGTTTCAAATTTATGAATAGAAAAAAAAAATCAATTTTTTTTTTTCCGAAGAGCACGGGGAACGCAACTTTAAGAACTTGTTTTTTTTTTCATTCAACCAGGCTCAATCTCAACTGAGAGAGCCCTAGACAACTCCAAGGGGACGATGTACACCGGCATGTATATCACCACGCCCTCCTCCACGGCCTACCGCATCATGGCAGGAACCACCAACAGGGAGAGGGAGGTCTTCTATCCCAGGCACCAGACACTGATCTTCCCGATTCTGAGGGACTTGGCCCCCCAACTCTTGGAAGCGCTGATGCAGCAGACCGTGAAGCCGGAAGTCCGTGAAAATTTGCTGAAAAATCAAAATCCTCTCAATAAGAAGAATTGATTGCCAAGTTTCATATTTTTGTTTAAACATGCCTGGTTTCAAAAAACGGTTTTTGGCGACTGTGGCTGATTTGGTGGAGCTGCTGACCACAGAAATGTGATGAGTACAAAGATGAGTTGCCCCCGGTTCTTTTCAGAACCTCAACAACTCACAAAATGATTTGTTACATGGTGCTAATGTATATTTTCTCCTTTTTTTTGGCTATTTTCCCCATGCAAACCTTCAAATCCTATCTGAGTACAAGAGTATTTACTTAGCAAAAAAAACAGGTTACCCACCAAGAGGCAATATTAATAGTGTATTTATAAAGCGCCTGTATCCACCATTATTAGTGCTCAAGGCCCTACGTGTACATCGTTATCACCCTGCTCATTGGGCCAATGAAACATTCCAAACACAATCTCAGCTCCCTCACAGGTACCCATTTACTCCTGGGTGGGAAAATATATTCTATGCTTAGTAAATATTTTGTGCTTAGCCCCAAGTATAGCATCTTCCCAACTATAGTTTTGGCGATCCCAACTATAATTTGGGCGATGCCAATTATAGTTTGGATGATCCCAGTTACAGTGTGGGCCATTCCTATAATTGTTTTATTAATAGATTGCTGATGAAAATTGTCTTCATATAGCCTAGAATTTAGATATTCTTAAGCTTTGAAAGTTATTATTCTGTTATATGTCAAGGTGTGCCAACTGAGAGAATCATGCCACAATAAAATACATGTATGGTGTGAAATGGCTTTTTGGACACTATGGAAATTTAAGTTTTAAACTTGTCCGTTAAAATGCTGCCAGTTATATGAGGTAAAGGTCCTTGATTTGTATATGTTGTTCGTTTACAACTGTTATTGTAATAATGTTTTAAATATTAATACGATTCAGGTCTGCTGACTGATACCAAGTATCTTAAAAACTCAGATGTGATTTTGAAAGATTTTTGTGTAGATGTAATGTGTCATATCAATGAGCGTAAACACACTTAAAGGCATATAGGATCATTTGCATTTACCCCAAAAGTAACCTACCAAATTATTATCCAAAAGCTTACTTAGGTTAAAGAGCATACTGGTACTAAACACTTCGTGAAATTATTCAGTCTGGCTTGCTGTCATTAAGACAAAAATCAAGAAATGTGGGTGATTTCCAACGATCAGTCAATTGACTGATTTTTGGAATAAAGATTTATGACACAATCAGGTTCCGTGATCAAAAGATTGTGCATGTTTTGTTTTTACTATTTTCTTAAAAAGTGTAGTATCCACGGAGCTGAGACTTCAACAGGGTAGGTTTTGAACATTCTTTAGTGAAGTTTGAGTAGTGTTATTATTGCAAACAAACAATAAGCATGAAAGGCAAATGATCCTATATGCCTTTAATTCCTCACAAACCATCTACCTCACTCAAAGAGTGTAAACAATTTTTTTTACGATTGACTTTCTATACAAAATTAATGCTGCCCACTTTTTAAAACATTGTATGTATATTTGTCCCATGTATGTATACATGTAATTGTATGTACGTATTCAATTTTTAACGTTCTGTGTACTCATCAATTTTAAAGATGTCCTGAAATATGGCCGACACTTTTGTAAACCATTGTTCTCTGGGAATAATAATCATGAAGGGTAATTTGATAGTCTTTATTATTTTTTTTATAATTATGTAACTAAACAGATATTATTTTCAAATGCCATTAGAATATTGCTGCCACTAGTTCGATTTTGTATTTCTAATTTTCTTTTGGAAATGGACGATTATGTATTTTTTTCAATAGCCCTGCCTGTCTGCTTCAAGCACAGATTTTCAAAGCACATACCACTGAAGGATGTTGTGTGTCCATTTGGACATGACAGGAGAGTGTCAAAGAGTTCAATGAACTCATCCGAATTTTATGATCTCAATTTATTTCATTTCATATAATTCAGCAACATTTTGCTGGATTGCCCCCGTCACACAACATGCATTTCGGGCTAGTTCAAACTTAATGCAATTGCAAACGCAGATTTTACCCCAAAAAAATGTGTAGTGAAATTTTCCAGAATAAAAAAAAATGTGTTTCCAACTTTTGCAAACTTGCAGCATGAGCACAACACACAATTTTAGCCCAAAAAGATTGACAAGGAAACATTCACAACAACTGGTAAAAGACACAGAAGTTCAATAAACTTTCTTTTTATTATATCAAAGATTGCTTTGAAAATTGGGTTCGACTAAAGTTCATTCAGACGAACAGGTGCTCGGTACCTCATGAATGAACTTATCATGAACCAGTGGTTGCAGACCTTATGCGCAGCAGCCATCTTAGAGGGCATCTTTTGTTATTTTAATTCATTTACAATGAATGCACAAAAGGTTCACTCATGCATCCCAGCAAAACAAAGGCATTGCCCTCTAAGATGGCTGCTATTGGTCAACTGGTTTAAGTTCTAAGCTTCCAAAAAGCCCTCACATAAGATATGTCTGCACTGCTAAACAAATCCTGCATTTTCTGCAAACAAACATTTTTGTCATTATACTGGTCGATTCACATGTTTGTATCCCTGTATTTTGTATACAGATTTTATAGGAGAGAATAAATTAATTTGAATGAAACAAATCAGTTTGTCAAAGATGTATTTATACTGACAGCAGGCGTCAAAAACCTAAGTCTCCATTTAGAGTGATTGGGCAGAATTCCATCGATGATAAGGAATGATTGAGATCATGATGGATCGGTGATGTACTTAAACTATTCTGTCCCAGCTCATTAGGTAGAAAAAGAGAATCAGTAAGTAGCCCATCTCTGGAATGGTACTGGTTACTGTTCATAATTCTTCCATTCCAGAAGTTTGATAGGCAAGTTCTCAAGCATGCATTTATGCTGAACACGGTACCTATTTGTGCACATGTAAATATTGTCAGAGGTCATAAGGTCAACAACAAGCTGGCCAGTCTCCCTCTCTCGATATCTGAGATATTTGAGTGTTCTCATGACCCATTGCTTGTTAACCCTTTTGTCATTGAACTGTCCTAAACCGCTCTGCCTATTACTCACTGTAGCACCCGAGACTGCCTGAGATCTCTATGGTTTTATTGATTCTTCAATGAATTAATACAATGTAGTAAAGGTGCTCATCCGTTAAGGTACTGTTAGGACTGCTCTTGTTACATACTGAAATTATATTGACCTATTATATTGACCCTGTGTCAAAGGTCATCAGGGTGATGTCAAGCTGGCCAATGTCTGACTCTATATCTGAAGGAGATATCGAGATGGTGTTCGCGCTACCTTTCTCTATTACGTCTATTTTCAGCCGGCCAGAACTCTCTCCAAATATTCCTTCATTGCATCACTCCTGTCGGTGTTTATTGCTAAGATTTCTCGGAGGGCCCCTTCCGTCTCCTTGCTGCAGCATCTCTTGAGCAGGAGCAGGCAGTCAACACACCCATCAAGTATGGGTCGTCTCGCTGTCAAATGTCAAACGAGGAGACATTTTATGGTCTCTGTGCACAAGTACCCTCTCAATGAGAAAGTTGGGAGGGTCCACACATTGCTGACAATGCCTCATGCTTAAGGAAAGAAGCTATGGCTTCTGCATCATCAGAATGAAATTAGTCATGAGTGCTTTGCGCCATACATGCGTGAACCATTGCGCCCATTGGTCAACCCCCCCCCCCCCCCCCCCCCACTGGAGCTCTTGTGAACGATGATGAAGCGCTACCTACATGTCTACTGTTCACTCAACAAGTCTATAGACAAATCCTGGCATGTGATCACTCTACACTCACGATGCCTTGATCAATGGAAAAACCATTGTGATAGAGTTGATAGTATGCCCAGATTGGTCAATAACATGAGGGTTCCTGGCAATAATATAGTGATTCCATCTGCATGCAGTACAACAGTGAACATTTTGTTTTAAGGCCCACCAAATTTGTCCACACTTGTCAATGTTGACAGGTTAATGCTGTAAGCCCAGAGCATTTTCTAAATGAGACAAATTTGGTGAAATTTTAAGTGGAAATGCCACACAAAACTTCATACATAAACTTATACAAATATTGTGAAATCACATTTGTGAAATCCTCCACAAAGTAAGGAAAACAATGACACATTCTTTGTAGTAGTAGTACTTGCTCAATATCTTCCTGTAAAATCCTCTGAGACCTTCTGGTTTAGTTTGCAGCATCTTGGAGGGTAGTGTCAGAGGGTTAAAATGTGGACAAGCTTACCGTCTTTGTCTATGTGGCTGCAGTTGTCGCAGGCATCACACAGGAGCTTCAACAGGACTTTGATGATTGCATTCCAGTGAATGGGAATCCTAGAGGAAAAGTTAGACATTGTACATTCTACATTCATCAATTTATGAGTTACCAATTTTTCCAAGTTCTATATTAACCCAAATTGATAACTGCCAAGGGATTCATTTTTGAAGTGTTACTTAAATGCCTGAAAATCTAGGTGATAAAGTTTCTGTTCCTTTTTACATGGATATCTGTACTGAAAATGGTTATCTGGTTTATGCTCATCTTGGATTCAAATATTTAATTTCTTAAGTCAGTTGCAGTGTCAGACTCCAACATCATAAGCACCTGTAAGGACACAATTTTCTATTATAAAAACCTTTAACTCCACAGGCGCAATTGGCTTTTAATTCTCTGTGTAATGAACTGAGTTTTACCTTGGCCAAGACTGCAGGATAAGTGAGTTGAGTGACCGCAGCGTGTACGTTCTGGATAAATCATCTTGCCCTTCAGAAGCCTCAAGGTACTTTAAAATCACACGGAGAACTTGCTGGATAAGACAAAAGATATCACAACAGTCAGTTCAAATGCTGCACGGTGAACCCAATTACACTTCTCCGCCGAAAAGGTCAGGTCATAATGTCTTTAGTCTTTCTTATTTGTCATTCTTTATCTTTTTAAAACCACAATTACTTATTTAAAGTTCCACAAACAGACCTCTTTTCTCATCAGGCTTTGGATTCAAGCCTCTCCAAAATTAGCAATGGTTGTGCTGCTAAGTAGGATAATTTACTTCAATTTTTGTTTTTCTTCACTGAGGAAAGGGATAGATACCAACAAGGGAAATTGAAGGATAGGGATTTGACGACAAATAAAGCTCAATTGGTTGAACTCCAAAATAGCTTTATACATGTATCTCTCAGGCAGCTCTAGGCTTAAGGAAATATAGGCTTGATGAGCGGGGGTAATAATAAAGGATCATAAAAGTCTAATCTGGTGGATATGTGTTTGGGGGGGGGGGGGGGGGGGGAGGGGGGTGTCAGGTTTATTTACCTTCATATGTCTGAGTATTGTGATTCCCATGCTGTCAATAAACAGATAGAGTTTCTTAGCGTATGCCTGCCGGAGAGCAAGTTTCTGTTCAAACTCCATGCTTACTAGTACCGTCTGAAGGACAGCGTCATATCGATTCGGCTGCAGTGATGTAAAAGGTCAAATACAACAAATATTCAAGTATCATTCTGCAGGTGTATATTTTGTTAGTTTAAATTTTTTTTTCAAAAGCCAGGTAATCCACGATTGGTGAGTGAAAAATATTACGGTGATGTTCAAACATTAACAGTTTGACTACAGATATACCCGTCTTAATTATTTTGACGAAATTAAAATAATGCGAAACAATGTCCAACCAAAATATATATTGGCTCAACAGTTTAATTGAGCACAATTTCAAGTTGACGTTTCAGATCAAAATGTCTATAACCAACAAAGCGTACTTTTCTCTGTTCGTCTGCTTTGTGTGGAGACCGCTCGATCACGGTGAGAATGCTGATCAGGCATGGCAGGAGTTGGCTAATGAGGGTGGGCTTCTGTGTGTAAAGCTGATGGTGGAGTGCCTCGTAGATGACCATGGACCGACCGTGCAATCGCAGATCAGTTGGGTCCTGAATGTGACAAAAATTGAATCAGCATCGTCACAAAGTGACAGCATTTTAAGCTTGTTATTTTGTTCTTCCCAATCCCTTGGACAACAAGTATATAATGTTAATAAAATATGTCAGAGAAGGGCAAATCCAACATAAATTTACATCTCCCTGAGACAAATTTGATCCTATAAAAATGTTGGTGGCGATACCTGCTGCTACATCAGACTTGAACCAGCCAGCCGACCCAGGCAAACTCAGTGGTCGAGTGGTGAGAAGTCTGCACTAGTAAGTAAGAGATCATGGGTTCGAGTCTCACCCTAGTAAGCTTCTGAAATTGTTTCTTGCAAGCCCCAGACAACACTTGGCAAAGGGCCAACTTAAACCCAATATAAAATTTACTGAATATGTACAATTATTGACGAATCACCTTCTCATGTGCTGACTTACCACATTGTCAATAATATGCTGCAGACACAGGATACCAAGGCATTTGTTGCTCTCCTGTATAAAGAAAGCAAAAATCAAGCTACCAAAATATTTCAACATACGTCAAACCCACACTGTGGAAAACTGCCATCATAAATGTAATAAAACTTTCTATTGTCTTCTTTATTGAAAGTATTTTGACAATATCCCTATTAACAGAAAGGTTCTGATTAGTGAGTATGTTCTTTAAAGCCCAAATGATCGTATGTTGTCGCTCATGCCAACATTTAAGCATTAGTAACACCCCTTAAGCTCCAAATCCTTTTTAATATTTGTTTTGTCTGTTGGAAATATAAATGGGAATTTTTTTTTCTCGAAATATCACAAAAGTTCCCACTTTTCTCCAAAAATTGCACAAGAAATTGAACAGAAGAACAATACCGTACCTTGTAGTCATCAGTGAATAGAAGTGAAGCAGGCAGGATCGAGTCCAGATGATGACTGAGATGTGGATGCTGGAACACAACAACACAGAAACCAGAAAGTGAGAAACAAGAGAAAAAGGAGGATGCAAAGTATCAAAGTAACCATAAGTGCTCACTGATTTTGAAGGATATGTCTAGGAAAGTGCAATACAACATGAGTAAATATTTACAAAATGCAATATATTCCTTTGCAAGAAAGTGGAAAAGAATTGCTTGGTTAGGAAAATTACAGAACGTACAATGTACATGTACACAGTATAGAAGACCTGTTTCTAAACTACATTTCACTTTACTGTATTTTTAAATTGTGTTTAATTATGTCGCAGTCATTGAAGCTGACAAGGAGAGGTCGGGTTTCTAAAAGGTAACAAAAATTACGTTTATCACATTTTGGAAACAAACTCTCCACATATACCAAAAAGAGTTACTCTGAACAAGACTAGAGGTGAGGGGTTAAAATCTATCTTCCTCACTCAGCTTTCAGAAGGCCAAAAACACTTAGCTAGATCACACAGACACAATTTTAAAAGCCACAAAACAGTAAATCTTATGAGAAAAATTGTAAATTTGAATCACTGTTGTGTAGGTCTTCAAACATTCTGCATACAAAAAATTCAAAACACTTATATTTTTCAGTTACAAACCCTTATTTGGAAAAGGCACCATCGGAATGCCTGTCTTGTTGCTGGTTCCCTGTGCCACTGGTCCCTTGTCAATCGTTCCTTCAGCAAGCCTAAGACGTCCTTGAAGACACCCTTGTCATGTGACCCTCTGCACCAGGCAGGCCCTTGCACAAGAAGTTCTACAACTGAGTTGCATCCCGACATCTTGCAGAGTAAAGCACAAAGACCTAAATGTGTTTTTAAAAAAATGAATGAAAATTTTAATATCAATTCATTGGTACTTTATCAAGCACCACACAATACCTGAATTGTGGTAAATAGTGGTTTTCAAATGTCCTGTCAATACATTACTGTACATCATTATCAAAACACAAAGCAGCCATTACTAATTTTTATCAATTAATCATTCCTTTTTTCCGTTATGACTATTGGAATGCATACTTGAATCCTTAAAGATTCATTCCCCATGCTATTTTGAGTTTCACCCCGAAACAAAGATTTAAATATGTTTATTCAATTGCTATTTTCCTAACAATATAATAGTTTACTTCCGAATGAGATATTCATAGTGTCCAACAAAAAAGTGTACTGAGGTTTAGTTATTGAATTATTTCTTTACAAAATTCAAATTATTCGCGGCACAACAATAATTCAAGAATTCAAGGTTGCAGATGCCCAAAAGTGGAAAAAGGTACTTTTTTTGTTAAAACAAAACATACAAATTGAAAAACGTTAGGAGAAAAAAATCCATTCTTGGAAGAGTACAGGGCATATATCTTTGAATCTTATTACAAACCTTCAGTATTCAATCTTGACTTCTTGCTTGTCCATGGCTGCTTCTCACAGTGAGTAGCCACCAAGACCATACAGTGCGGAGCCACTGCCAAGACGACATCTCTGAACAATCGCTGAGCTTCGTCCTTCGACTCATCTGTGTCGCCAAATGAACTTTGACCCTTGTGGAGATTTGACAAAATGGCGGAACACGTGGCACCAACAACTGCAGTTATCCTCGCTGTTTCTTGGAAATGATCGTCTGTTTTTATATACACAAAAAATAAGTGAAGGAAATTAATAAAGTGATACAATTTGAATATTTTCCATCAAAAAGGAAGAAAATCGTCAATATTGTTACGTTTCAACTGGATCACGGTCCCAACTTAAGCTGGGTTGGAATTGTTCCAACTTCTTTGTTCTAGTGGGAACACTTTAGTTAAGATTGTCCAATCTGAGGGTGTTATATAAATTATAAAAGAGACATATGAGGATTGTTTGAAATGTTTCCAACTAACCTTCATTTTCATTGGACAGACTTTGAGGGAGCATTGTTTTCCTAACCAATGATGTGATAGCTTTTGTGACAGCTTTTCTGACATTGTCAGATGAATGTAGAAAGCACAGCGAATCACCACTGTCATGTTGAAATGCTGCATCCACCTCTGAACAAAGTTTCTCAATCTCCTGGCAAAAAAAATAATGGGAAATAAAGTTTTTTTTACACTATCGACTCATCTGCCTGTGTTGAAATCAACACGAGGCCGCTGTAACTGTAAGCGAAAACTAGTGTTCTTGAACACAGGAAGGCAAGATGTACAATTCACACTTGTACCAGGTGTCCACCTAATACACCTAAATGTTGTTAATTTGCTCTTCTAAATTATAAGATCTCTGTATATATACATATACAATACACTTCTAATTACACATTTATTTTTTTGTTTATATGATTATAAGATTGTTAGGTTATATTCTATGAAAAATGGCAACAGTCACTGAAATAATTAAATGTTCAAAACTGAAACTCAATGACTAAAAAGAAAGCTGACACGGCCGATATGATGTAATTATATATGATCCAACTACTTCTTAACTTGGTAAGAGAAATTTAATTGAAAAAGCCTTTGTGAAAAGGACCTAAACAATAGCATTAAAATAACAACGAACATAATGTTTTGATGATAAACAATTAATGACACAATCAATCAATCTAACTACAAAAAATATGCCAAGAAAATCATAAGATCACAATAATGTGGATGGGCATGACCGGGTCTCTAACAGCAAAGCTTGTCGAGTAGTGACCCCACTTAATTAATTAATTAATTAATTAGTTCATTTAATTTAAGTATAACAACAAACATGTTGTGTTATTGATTTACCAACGTTTCCTCGCACTGACAATCATCCAGTGATTGTAGTAGTTTCTCGAAAGTACCAAGCATCGCAGACTCTGAGGACATGATTGTTATCAAACGCGTTCAAACATGTGCTTAAATTACCATACATTTCGCGCGTTTGTCACGTTTGTTGACAAAATTTCAGCAAAACACGTGAGACAAGCAATGGCACAATATCCTCTCTTGGTGGCGCTCTTCAAAGTCTGCCGTACGATTTTCGCATTAACTCCGGGAGTCGGAGATCAGATAGAAACCAGACTAGTCATTGATTGATAAAAGCAGTATATGACGCAACCAGCACTGCACACAATACATGCAATAACGTGTCGTACGTGCGTACGTGACAAAATCAGAATCGGCTATGGCGACGGACGGAGCTGGTAAAATGTTCTTTTCACATATTAATATTGCTAAAATATTTGATACCCATTTATTGTACTTGACATGACTTGATCTGGCACTGCATCAGTGGGGGTGTTTTTTTCATGGGAGATTTGCGTGCGTGTTCTTTAAAATTGAAGTTGTTTTGTCGTGTGTGTGGCGTTTTTTGTTCAGTCATCATCACGTAGCCTACGTCATGTACGTAGCGAGCTAGTCAGCAGGTCTTTCGAACTGGCCAAGGTCACTTGGAAGGTGGGCGGTGCTTACCGTAAATGGAGGGGGCAGGGGAAAAATGTTTTGGTTGTAGCCCTGTCCAGTGAACATGAATAAGGAAAATATGTGGCATTTTGGAAAGGCAGTGTAGGACTGAAGGCATGACAATATTTGACCATGAACATGGTGAAGCAGTCCCTGATATTTTTTTTGTTGTTAAAATAATTAATAAGCATGATATTGATAATGATATTGATAAATAAAATTAATAAAATCCAGTATAATTTATAGCTCCATTGTGTAGCCTGTATATAAAACAAAAATTTGCCTTGTCGCCAAACCTTTTTGTAAGTTGATATAATGTACAAAATATGGCTTTGATTTCGTTGAGATTTAATTTATCAAAATTGACTTTGGGCGTTTTGGTGTTTTACAAATAAAGTGGCAGATTTTAATGCTTGAAATGAAATTTTATAATTTACACCAACTCCGAGCCTCTTCCGCACGCTAGAGAAGCTTGTGTTTTTAGTTTCTAAAATTGTTTATGTTTTTTGATAATAATAAATTACAAACTTTGTTTTTCCCTCCCCGTTCATTTTTTTAAAAAAGCAACCTGCGTGTTCTCCCGACTAAAAGAAAGCATCCGAGTGGCAGATGAGGACCTACAGTACTTCAACCTCTTGGCTCTCAACGATTACAGATATGGTAAGAATCGACTGATGCGTCTTTTTGTTTCGGAACTGAAACAAAACCGATCCACTAGGCCCTACTCTTTGATGTTGTGACCATTTTACAGTACAAGTGGTTGCAATTAACCAAATGGTCTATTTAGCCAACAGTTAGGTGATTTTTTCTGACAACAATGATAATTTTGCTATCAAACTGACAAGGGGGGGGGGATGTCACAACTCCCCCCCCCCCATCCCCGCTTTTGATGCTCATGTAAAATCACATGAGCTACTAGACAAGGAAGGTCAACTTGGAAGGTAATTTCATAAGGTTTATTGAGCTAACTGTTAGCATTTGCATGGGGTTGTACATGTCTTTGATTCTTTTCCATCGCAGATCGTCTCCCGTTCTCCATCCGTGTTCTCCTGGAGTCGGCCGTTAGGAATTGCGACAACTTCCACATCAAGGAGAAAGATGTGGAGAACATCTTGAATTGGAAGGAAAACCAGGACAAGAGTGTGGAAGTGCCCTTCAAGCCGTCCCGTGTCATCTTACAAGACTTTACGTAAGTATTGGAACTAGTTCTCAAAATCTAAAGAAGGGTCCTGAACAACTAACCTGATGAAGTTTCAGCTCAGCTTCAGCTATATATTTCGAGAAAACATCATTGTAAGATCCCGATTTCAAATCAAAAGTTGCTGAAGCATGTTTTGAATTGGGCCTAAATTCAGTGTCGGAGACACGTTCTCACTGAGCCAATTGCAGCTCCGCGATGTCGCACACTGATCCCACGAATTATAGCAACCACGCGTGTGTGTATGTCGTGTCAACGCTTTAATTAAAAAAACGAACTACTAACGGAAATGTCCAACAATGCGTCTATCGTTGGAAAGGTCTTCTTTTGTTGATTTCGTCAAAATGACAGCACAGGGAGTTTAGCTCAAACCAAGTATGTTTTTCAACAAGAATTACGTCAGTTACTTTTTGGATAGCTACAAATGATGGACTGTAGCTTTAATCTTCCGCTATTTTTGTTTCTTTCCACTAGAAACTCTTGCATTGCAAAACTGGCACGAGTGACTAAATGTTCACTGGTCCATGCCTGCCTTTCTTGCTGCTTGGTTGCCTTTTTAGCTAAACTTTGGTCCACATATTAGCCAACTGAAATAAACATGGATTTTGCAAAACAACATAGTTTGTATAATTATTTTGTGTCTGTGGTCTGTATGAACATAATAATGAGACACCCTATTTTTTTAGCATCGTTTTTCCTGTGCCCTGCAGATGCTAATGCTGTGATGTCATATGAGGCACTGATGGAAATGTTAAGGGACTTCTGTTAAAATTATAAAAGCAAAGCATAGTTCATCATAAGAGACTACGCTATAGCATTTCTTTTTGACCATTGTGTCAAGTACTGAAGATATTTGTTGCAGACAAAAACACTGAACACATCATTGAAGGTTTACATATACCATTTTGTGTAGATGTAAAAGTAAAGTGACTCTGAAGGTTCTGCTAAAGCTCAAATCACTTCCATGCAAAATCATAATGGAAATTAGCATTGCATAAAAAGGAATCCGAGAATTTATGGATTTTGGAATTTATGAATAGATTTTGTGGGGAATAATATCCCACACCACGGCATGTGGCAAGAACGCTTGTGATTTTTTTTTGGTGTGCCATATAAAAATCCACAATTGTGGACATTTCTCATATGAGGAAGTAATTCAGGTCAAAATCGCTCAAATTGAACAGGATTTGAATGGTTTGGATTGGGTCACACACAATACATGTACAAGCATACAATTGTACATGTACACATACTTAAAAATCCAACTGTGATTTATTGATTTAGCAAACTGTCCTTGGCTTTCAACAGCTTTTCCTGCCTGGAAATTTGCTTGTTTTCTCAAACAACAAATAAAATTCCAGGCATATAAACAAACCGGATATACCCACAGTTGCTGGTACTTAACATGAGCACAGAAATATGCAAATCTAACAGAGTTTAACCTTTTGCGATAATGATGATAAATTGAAGGGTTACAGTCAAGGGGGACGGCCTCTGTTATAAGGCCAAACAAAAATTTAAATCGGTCTCTGGTCAGACCGAAGTTCCGGAATTTTTTTTTTTTTTTTTTTTTTTTTTTTTTTTTTTTTTAAAGCTTCAATTGTACAGACAAGGTGGGTACTACATGTATTTTGCTTTTTTGTGTCCTCATATTACATTGGTGTCCTCCATCATTTGCCTTGGTGCCCTTTATCATTTGCCTTGGTGCAATTTCCCCATTCCTTGGTGCTCCTTGGTGCAAAAATTTGAGGAGGTGCGGCAATAGAGGGCGCTGTTGTAGCTTCCGTGTTAATTTGAAGGGGGAAAAAAGGTTGACGCGCATGATTAAAATCGACGCACGCGCTGACCAGAGACCGAGTATTTTTTTTTGTTTTGCCTAAATAATCTTTTTTTTCTTTCAAGATATCTGGCTATAGAAGTCAACTGAGCATTACCATTGCTTTTGAGTCATGGCCATACATTGTTGAACAAATCCTTTTAGTAGATGTAAACAATTTTCAAAGTGTACAGTTTTGTATGATCTCAGGAAAGAATGGTGGAAGTATGTACATGTTCATTTTTGTTTTGCCATTTATTTACTATGCATTTAAGTTACAATGTAGTTGTCACTGAATTAGCTGATACCCTTGATCTATACTCTAGGCTCTAGCAACATTAGCAAACACGTTTCCTGTGAGAAGCGTATAGTGAAGCAATTCAAAGAAATAGTTTTAAACAGAAAATAATATCAACCTGAGCACAGAGTTTTGTAGGCTGTAAAGAACCCCGGTATAATTTTATCAGTGGGACAATTCATAGCAATTGGGTTTGAGGGCAATGCTGAGTGGCTTAGTGTCATTAAAGAAATAGATTAGTCTCATAACAAAAATGAAGTGCTACAGATTGAAAACGATTTTGTAAACAATACCATATTGCCTCAATGGACATGATTGAGCATACAGTGCCTGTAACGTCATGTTACTGAAAAGCAAAACCAATATTAAAATTTTAATGTGCTTCGTGGAATTTGCTGGTGACCTCACTGTTCCCATTCTATCCCCAATAGGGGTGTACCAGCGGTAGTGGACTTTGCAGCCATGCGTGATGCGGTCAAGCGTCTAGGCGGTGACCCCCAGACCATCAATCCTGTCTGCCCTGCCGACCTGGTAATTGACCATTCCGTGCAAGTGGATGTGTCCAGGAGGTTTGTCTCACAAAAGCTTTTCAGATTTTTTCTTCAATTTACATTGTATGTATATTATAAGCAATCTTCGTAATTGGCCAATGGCCACTTAAATGTTTACAGTCCAAATCATCAGCCACCAAATCATGTTTTTCTATATTATTTCTAAATATTGTGCAGTAAAGATGAATAATTTTAAACCTTTAATAGTTCAAGGGATGAGCATGCAGTGCAGAGCAGAACATTTTGCAGGAAGTTGGTATCACTTGACAACAACATGAAATTTTGTAAACAAGTTTACAAATTAAGTTTAAAACTGGATTGTAAGTCATCTACAGCCCTGGTCGATTGCAACACAAATGCTGAAGAACTTTCTCACAAGGAGCACAGTGAAGATAAAATGGCAATGACTGATTGCCTTCTGTCATTAATAAAACCCTCCCTGCCCAACATCCTCATAGACTGTAACCTTCAAAGCTTGATGCAACCAATCAAAGCTTGTGTGCTTCTACAGGTGCAACTTGTAAAAACGGCTACAGAGATTGTTTGCTCACGCTGAAGATAAAACAACTGTAACATCTGGGGTTTTTTTTTAATCCCTTCCCACCCCCACCCCCAGTCCTTGTTTCTGTCAAATTGTGAGAGTAAGAGGGCTGGTGTTTGCATCCTAGTTAAATCTTTCTTAAAGGTGTTATCTTTCTCTTTCTAATTAAACTCTTTGACAATAATAATGTACTTCACCCCTCCCTCCCTCCTTCCCCTTTCCCTCTGGATCCTCTCCTCACTTATGTCCATTACTTCAGATTTGGCATCACCATGACCCCTCACCCAAAATCCTTTCCACCCTTTTTCATTAGGTGTTTGTACATGTAAATGTTTTTCCGTGTTTCTCTATCAACTCACAGGCCATGCCCAATAGTCCCCCGCACCCCTAATCCGGGCGGAGGGGTGCCCAAGGGGTCCGAGAGCCACCCTAAGGGGGGCAGTGTCTGCAACGTGTGCGGGCCCATTGAGTCTGGCTTCCGCCTCCCCCTTCAAGACCAGACTTGTCCCTTTCACCACATAGCTACCGATGGGTTAGTTGGGAATCTACAATTTTTCCATCAATTTCTTTTGTATATCCTCAAGCAACATGAATGCCTTGGAGCTTTCGGGGGAAAGTTGGAAAATTTTGTTTAAAAACTGCTTGCTTGCTTGCTTGCTTGCTTGCATTCTTTTTCTGTTGGTGTCATGTTCTTGTTTTGTCCTATTTGTGTGCACTATAGCTGCATTAAAAGTTTGACAGTTGTCCTGTGTTGTACAGCTCTTATATTGTTGTGTAGCCTCCCCTCCCCCCATTCCAATCACTCTGGCTCCGCCCCCTGTCTTGAGCCTCTCACCGTCTGTTGCTTTTACTTTTCCTGTGAACATGATCAAGCCACCTTTTGTCTACTCTTAATTTTGTTTTCTCAAGTTCTTCCCAGTTTACGATATCCATTCCTTTTTGCCATATTCGTAATTTTTTTTTTTTTTTTTCGTTTGTGTTGCCAACAGTGCTTAAGGCACCTCAGCAGTTCGTTTTTGTATAAACTTTTTCACACTTCTTGTATGCTTTTCTGTTTATTGCAATCATAGTAATAAGCACCTATGTCACATAAATGAAATCAAAGTCATCTGACTTTTGTGTTTTGTTAATTTCATATTTTTCAAAATAGGTGGTGTTTTTTTTTCTTCATTTGCTTGTATAGTTGGTATTCAATTGCAAATTAGAATACTTTTGGTATTGCACTTAGTTTTTTGCATTTAAAAATATCCCGTCACTGTGATTCAATCTTCCTTGACTCAAGAACTGGTTACCGACCAAATGTCATGCCTTATTGCTTTGACTGGTTCTCATCAGCTGATGATGAAAACCAGGCTACATGGAAAACCTAAACACATTGCAGGTTTCTGGGCATTTTAAAATTGCAAATCCTTGGAACGCCTTCCAGTAGTGGCCCTACATGTATTTTAGACTCTCAACTGTTGGCAGGTATGGGATTTTGTGGTCTTCATGGCCTTTTGTGGGTTTATAAGGCCCATTCACATTTTGTGTACCTGTTGGTTGGTGTACATGTACATGTAAACTTTGGTTTTTGTTTTGATTTTTCAATATGTGTTGCTTTAAGGCCACCAAAGTTGATCTTGTTAGGTATCACACCATCAGTCTCAGAAAATGCATGCCTGCACATGACGTATGCTAAATATAAGCAGTGCTTAAAAAAACATCATTGTTAAAGTGACCATTGTTGGAGAACAATCAGGTGCTATATTTGTCCTTGAAAGATCCATACTGATAATGCTCTAAGTTTGTAGTATTATTTCTATCAACAGCAAAGTTTAAGAGGTTGTTATCCGAGAGTTCAATGTCTCTGCGTACATGCACACTAACCTTATGCAAGAGTTTAACACCACCTGTTTTTTGTTTGTTATTCAAACTTCAAAGTCCATAGTATTAGAGAGAGGTCTTATCAGTACTTGTACAAAGTTAGCAGCAAGGTCACAAAAAAACAGCTATTGTGAAACAAGATAAACTTAAACTCAGTGGGTGAACAATAAGAACAATTCTGTTTTATACTTTTAATCAATTCTTTGCCCCAGTTGAGATTTGAAATCGGATGGTCAAAGGCTTTTGTGGCGTGGAGAATTTTGTTTTGGGCTTAATGAATGGAAAATGAGGGCACAAACTTAAAGTAGAAAATTGTGTCACTAATTTTGGTCGAGGTACCAAATGGAAATAATATTTGCAAGAACATTAGTCAGAAAAGATATGAAAGATGGAGAAATCATGAAAACACTGGGTAGCTGTTATAGCATGAAGTACCCATCTCATAATTTATGTTTATATTTTGGGGGTAATTTACTCAATACTGGTGAATATACTATTGTTTGTACATGTTATGAACCTGGTAAAAGTTGTAGGTGTTCCATCTTTAAAAAGGGATTAAACGTATCTGTTACAAGTGGGGGTGGGCCCAGTACATCTGTAGCCCTTAGTTGGTAAAAATAAGAAATTATATGACAACACTGTAACCAACACAAGAACCCACAAGCTTGCTTCAAACAGTTGCGTACAATGTGATGCTAAGGTTTCATCATTTAGTGAAAGCTGGTTCACATCTCATGTGAATTACATGTGCTCGTACACGTATGCAAATGCTCGTGATTTTGCTCATCTTGACCAAATTGTATTGATACATGTATTTGGAGGAAATTGAAATGTGTTACTGTTAAACTTCTTGAAGTGACATCGTGAAAACTTGCGGCTACGTCAACAATTCGTGTTCATGTTTGCTTGTGCACCAAGTGTAAACCAGCCTTTAGTGTTTAGTGTTATGCAGTATGTATGTGTTTTCACTGTGCTTCTACATGTATGTGCCTGTGGTACCACCTCCATTAACACTAACTCCTGGGGGCATTTTTGCTAGGATGTAACCTCAATCTTGCAAAATCCTCCAACTGCCTCCATGTAAAAATTGCATACGGCCTCTATCCCGCAAAATCCTCTGTTATTTGTAGAATGTGGTCCTTGGAGGGGTGACCACTGCCTCAATCCTGCAAAATCCTCCAGCAATCACTGTCAATATGTTGAGGCAGTACCAGTGACATCCTGGAACAGTGCGGAGGATTTCAAGTATAATCTAGGCCTAAATTTATGCACGGCTTGACACAGTGTATCCTCCAAAATTAGCCACATTATTGTTTTGCCATATATAGCCTCAATCCTGCAAAATCCTCCATTTTTGCAAAGAGGATTTTGGAGGATTCGGGAAGGTTGGGGTTAAAGTTTTAAATGGGGTTGGGGTACAATTAACAGCAGTTACATGACCCATTTCTCCTCCCTGCTCTGTCTGTTTTCTTACACACCCCTGTTGTATGTTTTAACCTGCCAAATGTCTTGCTCTTGTTCGGGATAATTTTTAAGGCAAAAGTATCTTCTAGAAGAAACAAATGTTGTAGTTTCAGTGAAAGGGACAAGGTCTGGTTCTGTAGTCAGGTGAGCTTCAACAAATTTGTCCACTTTCTCCCAATTCATGATCTTTTTTAATTGTCTCTGTTATTGCACAGCTCTGACGCACTTCAGAAAAACCAAGAAATTGAGTTCCAGAGAAACAAAGAACGCTTCCTGTTTCTGAAGGTGAGACAGAGTTTTTAAGTGATCCAGTTTTTCGCAGTCATTTGATAGATACAAAGAAAGCTTTGAAACAATTTGAATGTTTTCCACTTTGAAATATAGTTAGAATGGATAGCATTTTTGATTGCTCTGAGATGACATGAGTTTGTGCTGGATTATCCATGTTGTTAATAACTTGAGCTATTTTTCTATTCCTTTTCCAGTGGGGTGCCAAAGCGCTGCAGAACATGCTGATTGTTCCCCCTGGGTCGGGAATAGTCCACCAAGTCAACCTCGAGTACCTGGGCCGCGTTGTCTTCAACAAGAACGGCCTGCTGTACCCTGATAGCCTCGTGGGAACGGACTCCCATACCACCATGATCAACGGCCTGGGAATTGTGGGCTGGGGTAAGATGTTTTTCTAAGCATTCCAGTATTTAACCCCAACAAATTGTCCAAGGAAGCTTCCAAAATCTGAGAAGATCCACCACTTTTCAGGAAACCAATGATACATACTTTTGAAAAACATTTGAAAATCTCAAAGAAAATTTGAAAGACCTTGGAGGATTATGGCTTTTTATATTCTTTGGTTATGGATCTGTTCCATACTTGACAGATTTTGGAAGTAATCTTCACCTCAAACCTGTAGTTTGGTTCTGCCAAGATCAAAATACAGCCTCTTGTTACTATCCTTACTCCCTTGGGTTTGTGAAAAATATGAAAATTGGAGGATTCAGGACAGTTGACCATTCCTTTCAAGTAAGTCCAGTTGCTTAGCAGTTGGTAGCAGCTGTTTATGTTGATCTGTTTCTTTCTTTTACTCAGGTGTTGGTGGCATTGAAGCAGAAGCAGTTATGCTGAATCAGTCCATCAGTATGGTGCTTCCTAAAGTCGTCGGCTACAAACTGACCGGTATGATGGACTCACTGGCCACATCAACGGACGTTGTGCTGACCATTACGAAGGTGGGTCAGTCATTCCTAATGCCATACCCATGATACAGCTTTCACGATTAGTTTAATACAAAGATTGCAGTATTGGATGCAGCTAGGTCCAATTTCATGTCACCAGATTTCGAGAGGATTGTGTGCTTACTCAAACTTCTGCACGGAACTTTGAGCAGTAGCAGAGTAAAGATCGCTATGGTTGCATTGGCAGTATTAACTCCCTAGCATAATTTACTAGGAACCATACCCATTCTGGCAAATTCCAACACCCACATGGGAAACTGTACACACACACTGTTGGACTTAGTTTCTGGAGGTATGCCAACCCCAGTGTAAAAGACCATCAGTTTAGGGGTACTGTACCTATCCCAACAGATTTCAACAAAACCTGCTGTTGGGCTTTGATGGGTTGAGTTCGGTTAGAGTTAATGGAAATTTACATCTGCTTTAAGTGTTAGTCATCTACCCTTGGAATATGCTTTAGGTTGGTTAAATTTGTCTGCTACTGTCAGTGTGTTTCTGCTAACCATACCATGAAATCGGACCAGTTTGGTTTGTGTCAAAACCAAAGGCAAGGCATTATACTCTGAAGATCACTTTCTTAAACAAATAACTATTCCACAAGATTTTTGCTCAAACGGCTGATAGGTCAGAAAAAATGTGTATTGCTTTGTAATCTGTCAGTTGATGACAACTTAGATAAAATCACATTTTTTTTATTTCCCTTGTTCAAATTCGTTTTCAGCATTTGCGACAAGTTGGCGTCGTGGGCAAATTTGTGGAATTCTTTGGCCCTGGTGTGGCCCAGCTATCCATAGCGGACCGCGCCACCATCGCTAACATGTGCCCAGAGTATGGTGCTACCGTTGGGTTCTTCCCAGTCGACCAGAACAGTATTGCCTACCTCAGGCAAACAGGTACGAGTTGGGCACCAGACATTGCAAGACATTGCTTTGTATTTGGTCCTCCTTGACAGTTTGGTTTATTAACAGATGCAAGGTTTGTGACTAGTTTGTCAAGGTGCATAACTTGTTTCTCATCAGTCATCCCCAATCTGACATTCTTTCCCCCCAATCCAGGTCGCGATGAGACACAGATTGCGTGCATCGAGGCCTACTGCAAAGCTAACCACATGTTCAGGGACTTCAATAACTCTGACCAGGACCCTGTCTTCTCGGAGGTAAAAAGCTGCTATTCCATTTGTTAAAGAACTGTCAAATTCAAAGCTGACAACACTCCTTGATCTTATTGATTCCTGGTTGACAAAATGAAAACAAAAAAAGAACTGGCTGTGATGAATTTGATGAGACATTATTCTGAACCCTCTCTGTTCTCCAAAATCCTTAAGAAGGTTTTACAGGAAAACCTGAAGTCCTGAAAACAAAGAAAGCCTTGAAGGTTTATATAATAGTTTTAAAGAAAAATAGAAATGACGAACTTTCAAATTAAGAATTGACAAAAAAGAAAAACTGACGAAAACAATTGCAAGTGTATAAATAACTTTAAAAAATCAGAAAATTGTCCTCAATGATTTTTGCATCTCAAAGACAAAATGATGCAGCTCTATTCACAATTTGAATTAAATATTTGATTAGTATTTTGTGCTTTTTCCTTTCATTTCCTATAAAAAAAAAAATTGTTTCTTGCTCTTTATCTGACTAGGTAGTAGAGCTGGACCTGAGCACGGTCCGCTCCTGCATCAGTGGGCCCAAGCGGCCCCACGACAAAGTCCTGGTGACGGACATGAAAGTGGACTTCCAGAGCTGCCTGGACAACAAGGTGGGCTTCAAGGGCTTCCACATCCCCAAGGAGCAGCAGTCCACCACGGTGCCCTTCCAGTTTGACGGGACTGAGTACACGCTGACGCACGGCTCAGTAGTGATTGCTGCAGTTACCAGCTGCACCAATACCAGCAATCCATCAGTCATGCTTGGAGCGGGTAAGTGGGAGAATGGTGTTATATCAGCCAAACATTCGTTCAACAATATTTCAGCCTTACCTTCAATTCTTCAATGTCAATCAGGCATTTTTGGAGGATTTTAGAGGATTGAGGTAGTGGTCACCACTCTTGAAAAAATTCAAGAAATAATGGATGATCGTGGAGGATTGAGGCTGTATCCTATTGTGTGTACCATATCTCAAGATGGTCTTGGAAAAATGGTCAATGGAAAATGTACATAATGCATAAAGTTTGCCTCTCTGTAGTGCCAGTCTGACACTGGTTTGATCTTCATGTCCCATTCTCCAACCAGGACTGCTTGCCAAGAAGGCCGTAGAGGCAGGCCTGACCGTCGAACCTTACATCAAAACCAGCTTGAGCCCAGGCAGTGGTGTGGTCACCTACTACCTGCAAGAGAGCGGGGTTATCCCTTACCTGGACAAACTAGGGTAAGAACAGAACTTTTTTTCCAAAAATTTCATTTCAAACTGCTGTGCATCCCTGGAATACCATTTGCCATTTGTCTTGTAGCATTGGTTGATTCTCATCATGGTTTGTTTTTGGCAGGTTTGATATCGTTGGCTACGGCTGTATGACATGTATCGGCAACAGTGGCCCCCTACCAGAGGAAGTCTCTCAAGCCATTGAAAAGGTAAGCTGTTCTTTGGTAAATGTGTCAACCATAACTGTCCAGACTGTCCAAACTCGCCAGGAGGTATTGGAAGGTTTGCAGGATCAAGTAAGTTAGAGCCTGGTCACTATTGCTGTCTTCAAAAATGGATGACTTCAAAAATGGATGACTTGATACTTTACTACTGGTGGACTCCATTTGATTGTTCAGAGTGCCTGAAGAAAAAAACTATTGAGAATTTACATTCAGTAGAAATATGAGCTAATTACTTTCTCTTTTTGAAATTTCATTGTGGAATCTGTTCTGCTTTTTCAGGGTGAACTAGTGGCCTGTGGCGTTCTGTCAGGCAATCGCAACTTTGAGGGACGCATCCACCCTCTGACCAGGGCCAACTACCTGGCCTCCCCTCTGTTGGTAATAGCCTATGCCCTGGCCGGCACTGTCAGCATTGACTTTGAGACCCAACCACTAGGTAAGTAGGGGAGTATGTTCACGATAAAGGAAGCATAAGAGAGCTTTTTAAGTTGAGATATTGTTGCAGTGGTTAAGGTGGAAAAGTTGTCTGTTTTTTGTAACAACTAATGTTTGGTCACAATTTGGACTCATAGCATAACGACCCTTTGTGGTTTTATATGAAAACAAATAATAAAAACAGCTGTATTCTCTTTGAGTGATCCTCGTTTGCTATTTGGCAAGTTTGCAGCATTGCTAATGTTGCTAGCATTGTGACTTTGGGCGTGATCCCTGGCAACATGACACATGTGGGTTGATGGCTTCTAACTAGCGCCCCTTGCACAAAGACATTGACAAATTGGGGAACTGCCAACATAGGGCTGGATAGCTCAGTTGGTAGAGAACTGGAACGGCAATCCGGAGGTTGCAGGTTCAAACCCCGATCCATTCAATTTCTTTATTCAACTTTAAAATTGACTATTTTTCTTGCACAAAACTGGAACTCATTTTCTGTTCTGCTAAAGCGTAAAACAAAGCCAGTGTTTTGTCTTCATGCAGCAAACCCCGGCTCTCAAGTAAACTTTATCTGTTGGATTTATCTTCAGGTAAGACACCAGAGGGCAAAGAAGTCTTCCTGCGAGATATCTGGCCCAGTCGTAGCGAGATTCATGAGGTAGAGAGGCAGTATGTCATTCCCGCCATGTTCAAAGAGGTCTACGCCAAGATTGCTGTAAGTAGTTCACAGAATGACACAAAAACGTCTTTCAGATCAAATTAATCATAGATTTGAAATAACTTCATTAAAAATGCGTGGCTTTTAAAACAATTGCAACCCCCTCAACGGTTACAAAGCTGTGTGTTCCCCCACTGGAGCTTCCGCAATTGGTAAAGAAATGTGCCCATCTGCTGTCTATAAGGAGCAACCACATCAAGACATTGACTGTCGCAGTCATTAAAAATTACTCCAGAGTCTAGTAAACGGTAAATGTTTGCGTGTCTGAAACCAATTATATTTTGTATTATATTTTTTTTTCTTTTTGCAGAAAGGTAACGAGCGATGGAACAGCCTGGATGCCCCAGAGAGCATGCTGTACCCTTGGGACTCCAAGTCAACTTATATCCAATCGCCGCCGTTCTTTGAAACCATGGTGAGACTTTCCAGTCAAGATGAGAATGTATTTTGGCAACCCTATTATTTCAAAGGATTGTTGAGTGCTCATTTATAACTCAAATAAACTGTGCGAGTAAGAAATTAATTGCTGCTAATTATAGGAATTTAAAGCAATTTGCTACAATGTTTGGCCCATTTTTGGCTCATGAAGTTAATTTAACTCTGCTTATTTTCCAGGAGAAAGAGATTCCACCAATCATGGGAGTCAAAGACGCCAGCGTCCTGTTAAACCTTGGAGACTCTGTCACCACCGACCACATCTCGCCTGCCGGCAGCATCGCCCGCAACAGCCCCGCGGCCCGCTACCTAGCCTCGCGTGGCCTCACCCCCCGTGAGTTCAACTCCTATGGCAGTCGACGCGGCAACGACGCCGTCATGGCGCGGGGCACCTTCGCCAACATCCGATTGGTCAACAAGTTTGTGGGCAAGGCGGGGCCTAAGACCGTCCACCTTCCGTCGGGTGAGACTATGGATATCTTTGACGCGGCCGAGCGGTATCGCAGGGACAAACAGACTTTGATCATTCTAGCCGGAAAGGATTATGGGTCTGGGTCATCGCGTGACTGGGCTGCTAAGGGACCCTGGATGCAGGTAGGATCAATCTGAACAATGGTTTTACATGACTAATGCATTTAAAAATCATTAATAACCTGAACAAATGTATAAATGTCTTCTCCCTCGTGGTTACTTCGAAGCTTCTGTTGCAGTTTACTTTTGAAGAATTCTTCTTTCACTACCAGAAAGAATTACAATAATTACTCAACTTTTCTGTCAAGCACAAATATAATCCATTTCTGTTGAGGTAGGCCCAAAGTTTGTCAAAGTTGGTTTTTTTTATGAAGGAACCTTGATTTCACATGGTATGACCCATGTACACCAAGCGCAGTACCACCTCAGTACTGGATTACTCTATATAATGCTTTCAGATTTTAGGGTTAGAAATTAAAGAGTCCTACGAAGAACACATCCACCCATTGAAAATGCTCATTTGTTAATGGAAAACTTGGCCCTATATCATGGAATTACTTTAAAAAAAAAAAACCGATGCTGCACAAAGTTATGTACTTTTAAAATTTAAAATTAAAATTTCAGCTTTAAACCACACAAATATGCAAACACTACACATTGTCCATTATATGAGCTGCAATCTAATGTTCCTGAGCAGAATCTCTGTTGTAGTTAACAACCGTTAGTGCTCACAGCTCTGTGAAATAATCCCCCATTGTCCACTGGATGTTTCTGTAAAGTATCTTTCTTCAGAATTTCACTGATCTGCTGGGCTTCATTTTACAACACCTAGCCTCCTGTTAGAATCTACTGTAAGCTTAATTTTAAAGGGAATATACAACATTTGCAAACATCGAAAAATAAAACTACCAAGTTTTTGCGAAATACCTTAATAGGATGTTGATAAATGACAGTCTAAAGCATCCTGTAAAATTATGGCACCTGGTATTCTGTCATTTTCAAGAAAAGTGGTATTTTTGTATCAATTTCCAACGCTGATCGGCCGATCAGCGTTGGAAACAACTGGCTTTTTTTCAAATACTGGCCCCAATTGACCATTGCACTTGTTTGCAATCGATTACAAACCTGTGAACGGGTACGAGCCAGCTAGACTGGTTCCATGACCTTACAATTCCCCAATGTATGTAAACTGCTCTGTTTCTTCTTATATGGAGTCAGGGAACCAGACTACAGGAAAATGATCGTTTTTCTTGGTTTTTATAGCATTTTCGAACCCAAAACCTCCAAAAAGTCAGTGTAACTATATTTGCTTTATATTTCCAATCCCCCAATTCCATCCATTTCTGAAAATTAGAGCAAAAGCAAATGATGTATATTCCCTTTAAGCAGTAATGATTAGCAGGAACCGTGTGATACCCCATTAAGCACATCTTAACGATTGCACCGTTCATTTCAGGGTGTGCGTGCCGTGATCGCCGAGAGCTACGAGCGAATTCATCGTAGTAACCTAGTCGGCATGGGCATCATCCCACTGCAGTTCCTACCAGGCCAAAATGCCGACTCCCTGGGCCTGACTGGCAAGGAGAAATACTCCATCGAGGTGCCTGAGGACTTGCAGCCTGGACAGAAGGCGACCGTGAAGGTAATGATTTACTTCAACAAAACTTGTGTTACTTCTACATTAATTAATGCATTTGGCATTCATTTTTGTCTGTATTCACTTATGCATAATTATTATGACTTCAGTGAAAAGTCCAAATTAAGGCAATAGTTTGAGCCTTATGTGACTCGTTATTAACATACATATAAGTTGTGTCTGCACACAAATAGCAATGTGCGAACCTCTCTTATCAAACGATGGTCAAAACCTTAAAGGTATAGTCCATCATTTGTGCATTTTGTTCGTTTGAAGCAACAAAAGTGCTCAAAATCTAAAGAAGGGTACTGAACAATTAACCTGATGAAGTTTCAGCTCAGCTTTAGCTGTATATTTCGAGAAACACAACATTCTAGGATCTGGATTTCAAATCAAAAGTTGCGGAATCATGTTTTGAATTGGGCCTGAATTCGGTATCCGAGACACGTTCTCACTGAGCCGATTGCAGCTATATGCGATGTCACGCACTGATCCGACAAATTATAGCAACTGCGTGTGCGTCGTGCCAATGCTTGCGTGCGCTTCACCGAATAACAAAACAAACTCCTTAATTTGAATTTCCTACGGTGCTTAAGAAGCACGTTGGAAAGGCCTTCTTTTGTTGATTTCTTCAAAATGACAGCTTGCCAGAAAGAATAATTTCACAGGGAGTTTAGTCCCCTTACTATCTTTCAACCAAGTATGTTTTGCAACATTAATTACGCCAGTTACTTTTTGGATAGCTGCAAATGATGGACTCTGGCTTTAATCTAAAATTCTTGGTCCTGGCTACCTGCTGTGCATTAATGATGTGCACAGCTATTGGTAACCAGTAATGCAACCTACGCTGAGCTCTGGTTCCAAATAGTCGACTGGAGTAGTCCAGTCATCCTGCATGCGAGTGAAGTTAGTCACGCTATGGTTAGCCATAGTCCTTGTCCGAACTAGCTCCATGTTGTGGCTACTTGTGGGTTCTGTGGTCACTAAAGAGTTCAGATATTCAAAAGTATTGACAGTTTTCACTGTCATTTCCAACTTTGATTATTTTTGTGTGTATTTTTCTCTTCTTACAGACGAGTGATGGTCGTGCCTTCGAGGCCATCATCAGGTTCGACACTGACGTAGAGCTCACCTATTTCCGGCACGGTGGTATCCTCAACTACATGATCCGACAGAAACTGGCTGTATGAACCAAAACAAAAAATCATGTAGATGATGCATTAACATTCGTGACCTATAACAGTAACTTGACTTAAAATGCGATAACTGCTTTAACGCCGTGTATGGGTACATCAATTGTGGGTGAATATAAAGATGGTTTCTACCTTATTTTGTGATTATGAAATTTCAAAATTGGCTTCTGGTTCCATTTTTGGCCTTAACATTGCTGTGAGGAATTGAAATTGAGTTGAAGAATTCAATGCCATTTTGTTCAGTGAGTCCAATATTAGAATATATCCACTCAAAGATTCACTCAAAATGTTGACGCTCAAAGAGTCCAAATTTTCGAACTCCAACAAATTACATGGTGCCCGAGATTGTGGCCAAATTGTAATGTTACGTCAATGTTTTATGCACGATGTTGGAATTTACACGCTGTGTCTCAATAGACACGCGTTTCAACTTTCGAGTCCCAATTCGTGTTCTTGGTACCAATTTAGTTACAAATTACAGTCAGTGTTAAATAAGGTGTCCAGATGTAAAAATTTAAACACCCTATTCATGTTTCGTGTTTCAACTCTGAAAAAATGATCTACGTGTATTATGATTGATTGTCTATCGAAGAAGCAACAGAGGTACATGATTGCAAATTTGCAATTAAATGCCATAAAATTCAGGCACAATTTGAAGTAAACTTTTTCAGGCTTTATTAGCGACTCTACTTTTTGAGCAATTGACTAGTTTTGAAATAAAATAAGAACAAAAATGAGGAAAAACCATGTAAAGAACTGAAAAATAATGTGTGTGATCATCATTGTGACAAACCATCTCATGGACTGGATTTTGGGATTTTTTTTTAAGTTTTGAAAAACGACTTTTGAATTTTGGAGGGCATTGTTTTTTAATTTTACAATTAGTGTTACGAACATTGACTTGTTCATACTGTTTTTAGTTTACATTTTAGTAAACAAATCAATCCAATATGTTTAGTCCACTGCATATTGAGATGTTATTTGATGGTCTCCATCAATGCCCAAATTCATTGTTCTGTATTTACTCAAAAGATTTATTTTGAAAAAAAAAATTAAGAGAACATGTAATCTACATGTATGTATGTGTGGAACATGACTGTATCTTAAATTTTGGGTTCTTCATTTTAGTTTACACAAAATATGCACGAAACACCCCCAATTTTGAAATGGAAAGAAATTAAATTGGAGAAAAGGGTAAAATAGAACATTAGAGAATGCACACTGATAGGATTAGTATTTCTTTTAGGAAAATACACTTTACTTAGTCCAATTATTAACTCTCCTTCTTTTTCAGAAACAAATAATTGATTAAATTTAATTCAGTACATATTCAATGCTGCGTTTAAATATGGAAATTGTTTATTGAAACAGAGTTATTCCAACAAAAACTGTTTCTTGGTAATGAAAAAATAGTTTTACTCTGTAAACCCATTTAAACAAAGAATTGTGTGAAATTGGGAGATGGTGCTATACAACTTTGGATGTATTTGTGAGTGAAGTACCTAATGGTGACGGGGCTATTTAATTTTCGGGATATTGAAGTGGAAACTAGATTGAGGAATTCTCATAGTAATACAAAAATACAAGTAACTGTTGGCAGAATTGTGAATGAGTTGAAATTGATAAATATCTTGGTGTTATCTTGTGATAAAATTGATGGGTAAAAGTGAGAAAATAGATCTGATAAGAGGACCAACTTTGGTGAGTGTTCAGAGTTTCAAGGAACGTTCAGTGTCATTGTGGATGGGGCTGCCGTTAAAATGTACCAGAAATATTTAGCATTTGAAAGCAAACGTCATATGAAAAATATATTTTGAGTTGATTTTAATGAGTTTTTAAAACTCAAATCTACAACTTGGAAGTATTTTTTGTTTTCCTTCCCAAAATCAACTGTTGGTTTTAATCAATTGTTGGTTATCATTCCACATGTGAACGGTGGGGTTTCATTTTGTTGAATAGTTATTGGAGGAGTTATATTACGACATTTCAAATATGTGCTGATGTTATACATTGCAATTTAATAAATTTGGAACGGAATTCAGTTCCACATAAAAATTGTATATTATTTGCCTTTTTTTTTTATTTCTTCAGTTCAGAGAAACATTGTTGCCTGTGTCAAACACTTTTGTTCTTCTTTCTTCCAAAAAAGTCTGCTGTTATGGTAGTTGTCATTACAGAAATTAGATGATAAAAGTAACGGGTGAAAAAAAAGTGGGGAGGGGATACTGTTTCAAACGAATATCACCGAGTGTAATGCTTTAATTCCAGTTGCTTACAGACTAAGCTCTGGGCGAGTTTTATGATGGGTAACACAAGTCCGAAAATTTGGGGGAATTCTTCACACTCTTTCGTTTGTAACACTCGTGGGAAAGTCATTTTTTATGTAAATTTATTTAAATTTATGGCCAGATGAAATTTAGAACCGTAATTGGATGTTTAGGGTTGCCTGTACTATTTTGGGGATTCAAACAATGCAAAAACAATGACAACACAAGTGACTTTTGTTTGTCCGATTAATCAAAAAAATGTAATGTTCATAAAATTACTTCTCTTTGCCAATATGATTATAATACATCAAGAATTGACCATGAATACAACGTATACACATGCTTTACATTATCATGCACTACAAGACTACAATACTCTTAAATACGTTTTTTTTTTACCTAAAAAAGATTGGCAATTTCTACCCTCTTGACAAAATCTACTTGAGAGAGTTCTACTCGAGTCAATCATAAGTCAAATCACAAGTCCAGTCAACAGATAAGGGAGAACAGTGACTAAGAAATGCCTTTGACACGGTTCGTTTCATTGTGTTGTCATGGACTTGTGATGGACTCGCTTTTTAAATGTGCCACTTGAATTAAAAAAAAAAATTCATTGCACTGATGACATCTCTCGAACTCAAAAATATTTCATTTGCAATTTCACAACCAAAATATTTTGTGATGCAGCACGGATGTGCTTATCAAGAAAGCACATGCCAACACACCTTTTAAAAAACATTAGACATTGTGTTATACAAACGGTAGAATTCTGTCATTTTATGCATTCTCTCGAAATGCAAGATTAGTTTACTCTGTTCAGTAGCATACACATTTTAATTCATGTCAAGGGCAAAGTTTATTTTAATGTGACAAATATTAGACAGATTATGTTAGCAATGTCACCAGCACCAAATCATGCATATTTTATAATCAAAATGCAATTCTCATTGGGCAAAGGGTCAGGGCCATGTGACAGCAAGAGCCAATGGCTAGCTTTGACTGCTTTTGGATACACCATGAATATTAGACTGGCTTACTAGTCCATTTTAATCTCCATGTGCAATTCACATAAAAAAAAATAAAGTTGCTTCAAAGATCTATGAACTATTTTTTTGCCATAAGATCTAATTGTTTTGCTATTGGAGTGTTTTTGTTTTTGACATTTCTACAGGACACATTTGCACAATTTAATCCAAAAAATGTACACTCATGCCTTCAAAAAAACATATTTGAAGGGAAACACACTGTATGGAAAATATAAAAATCAAAACAAGGATTTTTTTATCAGCTGACGGAAGGGTACACAATTTTCTTTTTACTACATGACAAGTTTGACATTGAAGACATCCAAGTTTTAGTTTATGCAAATTATTTTATATGATAATATATATAAATATCTATACAGTTGGCATATAGGCAATCATAAATAGACTTACACCATTTACAAATGAACATTTGACGATTTGTTTTGACAATTTTTCTAACCGCAAACTCATAAAACTTCAGGTGTTACCATCTCAAATAACAAACATTCTAACAAAAAGAAAAAAACCCACAAAACTTGATGAAAAATATTGCAATTAGACCAATTTTAGAATTTTCGTTTATACCTGTTTGCCCCATTTGTCCTCAGCTTAAAACTTGTACCAGTGACTACCAGTTCTTAAGACTTGCCTTACTTCAAATAGAAATATTGAAAATGATGTGTACCAAGGAAAAACTACACATGGTCTCAAATTCAGTACACACAACTGCAAAGAAATTGAATCGTGAAAAACAAAACAACGAAAAAAAACACCACGGCACTGTGCTTTACAATTGCAAACAATAGAATAATAAGAAATTCATGTAACTTGTCGAGTATAAATTTTAACATCTAATTTGTTGCAACTAAAAATGTCAAACGCCTATTTATTGCCTGAATTACAGTAATGATAGCATACGTATGAAAAAAAAGTGTACAAGTTAAAAGTACATGTACATAGCTCAGGTGTTGCAATAGTAGCACATGTGCCAAAAATCGACAAATGAATCTATGACAGGAATAAATCCCATTTTAAAGAAAAGCCAGATTTACTATTGCTTAAGTCTTTTTATTTTAGTCTCTGTAGCACCTGAAACTGCCCTGCCTATTACTCACTGTAGTGCCTGAAACCAACTGAGCACTCTATGGTTTTATTGATTCTTCAGTAAATAAACACATTGTACTACAATGTAATACAATGTAATACAAGTACAGGTGATAATAGGTTAAACAACTTCAAAATAAAAACATTATAGTTGAAGAGATGTCAAATTTTACATTGTACATGTAAGAAGAGCACACAATGAACAAGAAAGGTATCAATAAGATTACCAAGAAAGACGAGAGTGTTTTTACAAATGTTTATCACATTTTTTGTGTGTCAAACTTGTTTAGTAACGTTTTAATGAAATTTTCAATGCAATTTCAATGCAATGCCCATAAACTACAGTCTGTAGCTATTGGTTCTTTGCACTGTTCTTATTATTTTATCCTGCAATCAAAATCTAAGAAAAACATTGAGATGACGAGAGAAAAATATATGGACACAAAATGTAAGAGTAATCCTGAGATGGTTTGAGCCAAAAGTGCCCACATCTGTCACATAGAACATTTCAGAATAATTTCCAGAAATTACAATTAATGATGTAATTCATTATGACACAGCTCTTGAAAAAAATGCATCACACATCAATGAATGACACGTCACAAACTGAGAAGTGGGTGGTTACGATTAAAAAGAGTTTTAGGAAGGGTTTTTTTTTTGGTACTGCCTTGTCTTTGGTAATGTGCAAGGACACTAAATTCTCCTTGACAAAAACTACAATTTTAAGATATCAATGTTTTTTCCTTGTCAACTGGCAAAGTGAGCTCAAACACAAATTTGTAATGCCACAGCTAAACATTCTTGCTTGAATTTGCAAAAGTTGAGCACTTTCAAGAATGGTACATTTCTCTGCGAATGTTGTGTGAAGAAACGTTTGCTAATTTGCATTTGCAGTATGGACGAGCCATCGTGCTGGAAACCACTGCCCTATGGAAGGATGTTGGAGATGGCTCATCTGTTTTCCAAAAACACTTTACGTGGGCAACACAATGCATTATTGGTAGCCTACCATCATGGTCGATGCATGGTCGATGCAAGTTTAAATTAGCCATTGACAATGGCTAGGGTAGGGTGATCACCAATAGTGAGCAAAGATTGTTTTCCAAATATTTGAACATCTGCTGATGATAGATATATATACATTTCTCAAGAGTGAGTCAAAATTTGGTTGATCGAGACGGTGAAATACACAAAATACACAAGTCGTTGAGGCTGATCAGACATACAGCCAACGATTATCAGACATAACATGTTTACATCATTTCATTATTCTGCATAGATATCTGTCATTTTTTTCATTTGGATTTACCACATCAATTTCTGTTCATTCAATGCTAAGAAGGCCCTTCCAGCATTTTGACGCACCAATTGGTCTAGTGCTCAAGAGACAATTTTAGGGACATGTTTAATTCTGATCTGTGGTCCACAAGATCCTTCGAATCAGGGGACTTGCTGCCCCTTAAAAGTTCAAGATTTGGGTTGACTCAATAAGTAACCACTAGCCACTCTTTCTAGCTTGGCATTGTTGCATACAAAAAATGGAAGGACTCTTTGGCACTGAAGAAAAATTTGAGCATGTCTTTGACACGATTTTATGTACTTCAGTATTACATACAAGTAACATACTGGTAGTTGCACCATTTTTAAGATGTAGAACAAAATTGTTTACTTTCTTTTACTTTTTGGGGGTTACATCTCAGGTAGAATCTTTCGAGACACAATCTAGGTGGTTCTCGCTAGGTTGGCTGTCCAGAGAACTTGACGGATTCCCATCCACGTTCTTGTTACCTGTGTTCGATTTACATACTGACTTTCCTGACTGTACGCAGTCTTTGTTCGTGCACTCGCAAGAGTTCAGTGATTGCGGGCAATGCTCAGAGTGGGGCATTTGGTCTCTGTCTGACAGGGAATTTTTTAAAGGTTTTGAGACCTTCGCCTCTGGTATCGGATTAGAAGCATCTTCCTTGTCATCATTGTCGTGGAGTGTCAGTGATTGGATGGTAGTCTGGGTCTCTGCAACCCAGTCAGCGATGCGTCCTTTGTCAAGTGGGAGGTCTGTCTTCCTTTTCAAGATGGCGAGTCCTCCATCTTCCATTTCATTATCATCATCTTCATCATCGTCCTCATCCTCGTCCTCATCTTCCGAGTTCCGTCGGTGGAAGTCGGTATCGATCCCATCCAGGTCTTCTTCATCTTGATCCTCATCACTCAGATTGGAGGCATCTTCGTTGTCGACATCATCATCTTCGATGTCATCAAGTTCGGCAGCTTCCAGGGTCTCCGAGGACGTCTTGGAGGCGCCTTGCTCAACGGTCCCAGAATCCTCGCTGTAAGCTCCTTCCTGGCTGAAACCTTTGTCACTCTCATAGCCGCCTGTTGTGTTGTCGCCCCCTGTCTCCACAAACTCTGGGGCCGTCAACATTGAAACCGGTGCCCCCGCGGTATACTGCGTGGTCGTGACTGCGTCGTCAAAGCGGACCTCTCTAACAATCTCGTTCCCCCGGCTGTCCACCTCGGGTTCCGGGTCCGGATAATCCTCAGATATAGGCTCCGAGATGACACTGCTGAAGGATATACCGCTGCAGCCAGACAGGTTGCGGTAGTGGCCAAGGTGGTGCCGGTGTTTGGAGAAAGGAACCGCCGTGGCCGCTGCTTCTAGCTCCTGCTGGTACTTGCGGATCATGGAGGTGTAACTCTCGCGGGCATTCTTGGTTAGGTCCAGAAGGTTCTTGTAAAACTCCTTGGAAAGGGAAAAGAAAAGACAACAAATCAAAACAGATTACAAACAAACAGCTTGTCTTACCTTTGTAGCTGGGCTTGATACCTCTTCGGACCGATAACATATGGACCTGCAACAATATAGTGCTCACCACCATATAACCTTCACTTTATAGTAGGCCAAGTTCAGTTCTCTTTTCTAAACGTTCCATTTGTGGTTAGAAGTCTCTTTGCAAGAAAGCTTTCCAATTCTTTGCCTCCAAATGCAAATCGAAGGATTCTGTCACTGATTTCTTGATTCCAATCTCGGCTTAGAATTTCAAATGGGAACAGAATTTTGATATTTTTGTCGGACACGAAGGGCCAGCTCATTGTCCACTAACGGACTGTCACTGACTACCTGCCTGACTGAATCACTGATTATAAACCAAAACTGTGACCTTTGGGTACAGCACGACTAGACAAGCCTCCACTTGTTCTATTTCATTTTCTACTGACCTCCGCTCCATCATAGTTGAATATTCCCACCACGCTGACGGGGACTAGCTTGTTGACGGCACGGCCTAGCGCCTTACGGCCGAGGGCAAAGACAACGGGTACATTCTGCTCAGCGGAGAGTGCCATGATGCGATTCAGCGCATCATCCAACCCACCTGCAAGTAGCCAAGTTCAGAGATTCAGGGTAACAGAAGACAGACTTTGGGGAACATTATGTAACAGATCAAACTATTACTGCCTAAAACATGGTTTCAGGATCCTGCAAATATATCCAATAATAGGATTTGGAGGATCTAATCTTTCTTACACATGATTGTGGTTTTGGAAATGTGCAAACAGTGATTTTGTTGCGAGTTCAGGAATTTTGTGGATGGAAGCACTGTACATGTGTATCTGGCTCCAGAATCTGAAATTTCGTGAACGAGAGCAAGGTTCAGCTTCTCATTTTTAGGAAGTGTCAAAATTGTTTTAAAAAAGCGTCTTCAGTTATTGTATCGTTTCCTCCTAACTGATAACATGCCCAAATATGAAATAATTTCATCAACTGTTTTGTATTAGTCCATGCAGTCTTCACTCCAAATAACTTCCCTCAATAAATTGCAAGGTAAATTTCCATATATTATCACCCTGCACTTCACTTACAAAAACAAATTGGGATCACTTGCACAGTTTTGGTGTTTTCATAGTCTTTACCTTTGGACTGTATTCTCTCCAGATTTGGCGAGACCATGATGCATTTGATCTTCTTGAGTTTGAGATGCTTGGTGACTTCCCGTAGTCCCATCACGATACGTCGCTTAGCCTTGGCCTGTTATTAATGACAAACAACAAGATGATTTCAGCCAAGAATAAAAAAAAGACTTCAACTGACTGTGCGTCAACACAAGAGAGCTCTCTGTCAACTAAAATCTAGAGCATGTTAAGGGCACTCAGTAGGATCACTGATTCATCATGCAAGTAGTTCATGTCATCTATGTATACCTGCACATAAAAAGCATTTGGTCCTCGATATTTCAAATATTTCTCATTTTGTTGAGAGGGTACTTTTGAACTGCAAATCAAATGATCTCATAGTTGGGAACTGCTGCTTGAGGATGCATTACGTCACTTCTGGAGGAAGATAAGAGGGTATGGTCTGAATCCCTGCCTACCTTTGTTGGGTCTTTATGGTACTGTCTATCCTGGAACCTGACCAAGGCCTGTAGTAGTGTGGTGCAGCATGCGTCAATGTCTTTGTCTAGCACTTGGTTGCAATATCTGAAAGCAAACAGTAGCAATTAACCATTACCCTACCAGATCCTACAAAATCAAACAACAGGTGTTTTTTTGGTTGGATTTTGTAAGATAAGATTTAGGAAGTTACAACCAAGCCACTATTGTTGGACATAGAACTTATTGCTTTCTTAAGAGTTGAGTAAGAAAATATGTGCCCAATGGTTTTGTGCAGTGTTGGATTTTTGTGTATTCTCAACGGTTCCTAACAAAAAAACGAAATACTTTTTGGTTGAAGTATGAAAAACTAAACAAATAAAAAAGATTCTATACTCTGTATTGCATATAATTGCAACCCCCAAAAAAGCCTTCTTCTGCATGAGAGAGACAATAGAATGCCAGACTTTAATGCAAGATATTTCACAACCAAATTTTTGAAATATGGCAAAGCTGTAAACAAGTAAACATTTGGTTTTGCCCTTCATCGATCAAATGTGATAAGCTCCGTTATAAGAGTTTGTGGGAAAGCCTTCTCAACACTACTTTTGTGGGACTCGCACCCTAGGCCTCCTGTTTATCAGTGCAAACGTCTGGGAGATGTGCATTTTAAAGAAACAAGTTTAGCTAATATTCTTGAAGGCAGCTCTCAAATCATGCACAAAAAATGGATTTCAACTTATTTTTTGAATATACGAATCAAACAAATGCTCTTCGGATATCCAATTGATGATCAAATATTCAAATATTCGATATTGTCGGTATATTCAGGACAGCCCTAACGTTCTACCACTCATAAGCAGGAGAAACTACTAAGGAGTTAGTGGGTTCGAATCCCACCCAAGTAAGCTTGTGAAGCTCTCAGGCAACACTGAGCATACAGTGGTAGTAACATTACATAAGTTAAGGGAAAATTACACAATTCTTTGATGGACTTACTCTCTGAACCTGCGGCTGTGAATGGATGGATTGGCCTGGGCTGGGGAAGTCGACTTGAATCCCGTGGCTGGACTGGACAGGCCAGAGCTGAGGGGCGAGCCAGGGGAGAGGGGGCTCATACTCATGGGGGACATCTGGCTCAGGGGTGAAAGGTCACTCTGGGAGGTCATGAAGGGGGAAATGTTGGAGCCTCTCTCGCTAGCTGTCAAGAAAAGATAAAAAGTATTAAGCCTTTGGCTTCAACAGACCTAACAAATATACTGCAAGATATTGGTCAAATATGAGGGCCTTACCACAGGGAAAATACAAATTATGAGAAATGTTTCAGAACCATACATAACTCTTTGGCTGTTTGACCACCTAAGTTTTCCAAATTTTGCTAGTCAACATTTTTCAACAGACATTGACAAGAAACGTGAAACTGCTGGAGTATGATGTGGGCTTTTGTGGTGAGTAAAGTACCAATTGTGACAACATTTTTTTCAGAACCACACTTCTTTGCATAAGTCTATTTCATAAAAACGAGTCAGTTCACCTCTAAAAAAAAGGTTTGCCTTATATCAGGGATGCAGTCGAGTTTATAATTTATGACAAGTCCCTGCAAGTCCATCACAAGTCCCAATTCAACTCACAAGCTATTCAAATGAGATTTAACAAAGGCATTCCTTTGTTATTGTTCATCAAATGTTTCTTGTGACTGGACTTGTGATGGACTCGACTTCATCCCAGCATACTGCATGCTTAATAAAGTGCAAAAATATCATTCACTTAGTGTATTGAAAGGAAGATACCAGTGTTGCATGCTTTGTGGTTTGATCACTTGTCTGTACTCACCGTCTTGTGATAAGCCTAGGCCAGCATCTCCACTCATGGCATCTATCGTCTTATCATCACCTTGAGATAGTCCACTGGAAAAGAACAAATCAAAGAGACACGGTGAGGTAGTGCTGTAAGAAGAGTCTTCAAATGCCAGTTAATTAGTTGTTTTAAACTACTGAAATAAAGTCTTAACATGTATCTCTCATAAGGACACTCATACTTTTTATCTTGTTTTTTTTTTTAACAATATACATTTTATCTTTATCAATTTATATTTTTCGTCTTTTATCAACTTTTTTGTTTTATCTATATCTACCACTGTACATGTAATTCTTGTAATTCTTGAATTTTCCAGTTTATTGTTATTCTTGAATTTTCCAGTGGTTTTAATACCCTTTTCAAGTTTTTAGGATTCAAAAATGCTTTTTGAGTTTTTTAAATAGTGAATTATAATCTTTTTTTATTGTTTATGATTTCATCGTGTTGGTCAGTGTTGTTTCAGGAATCAGGGATTTTTAAAGTAACAAAACATCATTGAATAGAATGGAACTGAATTGAATATTAATCTTGGCCTAAGTCTCCAGTGACTTACTCCTCTGCATCTGACAGGCATGTCTCCTGCAAGGTGCGTAGTCTCTTGTTCTCCTCTCGCTCCTTCAGGATGACTCTCTTGAGAGCGCTGGGTTTCTTCTTGACGGGATTCTCCCGTTCTTTGCCTCTCTTTGCTGGCGCTGACGCATCTAAAGGATTGTGACCCTAGAGGAGAAAAAAAAAATCAAGAAATTAATCCTCTTTAACTGCAGAAATAAGATGAATACTACAGAGGAGGAAAGGCCAAAAGTTCACCAACAAAATATGTGTAAAAGACTGCAAGAATCAAGAGTCGGGTGAGCATCTTGAGGTTTAAGTTGTTTTGCGAATACATTTCTTGCATGCCTGTATGAGGTTAGGAGTCCAATCACTCAAATCATTACTCACTCAGTACTTGGTCAACACAGCCTAGGTGCTTGGGCTTGATTCCTAATATACCAACTTATATCTCAATAAACTTGAGGACTCAGACTAAGCATAGCTGGGGTGTGGTGTCATAATTGGTAGCAAAACAGTGAACCTGTTGTGCCACTAGAAATAACACCAACTAGTGTTGGGCTGACAATTTTTCACAAAATTTTGAAAATTGGAAAATTGGAAACTGACTAAAAACTGACAAAAATACTAGTTTAGCAGCATCTGTGACAACTACAACATTATCAACTCCGTGCACAAGCACCCTTACTCAGTTATAAGGACAGAGTTTGGAGGGACTTGAATGTATTGCTGCCATACACCTGCCGACATTCAAGCTAAAACAATACAGGCATGTGCACATTCAGAATCAAATAAATTGTGCATACTTCACGTCATATGTAGTTGGTACAAAACGTGTACCTGCCACGGAACTCTCACGAAGCACGTTCTATTGTTTATACACCAAGATTCTATTTTGTCTTACCAGGGCAGGCTCCTTGTGGGTCGGTGCAGCCGGCTTGGGTGCAGCCACCATGGCAGTCGCTGCTGCTGTAGTAGGTTGCTTGGCCTCGATGTGGGGCTGTGCTTTAGAGGGCGTCGCAGCAAACGGCACAGCGGCAGGGCGGCCTTTGCCTGCAATCCCCTGCTGCAGTGTCTTGGCTTTGGTTTCTTGCTGTTGTTTCTGTAAAAACGGACACGTACAGGATTAAGTTTGGATACTCATTTCAAATACACATCCTGCATGCTTACAGGCATAGTGGTAAGTAGTATACATTGTATCACCCTAAACCAACTTTCTTGATTAAAAAACATGTTAAAAAATTTTTTAAGTTTACTAAATGCATAAGTACTGTAAATCCCCCACTTCTAAACATTTTCACACAAAAAGGGGGAAATAAATTTAGAAATTCAGTTCAAAACTCTCTTTTGGGAGGGGGGTGGGAGGTGTTTCAGCACTTACACCAGAACAATCACGAAAAAGAGCTAATTTTATTATTTTCAAATGAAATTCCCAATAATTTGTTGTTCAACTATTCTATCAAAACAAATATACATGTATGTGTTTCGAGTTAACAAATATTTAGACAACATGTTACATAGAGAACCAAATAGGGAGGCAACTGTTACATGTATATTGCCACAATGTAGTGTATTAAAATTCGGACCAATTTCTCCCATAATCACACTGCTGTTCATTCTCTCTGATTCCTAAAATCAAGTTCAACCATGAAAGTGGTGACGACAGAAACCAATCCAATACTGTGGTTTCCTTTTCCTGCATGAAAACGCAGGTGGCAAAACTGAATCATCAACTGTTTCAGAAAAAACAACCAATTATGCATATTGAAACAAAACCCATACAACTAAACAGTGCATCTGGCACATTGCGGAAACCAAACGCTGACGGGATGCATTAAGATAATTTTAAAGTTGAACAAAATAATCAATGGAGCAAGGTTTTAACCTGCGACCTCCGGATGCACTACCAACTTAAATCCAGAGGTCGAAGGTTCAAAGCCTGCTCCAGTCAATTTCTTTATTAAAAATTATTACAGTGCACCTAGTCATTTTCCCTTTGTGGTTTATTTGAAAGGATGCATTAACCCTAACCGTCCTAAATACTTCAAAATCCTCATTGCATAAGTGGAGGATTTTGAAGGATTGAGGCTGTTTGGCAACAATGTGTCAGTTGATTTCGGAGGATGCATTGTGTCAAGGTCTTAGGCTGAACCTTGTGTCATTTATGCCCGGCCATGCATAAATTTATGCCTAGGTAATAATTGAAACATCCGAACTGCTCCTGAAAATCATCCGCACTGTCTCAACATTTTCAAAGTGATTGTTGGAGGATTTTCCAGGATTGAGGCAGTGGTCGCCCCTCCATTGAACAAATTCAAGAAATAACGCCGTACGGATGATTTTGTAGGATTGAGGCTGTATCCATTTTTACATGGAGGTATATGTACATGTAGTTGGAATATTTTGCAGCATTGAGGTTGCATCCTTGGAAAAAGGCCTAGGTAGTTAGGGTTAAGGTCAATTAATCCTTCATCCATTTTACCCAATAAACAGTGTACATGTACCTTTAAACCCAATGCCAACCCCCCCCCCCCCCCCCCCACCAATCCTCCCCCCCCCCCCTCCACCCACACATACATGTACACACCCACACGTCGCACCACCCATGCATCCAGTACCACAGACACCCACATGTACTAGCAGGATAGGACTGAGGTAGACCGATAATCCCCTTCAATCTATCCAGGAAGGAAGCTAGGGGGGAAATTACCCCCGATCCTGCCCCCTGTTTCAGTTTTCCTCCCCGGCCCCAGCGTATGGCCAAAGGAAACGCTGACTCTGACTGACATGACTGAGGTTGCGGTGTTCTACTATGGCTCAGCAGTTTTTCTTTTATTTTTAAAAACAAATGACGAACTCCAACTGTTGAAAAATTACAAAAATAGTGTGTGAGCTTTAGCTTCACAAATTTGGTTCATAAGTCCTTGCCCGATTCAGGCTTTCTCAAATTGTAAATAACATGTTGGCACCATACATGTGTGTGTACTTTTCTATACACCTCAAATTTCAGGCAAAAATGTCAGAGTCCACTTACACAAAACTGAACCCTAAGAAAGTAAAATATCTGAGGTTCTTGTAATTGTATCTTCACAAGTAATATAATTCCTTGTATATTTTTGCCAGGATACTTCCCAATTCCAACGATTGAGTAGGAACCCAAATTCTTTGTACTGTACTTTTTTGTGGCTTCACGTTCAATGTACGGTTATAGTGTCTACACTGTAGACCAATTCAGGCATGCAATCAATTCTATCACAAAGGCCCCCTTCAATGGCGAAAGCATTGTGCTAGCTATTGTTCAGATAGTCCATCACAGCACAGTTGCTGTGTACGGTAACTAATTTACAAACCCCTTTAAGAGAAATCCACCAACCATGATTAATTTAAAGTGAATACGAATAGTCTTCGCACTACATGTTTGTGTCTTAATTATGTATAAACGTGTCAATCATTATAAAGGTTGATATATTGTCGCATATTGCTTCACGCATGAAGGCTGGCAGCTTGAAAGACTTGTATGTGTAGCTGTAGCTGTGCATGTGGATAATGAATTTCTAATGGTTTTTAGAACTGCTGCTAACATAACAGAGTGAAATACAATATTGATGTGATTGTGCACACCACGTTATCATCAGTGTAGATGAATTACAGCACAGCCAAAATTTTCAGCGATAACCTTGGATGTACATACAGCAAAGTTTTCTGTGAATGACGTTTGACGGAAGTCCGATAAGCAGGACGATATACTACGGTTGACCTTTTCCAACATCGTAAACACAGAATACATGTACACGTATGCTGAGAGTTCAGTGAGAGAAAGGGAACACCAAGGATCTGATCTTATCTCAGTTCACAATTTTCTTGTTTACCATTTAATAAAAAAATGAAACACTTCTGCCTGATTTCATACCGTTTCTGGCTAGTTTTTTTAAACTCCAGTTTGTCAAAATTCAGTCAGATTTCTTTTCCACTATTGGGATATTTTTCGTAAACATATTTCAAATTGTTATTTATGTGGTGATGAGCAGCTGGTAAAAAAGAAATATTGACTTTTTCAATATTAAAAAAAAGAGACGATCATCCCCTTTACAATAACATTAAAATATCTGAAAATAGACTTGGGACCTCTCTTTCCAAAATTATGCCTATTTGGAGATTTGGATGTCACAAAAGTAAGAACAGTGAATACAGCCGCATACTGCTTTGTACAATGTATCGTTACATGTACATACAGAAGTGTACATGTGTACCAGTATGTAAAATTGTTCATTATTCCCAGTCAGTTGTATCCACTGAGCTGTATCATATTATATGTACTACAGAGCTAACTCACCCGTAGCCTTCACAATGTAGCCCACTGGGCATATCAATGATTTTGCCCAAATCTATGGAAGGCTCAACATTTTGCATGACTACATGTATTGAAATCTGTGTTTGTATTAAAAACCGATACTTATATGAAGCCAATATGCCTAAAACTGAAATGTAAAATGTGTGTAAAATCAGTAAATCAGCATTTCCTATTATTGCGTGTATGCAAGACGTGCTTCTGAAAAGTTTAATCATATTGTTCATGCTTATGGAACCGCACCTATACAGCTGTGTGTTTGCTACACTCTCGTATTGCAATTTCGAGATCCCAAGTGAAATTTCATTTTATCCTATTTCAATGCACATTCATTCAACATGTCTGCGCCCAGGATGTGTCCAAAGGAATGAGGGGTTAGCGCTCTAGTCATGTTTATGCTGTTATCTGTGGTTGTCTCTGAGTAGGGGCTGGCTTACCTCCAGTGCTGCCAGCATGTCTCCCAAGTCATACTCAATGGGCATCTTGGTCTTCTTGCTGGGTTTCTTCAGATTCTCCTGCAGCTGACGCTGCTCCTCAGTTATTTCAGAATATTCCTGTTGCCAAAAAAAGTGACAAACTCATTAGATAATTAAACTAAATGCCACTCTTTTTGCAGGTTACTCCCCACCTAATGCCAGAATCCATTTAGATGCTCCTGGGTAGGGAAGGCCAGTGGGACGAAACAGCTCGTCCAAGCATGAAAACAGACATGTATTGCCAGCAGCTGGATTCGAACCCTTGACCAGACTATCACGAGTCACAAACCTTGTCCACTCTGGCCACATTGGGGGTTGGGATGTACCTTAGCTTTTGTACTATCCGAAATCTCAGTGTGGACCGACGTCAAACCTGAGACTTTGGGAACTCCTTCGGGAACTCACTTGTTCATACTAGCAAGAATCTAACATGGCCTATACACGGGTCCAGTGCTCTGAGTTCTGAGAGTCATACACTGCGGGTAAAATTCAGCCCTGGTTGGAGTCAAGCTTGCGAGCCTCTACTCGGGTAGAAAAACCAAATGGTTTTGCCAACCTGTGTACAAACCGGTGTAAGCATGAACATCGTGCCTTGTGCACCCATGTTCAATCGGACCCGGTTCCATTCACAGAGGAGTCACGTTAATTTCTAAATGAGTAGGAGAGGTGACGGTGTGAAAACGTCTTAAGGATACCTTTGCAGCAGCCTGGGCTGCCAGGATGGCCTTTTTCCGTCTTTTCCGCGCATTCTTCCCGTCTCGGATCCCGCTGGCTGCTGCTTCCGGATTCAAGAGGTCTTCCGGTTTGATGATGTCAGCAGAGTTGGCATCCACGGCTTCGACAGGCTCTGAATCCTCAGGACTAACCTATAGACATGATAGAGAGAAAGTTAAAGGTTAGCCTGACACAAATGCTAATCAAAGTGGACAATTTGCGTACAATTAACCCTACTCTCTAAAATCCTAAATCCTATAAAAATCCTAAATCCTCCCCATAACTGTGGAGTAGCCTAATAGCACAATCTTTGTCCTTTAAGAAAACTGAGTCATAAAGCTCTTGACCCATCAAAAACAAGCAAAACCAGCTTTTGGATTGTGGAGGATTGGGGTTACTCAAGCCTAAAGTCAATATTCAAAAAGAGCAATAAAGTATGCAAGATGTATTTGGAATAACTGTGCATAATTTAAGATGTAAAATTCACAAATACGTTAAAAAAAAAAAAATCAAATAAACGTCAGTGAACACAATGTAGGGAATCCGACCAGAGACTTTTCATTTGAGGTATAGGTACATGCACAATGTACATGTATGATATTTGCCAAAAAACCAAGCACATCTCAGAAATTAAACACAATCTCATAAAGTAGAACACTTTCACTTCAAAGTTACCTTTTCTTATAAATTTGATTGTTCCAAGCCACATTTAAACCAATTATACAGCATGTAGTGTTGTTTGAATTACGAGTATCATTTGGAAGATGAATCAAGTTTATGTACCTGTAGCATGTTTTGATGAATAATGACATCTCAAATACCCCGACACAAAATCTCAAAAGTGTATATCCCCAATTTTTTATTTATGTTACATGTACACTGACATAATCTGCACATTTACATACACGTCACATGTGTTTGACGCATGAACTGTATACATTGTATACATTGTATATATGTACCTATTCATTTTCAGTACAACACTGCAAGCACGAGCAGATCACAGTATTAACATACATGTACATGTAGTGTCATGATTCATAATCTCAGAGCTGCTGGACTTTGAGCCTGATCTCATCTTCACGATTATGGACAAGTTAAAAATAAAGAGCTTGGCACGGTACGAGGGGAGGGGCAAAATCCAAGACATGGCAAATACTGGCTGTCTGGGCAGAGGCAGTGCATAGTGTAGTGTGCTATACTGTGCCGAACTTGCAGCACAAACATTCATTCATACCTGTACCATACTGTACATGATACGATACCAAGAATGTATATAATGTACATATACACGCACATGTGCACACATTTTGTGCACACAGGCATGACAGGTCAAATTGTTACCCTTACATACCAGTATGTAGGTTTTATCAGTGAACAAATGTCAGGCCTACACGCACATGCACCATAATATAAAGATACAACTGGATATAAATGTACACATGTAGATTACATGTATTACAACTGTACGTGTACATGTACACATACTACATGTTAGTATTGTTACAACACTGTGAATTTACAGTTGAAACACATGTCACACAAAAAACACTACATGTATGTATGTATACTGGTACATCCCCCCCCAAAAAAAACCTTGGTCATGTTGGTTTATAGGTTTTTAAATGCATCCATGAACTGTGAACATTTAGAGTGTAGCAATACACTACAACCAAAGATGTAGAAAAACAAATGTATGTGTACATGTACCGGTACTTGTACAAATAATGTACAGGTCAGGTAGGATGGGTGTGAATGAAGGCATTTTATTAAGAATATTTCAAATTCCTTGAATATGAAAACAAATCCAGACAATAGTTATTAGAGATCATGCTACCGTTATTATGACAAGACGAAGTTGAGAGGACATGAAAACAAACAGGTTTTGTTTCAGTAAAATTAGATTTTTGTTGTTTTGTTTTGGTTCCAGGTTTTGGTTTTGTTTTCATTTTTTTTGGTCAGGGAAAATGCCACAATGAAATTAACATGTGAAGTCCTTATTTTGAATAACAAAACATTTGATGTGATAAGAGCAGACTTTTATGAAAATATTTTTTGGGGTAGTTTTAGAGGAAACTTGAATTTTAATGAAGTATGAGTTAAAAGAGAATATATAAAGCAAAAAAATTTTATTTTATATGATTCCTCCTTGATGTTGCTATTTTGTTTGTTTGTTTTGTATTGCTATTTGCCATTTCTACATACTTTGCCCCAAAATTAAAAAACATAACCAGGCCAGATTTTTTTAAGCTGTTTAGGAGTCGGTGTTGCCCTGCTAAACATACAATTTCTCATGACAAAAATACAGTGACTAGCGGTTTAACAAATGAGAACGATTGGAAGCAATCTGTAAGTAGGCAAAACTTGTGCGCACTTGGCAGATCAATGATTGCACACATTACCTGCTGTCTGACGGGAGCCGATCTTTGCTGTTGGAGGATTGCACTGTATGATCGTGGCTGTGAGCCCTGGGAATTCCCTCCGGCTGGTCCTGCTGGTGCACCCAGAGGCAGCTCAGGAAAATCTCCCATGTCTGTTAGCGCCGGAGGCGGGGGGGGTGGCTGTGCTGGCAGTTCATTCCCTGGTTCCTCAGCACCTTCGCGAGCCTTCCCCGCCCTCTTGCGATCCTTCTTCTTTTTCCGTTTGGCATTCTGGGCCGGGGAATTGTCGGCGCCATCCTGCGCTGGAATGTACTTAGTCCCCGGTCTTGGCTGACCAGTTCGATTCCCGGGAGTAGCAGCATTGTGATTCTTCCTCATGTTCTCGATAGCTGTGGGAAATTGCGGTTGCTGGTGCATCAGCCCTGGTCCCACGTGGGGATGATTGAGGGGTTGGTTTGGTATCGGGACTGGATGGCGCGGGAGCGGAGGCTGGCTAAGAATCCGGGCATAGCTGATGGGTTGCGGCAGGTGTTGGCCTAACGGTGGCGGCTGCTGCACAAGTTGTTGTTGATGCTGGGGTATATGCTGCTGCTGCTGCTGCTGATGTTGCTGCTGCTGCTGTGGCAACCTCGGGGGCACTGCGTGATGCAAGTGTTGGGTCTGGGCAAAGTTTGTCACAGGGGGCATCATTTGCGGCATCACAGCATGTACAGAGTTCTGGGTGCTGTAGACCACCGACGGGCTCCCTGAAGGCTGCGGCTGAGTTATATGCCGCGGTACCGCGCTGACCACAGCACCACTATACTGCTGGTATCCCTGCGGCTTGGCGGTGGGTCCCGTTCCAGCATCGTGAGTGGCCATTCCAACAGAGGTGTGGTTGGTCTTGGCGTGTTTGGGACTGTAGTAACCGCTGTCACTGTCAACAGTTCCCGCTTCTGTCTCCGAGTCGGTTGAAGTTGAGGTTTCCTGGCCTGTCTGATTTCCCTGCGATCGACGTCGCGGCTTGGACTTGTGCCGTCTCAGCATGCTTGGCTTCTCAGCCAGAGTTTTGTTGGCTATTTCATCAGGAAAATCTGAACAAAAAAGAGGCAATCATCCTTTACATTGTTCAAGATACAGACACGGATGAAACGGTAAGTGATATCAATTACAATACTATTACCACTTATTATCAGGTCTATAAAAAACTCGGTACTTTTCCTTTTTGCTGTATTTGGAGAGATGCAGAGTGTGAAATTACAGTCAGATTTGAGCAATTATCACAAGAACTACATGTACAGCTCCGCAAAGCTCCATGGAAACAGCACTAGAGCTGTAATCTGTAGGGACTGTCACAATATTTAAAATCTCCGTCTTTGACCTGGTTCTCTCAAGGTGGACCCATGTTGATTTCAACACATGTAGGTGAGACTATTGTGTGAAAAGGCCTTCTCACAGTTCAAATCCAGCACAGGAAGTGGGTTTTTTCCTCAACATGTTCAATGAATTTTTAGTAATAAAACTGATCAAGAGAGTAATTGAGTGTTTTTCACCTGTTTGGCAGCCAGCATCCATGCAGACCAGTGTCTTGGGATATCTCCTGCTTTCAAGACTTGAAGACGATGAGCTCCTGTCTCGTGACGAGGAGTGTGCTCCGGGATACTGACGATCCCTACTGCTGGAATGCTGTGCAGAAAAGGGAAGAATAATTGAACAGGGACGTTGTTTTAAACTGTAGAAATATATGAAGGTTCAAATGTCGATTGGAGCAATGTTTTGGAGGATGAGTTAAAAAGATATTTAACACGGCTGTTTGACCAGTTTGGAGGTGTCTTCAACTAGATTTAAAAATTAATCACTTCTGTAAAATGACCAAGAATGTTCTATTCATGGTATTCATTTATAGAACGGCGTTCGAAATGTGGGGAGAAACCCATTAAAGTGCACCTTAAACGTTTTGCAGCAAAAGCAGAACTTACCCTACTCTGTCTAGGCGGTGCTTCTCTCTGCATGTAGGAGCCATACCCTGCGCCCTGGTAGGACCCCATCGGAAACTGGTTCCCTTCCCCTGGATAGTTTGGGTAATATCCTGCATAGTGCTGTGGCATGTGGTATGACCCCTGGTGCACAGGCACCGGGCCTGGTATGGCACCCTGACTCTGTTGGGGCGGGTAGTATGACTGTGGGTAGGACTGCGTCATGAAATTTGGGGCCTGCACTGGGTATTGCTGGCTGGAGTAGACGTCATTGGAAGGAGAGGGGTAGGGAAGGGCAGAGTTTAGAGAAGAGGGAGGGTGCTGATGTGAAGGGTAGTTTGGCCATCGTACCTCAGGTTTAGGTCCTGTACCAGTAACACTGATAAAAAGAGTAATAAAAATGCACATTCATAAATTTCATTTAATTGAAAGTCCACATAAAGTGTATCATTTTAATAATCACCTACAAGTTAACCTCTTTTTTTTTTTTTTTGGCACATCATTTTTATCTTCACCTACATGTACATGTGTCTATGGCATCAAATACCAGGGCTGTACCATATTTGAAATTAAATGCAATTCCCCCTGTACAGTGAAAATGTACACTCAACTGTCAAGACACATGTACATATATAACATGTACAATACACAAACCAGTACCAGTGCAAATCTGAACAGTCATTGCCTAGCCATGTACCGTATTTAATAAGTTACCGTCTTCCATAACCACCTACATTTTTGTGTACATACATGTACACTACATTGTACTTGTAGTAAATTAAAAAATAGTCCAACAGCCACCATACTGTTTAACATGGTCAACGTACAATTGCATTTTCCCCCCCAATACATTCTCCTTAATCATAACTGTAATTTGTATTATTCAAATATGTGTTGCAGTTCGTGAAAAATGATGCAAATGATACAAATACAGGGGAATTAAGATATTTTGTTTTGTTTGTATATCACCCATATCTACATGTACCGATACATGAACCCTGGTTTACGTGATCAGCTATAAGTGGCTGGATGAATCAAGCGTGATGACAAATAGGTCATTACTACTGAAATACTTCAGGTCATTAAATGTCAATGTTCACTTACAATGTACATACTTCTACATACAGAGATACTGTAAATACTTAATGCACTTTGCACATGTGCACAACTTAAAAAAAAAAAAAAAAAAAAAAAAAACTGATATCAAAATAGATTAATTATTAAACTGATCATCAGCTTATAAATTGCAAACAAAATAAATAAAACACTGTTCTGTTCATTACGGATGGTTTCCTTGAACTTACACCTATCAACAAAAAGTGTACCCATGATTGTGGCCTAATACATAACTTTCACTTTCGTTTTGACAATGAAAACATTCAGGAAGTGACACAAGATGTAATTTCAGTTTTATCACACACAAAAATGCATGAAACTTATGTTGATGTGGAGACTTTGAATGATCAAAATGGATTTCACCTAAAAAAAAAAAAACATTCATACGAATGACAATGCACTAGCCATTCTCCAGCCCTGCATCTGGGCGAGATATGTAGTTAGCGTTCTGGCCCATGTGTATCTTATCACACCACTCACCTGTCTTGTACAAATGGATAGCAATTAGTCAGGTAGCGGGGCAGCTCTGTCAGTGTGTAACCAGACCCATTGGGGTTACCCATGTTCTGGTGTGCAGCAGGCCCTGCCATCTTTGGATTGAAGGACCCCGGATGAGCGTGCCCAGTGAAGGCCTGTCCCGCTCCGACACCATGGGCTTGTGGGGCGTGTCCAGGCTGAGGGTTGGTGGGCGGGGGCCGGCCTCCTGGCTTGGCCAGGTTGGACTGCCCAGGGATAAAAGGTTCCACCTCAGCAGACAGCAGTGTCCCCTAGAAGAGAGGAGAACAAGTATCTTGTAAATTTGACAGAAACTTGAATTCGTCTTAAGTCCTGTGTACATCGTTTAGTGTACACATGTATAGGAGGAAAGGCAATGAGAATAACAGGAAAAGGTAATTGCTTGCTACAAAACACGTCCACACATCCTGCAGAAGGCAGCATCCTAATTGTACACGTATGGATACTTTCAGTTGACCCCTTCATCATACATGTCAGTCATCAGACCAACAACAACTTTACTCGCCTTCCACCCCCACCCGGGGGAGTCAGCTTGGCCCATTGGCTCTTTCCTCGCCTTCCACCTCTATGGCCCAGGTTCCGTTCCTGCCCTGGTCTACATGCAGATTGAGTTTTTCAGACCCTACCGGTACCTGATTCCGTGGGGTTCCCCCAGAACACTCTTCTTGGGTTTTCTTCCCACATCTATAACTGTGATTTCTTTTCACTGTTTTCTCTCTACAGTTAACTGCAGGTTTGCAAGGTACGGTACAGTGCCTAGGGCGCTTTTCAGGAATCCTTGGTTTCACTACCAGAAACAATGGAAGTCTTAGACTACAAATGCCCATCGAGATATTCAGACATTAAACACCAGTATACAATGTACAATTGTACATGAACTTGAGCTTCAAAAATGCAGTATTTCACTTCGATTTACAAATTGTTTAAAAAACAGGTTTGTGGGCAATGCTTGCTTTGCAGGCAAATGCTGGCTTTCTGGGCAAACACCCGCATCACGGGCGAATGCCTGATTCACAGAACAAGTCGTCCACTTTGTTTGTAGGCTTTGCAAGACTGACTGCACTGCCGCCCAACTTACAAAATATGAATAAATATTGCAGCAGATGCACGACAATGTCCGCATAAGATACGGTAACTAGGAGTGACACCATCAATCTTATTTATTTATTTAATTTTTGGGGGTTAAGAATTTAGGTTCTGCAAGATTTTTTAGGTTGGGTGGAGTAAGGCCAAATAAATAGCAACATGTTAAGTGTCCTGCCTTTTTGGAAGGAGGCCCTTTTTTTCCCCCCAAAATGGCTGCCCGACCCATTTTCCAAAACAACCGGCCGGGCTATTTTTGATAGACTCCATTGTAGCAAAACGTACAAATTGACAATTTCCACAGCATAATCACGGTGATGCTAGAGAGCACGACTTTTTTTCCCTGAAAAAGATCATTAAATTATCATTTGTTTTCTGGGTTTTTTTTTTTTTCAAATTAAAAACAAACAAAAAAGGAGGCGGCCTTCATAAAGGAAGCGGGCGGGGACGCTAAACATGAAAGTTTTTTTTATTTTGCCTAATAGAAAACTCTAATATTTTCTTGGCCTTAATCAAATTATATCACAAGAACACGTGTAACTGTACAAATTATCCTACCACTAAGTAATTTTTACCTTGATAGCGAACGAAAAGAAGTCCAGCCTTTCTCAGACGTCTATTTTTTGTGTAATTTCCAAATTTCCAGTACCGTCTGTTTGCACATGTTTGCGTATTTAAATTACAATATCGAAAACATCATGCACGTGCTGGATTGTTTCTGCTGTCAGTCACATAGACTTGAGTCAAGGTGCAACCCGGAAACGAAAAAAGACCACGGAAGTGCAGTTGCAGCACAAGGACCCATTGAGCCCCGTTATTCTCATGGTCTTTTTTCGTGTCAGGATTGCCACGTGCTCCTTGACTCAAGTCCACGTGACTGATGATCTTTTCGATGTTGGAATTTAGATACGCAAATGTGCAAACGAACATGGAAATTACACGAAAACTAGACGTCTAAAAAAGGCCAAACTTCTTTTCTAGTATCCCCATAATGACATGAATGAGGGTGAGTGTGTTTCTAATTAAGCATAACTAAAACTAAAAACGGCGTCTAAATATACAATTTACTAAAAATGAAAAATTGACAAAGTTCTTCATTTCGGGTACATGTTCCAAGTGTCATGAGTGTGGCCCTTATTTACAGAGGTAGCCCAGTAAATTTGCCACATGTACAATGATGTACGGAGCTAAAGCTAAATAAATGAGTGGGCGTGGCATCATTAGAAAGAATGTTGCAACCTAAGGCTTCTTCAGTGGTTGTGTACAAAGTCTACGGGGAGTAATTGCAGAATACCCTGCCACTCGGAAATACACCCCTGAATTCTCTGGCTACGAGGTTGGAATAACTGGAAAAGAAACAATTCCAGCTAATTCCAGCTAATTCCAACAATTCCATTGCCAGCTACGCGGATACTAAGTGGGGGTCACCTTGAAAACGAAGCAACACAAAATGAATGGGAGTTGCTGAAAATTTTTAAAGTCCAAACCATACCCTGTTGCCAGCTACACGGATACAAAGTGGGAGTCCTTACATGTATATGCTTGAGAACGAAGCAACACGAAAGTAATGGGAGTTGCTGGAAAATTTTTAAGTCCAAACCAACTACCCTGTTGCCGGCTACGCGGATACGGAGTGGAAGTGCAGTGGAGCATGACGCATAGTACATACATGTAGTGCTGAGAAGGTTTATTGAGGGCAATCAACCGTGACTCTGTAGCCGGCTAGGCTACGAGGTGCATAGAATGGATCCAGTGGCAGGATATTCTACAATAGTGCCGTCTACGGAGAGTCAAGAAAATTTTCTAACTATTTCCTAACAAATTTGGAAATATTATAAGATGGAATTTTTGCGTCGGGCTGATATAAATCAAATTATAGGTTTTGCCCTTCACCGACGATTAAACACTGTATACTCAGTGTGTTACCTCCCGAGTGAAAATTGGAAAAAATCACTCGGGTGGGACTCGAACCCACGACCTCCCGCTTAAATTCTAGTGCAGAAATTTGGAAATGTTTCTCAGTCCCAGATATTCATGTCTTAGGCCAAAAAAAAAAATATTCGGTCTCTGGTCAGACCAAAGTTCTTCAAGCTTGGATTGTACAGACAAGGTGGGTACTATTTTGCTTTTTTTGGTGTACTCATGTACATTGGTGTCCTCCATAATTTGCCTTGGTGCTTTCGATCATTTGCCTTGGTGCAATTTCCCATTCCTTGGTGCTCTTTGGTAAAAAAAAAATTGAGGCGGTGCGGAAATAGAGGGCGCTGTTGGAGCTACCGCGGAACATTTTGGAAAAAAAAAGATCGACGCGCATGACTAAAATCGACGCGCGCACTTTGGCCTTACCATCATTTTGCAATTAGGCCTACTGACAACTGACCTTCATGGAGATTGATACTATGATACTGATACAGTGATAGGAAGAAAAAAAGCAGCGTCAGGTTGCAACATTCTTTACGCATCATTTGAAAAAGCAATGTACTAGACAAGACCGTTACAGAGTGAGTTAAAAAATATAACGGCGGAATCCAAACCATTCATGCAAACCCAAATGCCAAAAACTATGTTTCAATTTTTCATATTTTAAAAAGGCAGTGTATATTTTGCCGGAGACGGCAACCCTTCAGTAAACGTTAGTTTGCCGGATATGCACTGAACATGCGCAGTTACTGTTTTTTTTGTACTTAAGCATTTTCCGGTGACAAGTTTTAGTCTGGCTCCATGCCAAAATTATCGTTGTTACCTCGTATTCACAAGATGGGATTCAGACCATTTTATAATTTCGGACTTTATTTCCCTTTTAAAAAAAATCCTCCAGAGCCACAAATCTGAAAAAGAAAATGTAATACTCTGCAAAAAATGTTTGAGACATGTTAAAATAATAAAAGAAGAATATTCTTATTTATTTGGGGATGAAAAAAAAACAACTTAAAAATGTGGTGCGGTCGGAATCGAACGCGTGTCATCCCAATTACTAGAGCCTTTGCTTAACCACTACACCAAACGTGCTACACAACTTTTGGTGGGAATTTAATACATGTTATAATTCAGCCCTATTTTAAAGAGTACAGCGCCCTCTGTTGATATGGATTGCCGCCGGCAAACCTTTAGTAATCGTTAGTTTGCCATCATTACCTCCGGCAAAATATCCACTACCTTTTAAAAATATATTCATCATGTTCATGTAGGGCCTAGCCAAAAATAATATTAATAACTGGAAATCCAATTTCATGAGCAACTTTTAGATGAAAAAATACTGAAATTGCTCAATCCGTTTAACGAATATCACTATAATGACCATTTAAATCATTCACCAACACAATGACCCTTAAGTTATGGCATTAAACTCTAGACTTAAGCTGAACTGCTGAAGTCCAATGCAAGATAATGATGATCAGGGTGATGAACGATTCATCTTCACTCACCTGAGGTGATTTTCCTTCAGCCATGTCAGTTTCAGACATTTATTGTACCTCAAAAAATACGATCATTATAAAGCCCTTCATCCATGCTGAAGATTTCAACTATTTTCCTTGACGAAAAGTGGCAATTCCCAGTGACTATTATCCAAGCGTATCAAGCCTTCGCACACTACCACTGTAAATACGGACTAAACGGAGTACGCAAAGTGAAGTGGAAAACTACATGCAGTGACATGGGTTGGGTGTGGAAAATGGCAAAATGTTGTAACTTCACTGATCCCTTACTACTTATACCGCACGACTCATTACGTCGCTCTGGGTACCAGTTGGATTGCAGGTCACGTTTACGTTTGTTCGGATATTTTTGACAAGAAAATAATAGTGCTTTAAAGGAAACTATCAGGAAACACCTCCTCTGCCCAGTTTTAGCCTCTGTCCGTTTCATTCCGAATGTGGTATAAATGAGAGCAATTCCCTTAAGAAAACTTTATGTAATAAGAGATTAGTTCTGAGTGTTCTATTGCCTCACAAGGCTCGAATCTCGTGCGCTCATGGGGCCGGGAATTCACCTTTAATGCACGTCGTCAAGATTCACGCTATGCCAGATCCGAAAAGATTTCAGTCAGCATCACATGCAGCTTCGCGACAGGCACCACGCGCGCAAAAAACATAAACAAACCAATTAACTTGATGGATCGACAGGTGCCAGTCAATAAGGGATTAACATTCATCACAATAGTTTGATTATTTAGAGTAATTGTTTCTTTTACCATAGAGCAAGTACATGGATACGAAGATGTTGTGGCAGAACCATTTAATTATCTAAATCTTTTTTATAGCCGGGTAGAGGCATGTTTTTGCGGTGTTGTAAAACTGGGGGGGGGGGGGGGGATGGTGACGAATCGTGTATTGTTTTTATTTAAGGGTTTACCGTTCAAACAAATAAAGCAGCCAATGTTCTTAACACAATAGCTATTAAAACATGTTTGTACTCATGAATAGTCGGGCAGAGTTTCAACTTAATGGTGTATCCCTTTTTATTTTATAAATAATAATAATAAAAAACATTGAGCATATGCGAACTTCATAATTGTGTGGTAACACCTTTATTTTATTACTCCATCAAATCATTCCAACTTCAACAAACACTAAGAAACTTCAAAATGAGCATATTTGGAAAAGATAATCAACTATGAAAAAAAATGGTTTGATTCTTTCACATTTTCAATTCTTACCGCCAGAAACGAATTAGTGGTTCATGTATACAATTTTTGCAACACAGTCCGTAACAGAGCATTAAATCAGTTTTTAAAAAACTAAACAATCTTTACAATTTGAAAAACCTAACAGCAATCAGCTACAGCTTTGAGAATCAATGAAAGATAAAGATTCTTGCTCAAAGAGTTTCACAGTGAAGTCCAATATGGATTGTAGTCTGTTTGGGGCCTTCAGCTCAGTGGACCAGGCTTAATGGTTGGTTAGTTTCTCCATAGGTGCTATCCGAAGTGCTGACAGGCTGTACCATCATGGCCCGATTGGCACCACCGTGGGGCTGGGACACGAACTTGACCACCAGAATGGGTTTAGTGGGAGCCTCCAGTTTCTTTGAACAATTGTGCTCTTTCAAGCTTTGCTCGTCTTCAAACTCCATCCGGCAGGAGTCACACTTGTGCAAATCAAAATCAAAGTGGGTGGCAAGGTGCTTGCCGAGATTTGAGGAGCTATTGAACTTCTTACCACATACGTGGCAGGCATGGACGCTTGTGGTCTTGGAGTAGCTATGTATCTGATGGATGAGCTGAAGCCTGCAGGGCATGTCCTGTTCAGGGTCGGCTTCCGTTCTGAAGATGTGCCGACACTTCGGGCAATCCTTGCTTGTGTTGGAAGTCTGGCAGTGCTGGCTCCTCTCATGCACGCCCAGCAGGGTGAGTTGGCTGAAGCGCTCCTTGCAGTGGCTGCAGACGTAAGGCCGTTGTTTCTGCCTTTTGCTGCTGTGCGAGCGCTTGTGCTGCCGTCCCTCACTCCTGGAATTGATCTCGAAGGGGCACAGCTTGCACTTGACGGGGACGTGATCGTTGGGTTCACCGTTCGAGATCGCCAGCTTAGTCAGGCGCTGGTGTTTCCGGAGTTCATGCAAGGTTGTGAATTTCCGCAACACATACTACATGAAAACCTAAAATCGGAGTGGGTAGCTTTGTGGGCATTCAGTCTCTCGGAACCACGGAAGCGTTTGTTGCAGGTATCGCAAACAAAGGGAAACTCTCCTGTGTGAACTCTCACATGGTTCTCGTAGCGACCCAGACGTCTGAACTCTTTTGAGCAGGTCTTGCAAACGTATTTGTCAAGTTTGCGCTTCTTCTTCCCTTTTTTTCCTTTTTTCCTTTTTTTACTCGATGGCTCCACCACCGGCAAGGGTGTTTTGGGACCAAGTGCTCTCAACCTAGGGCTAGCTCTAAGGGACATCTTTTTGCTTTGTGAATTATTTGGCGATGTAATTACTCAACAGGATCTAAAATAAAATTAGCGGTGTGTCTATTTAGCAATTAATTAACAGTGTGAAGCCCAATAGGAACAAACTATGTTTACTTCTAGTGTACAATTAAACATCACAATTCATTTCCTTGCAAAAGTCAACGGCCAGCTTTAATATTTAGATGTGAGAAAAAAAAGACATGCATTCACAAAGTACTTAGAAAATAACATTCCAAGACTCTATGTTCTGCTACAGGTCACACAGATGCACACAGAGTTTCTCCAAGATCCACATTAAACTGGATCTGCAAATGACAAAAAAAACCGAATAGGTACACATTAAAGTTTCTGAAATGTCTATAAAATCTTGAATTGTATTGCTTAAACCCTATGACTCGCAACATGACTTATGAATCAACCAGGCGCGGTTCTAGAACCAATATTTTTGGGGGCTAGCAGGGTGGATCCAGAATTTTTTTTCAGGGAGGCGTGCTGAAATGTAGACCGGTTATTTTTTTCCAGACACTTAGGCCTCCGAAAATCAATAGGTGGGGGGGGGGGGGGGGGGGGGGGGGGGGGGGGGGGGGGGGGGGGGGGGGGGGGGGGGGGGGGGGGGGGGGGGGGGGGGGGGGGGCGGGGGGGGGGCCTCATGCATATTTTCAATGGGGAGCGCCAATAAAATCCTAAAATCATTCACATTATATTAACTAATGCACCCTTTTTGTCACAACTATTTTTTTAGGGGGAGACCGTTCGCATGTACATCACAATCCTTCTTTTTGCTAATGCAATTTTTTTTTTTTTACGGAATTTATTTTGGGGGGGCTAGACAAAATTTGGGGGGGCTAAAGCCCTCCTCCCCCCCCCCCCCCCCCCCCCCCCCCCCGTAGAACCGCGCCTGGAATCAACCTATAATTGAGAGATTACAACTCTACAAGCGGTGATACTATCAAATCTACTGTGGCTATGGGGGTTGACCAATCAGCACCAATATTTAAGTTTGATTGAAGTTGAAAACAAAAGACCATGAAGACTGAGACAGAAAACGCAATTCAGAAGTTTTTGATAAATTTTCAGGTAATTTACCTTCAGTAGAGGGCTGTTTATTCAGGTTCGGGGCTCACTTATCACTTCCAGCAACCGAGTCAGCAATCCAATTAGAGGTTGAGCTGGCTAGGTCTTCAACTTTCTCGGGAGCAGCCACAATATATCCAAACGTACTCTTGACCCCTAAACACACAAACAATTAAATAAACATTGGATGGATTCTTTTTGGAACAAAGCGGGCGTAAAGAGAAAATCTGATTTTGGCAAAGGGTACTAAAACTAACCTGAATTCCAGCCTTCTCGGAGCTGTGCTGCAATCCCTTTTGCTGATGGCATCTAAAATTAGAAACAACAGAAAAGACCAGTGTTGAGATCGAGTCTATCGCAAGTACTCCTCACAAATCCATCGCAAGTCCCAAGTCAAGACATGAGTTATTCAAATATGACTATGACAAATGAATTCCTTTGTTAGTGGCCATCGCCTCTTTTTGTGACTGGGCTTGTGACTAGACTTGTGATTTAGTTTTGACCAGGTAGGTTTCTGATGGACTTGTGATGATGTCGCAACAGCACTACACTGCACTCTCTAGGATGCTACTTTTTGTTATTTAAACTCATTTTGCAGTCAATACCCCAACATGCTTGTAAATGTTGAAACACAAAAGTGACTTTGCCTGTATCCATTGTCCTATATCCTAGAGCACTAGACCACTTATCCCTCTTGCAAAATCTTGTGAAGGAAACACTGACCTCACAAAGCATTGTGGGTAAAAAAAGTGACTAAAAAGATACATTCCGTCACTGATGGATTTGGGGGACCGGGATTTCATTACAATTTTAATAGAGAAAAGGGTGGGGGAAGTGAAAGGACATAAAAACATTCCTCAGTGTCAAAGAGTCCCTTGCCCAATTATGGTAAAGAAGTTTGGGTGGGAAGAAATGCTTCCGAATCCCCTGTCAATTACAATCTTTCTTAAAGGAAAGTTCCGCCAGTTATGTAGTTGAGTCTGTCAATCAAAAGTTCAGTCACAAGTAAATCACAAGCCCATCCACATGTCCAGTCACAAGTAACAGCGGATGAACAATAACAAAGGAATGCCTTTGTCAAAGCTCATTTGAATAGCTTGTGATTTGAACTGGGACTGGAGGACTTGTGATGGACTTGCAGGGACTTGTGGTGGACTCGACAACACCCCTGAATTCTACCATCCTAAACCTTGTCTGACTTGCCCATTTTGATTTCCTTCAGCCTGAATGAAAATTTTACAAATACTGCCAGATCGTTGATGTTGCCACAGTTACCTGCTGCAGATACTCCTGCTGGCTGGGAATGGTGTAGGCAGCAGTGAGATTGCGCAGACTACTTGCACCCTCTGACGATGCACTCCAAATACCTTGGTCTACTGTCACATACACAGCACCAGCCCCAACGGCCAACTTGCCTAGACCCCTGCAGCCAAAAACAAAGATGTGTACAACCATTTCTTCTTGTGCCTATAGTGCATCGCTTATTCACAACAAAATTCTTAATATAAAACATGTTTCACCTGTAATGGAAGTACTAGATAGACTTTGCACAGGAGCTATAACAGATGCAGATGCAAATGCAATGCATCATGACAGATTACAAAATTATGTGTCTGGTGAAATGGCAGTTACAAATGTATGCCGCAACATGCTGTAAGACTCCAGGAAGATGCCTAAATTTCTTGGAAAATTTAGTTAGTGAATAAGTGATGGCCAGATGGAAATCCCTCAAATCGTCCTCTTTGAACATCTGTATTGTGTGAGGTTTCGATCCAACTCGGACCCAAACCAACTCGGACCCAAGCCAACTCGGACCCATGCCAACTCGGACCCACTACCAACTCGGACCCATGCCAACTCGGACCCACTACCAACTCGGACCCACGACCAACTCGGACCCACTACCAAATCGGACCAACAACCAACTCGGACCCACTACCAACTCGGACCCATGCATGACCAACTCGGACCCATCGTTTTCAATCATTCGACATCGTTTTCAATCATTCATTTCATAAAGTTTGTCCACTTCTCATCTGTTATTACAGTGATGCTGTTTAGTATAAATTTTCATTGTAATTATAAGGTAAATTATCTCATATCTGTATTGCAGCAGTATAACATTTTGTCGTTGTTATTAAAATTAGCATTAAAATGCTATTTTGAAATGCGCTTTAAAAGTGTAATTAATTATTTATTATTTTTATTTGTTTCCATTAAAACATTATGCTTTAAAAGTTTAACCAATTATTTATTTTCATTCAAACATATTAATTGACATCGTTCCCACCATCTTGCTAAATTCAACAGCAATTTATTTCGTTTTTACTCCAAACTTCAACGTAACGAGTAAACAAATTAAGAACATTATTAACTCAATAAATATAAGTAAACATTAGAAATCAATAAATAAAATAAATAAGACATAAAAACGAAGTCTATTCTAATCTCTATTTTAAAAAAAACCCACATAAACACCATTGCATACACTGCAAGAAAAACGAAGGTTTCATATTAAACAAAAAAGTTAAATCAAAAAAGTATAAGTTAATCGGATTCGTAAAAAAAAAACCACAAAATTCAAAGCCAGCATGTGAATTAAAAAATGATCAAGTTTAATCCCCTACAAATAGATGCAATGTCAATCATCAAAAGGAATATTGGAGCTCTAGGAAGATTATCCTTCAAGGCCTTACAGGTAGCTGCCTGTATGTTCCACTATGATGTTCCACGGGGGAAAAAGTTAAATCAAAACATTATTAAAAGTTAAACAGATTCATAAAAAAATCCCACAAAATTCAAAGCCAGCATGTGAATTAAAAAAACCCAAACAATTAAATGAAATGAAAGGCCTAAATAGTTATTTCAAATTAATAACTTCCTCACTGAAACAAAATGTGCCACTTAAAACCACTTGTTACACGACACAAAGGCCTGCAAAAACAAACAAGTAATTTATTTTTTACTGGAAATTATGATCCTTTGAATTTCGTTTGGAAAAGAAAATCGAGATTTTGAAAAGCACATATATATCAAGTTGTACAAATGACATACGATATGCCTAACCTATACTATACGCTATTTATACCTCTTGGTTTAGCTTCACAGGTCACGGTTTCAAAAAGCTAAGCACGTTTATTTTCATGACGTTCAAAACGATAAGCGTTTAGCAACAGTATTTATTGAAGTTTATTTCAACTGTGTTCAGATTTAAATAATTTAAAATATTAAAATCAAGCAGAATCTGTGGGTGAAGTGTTATAAAACAAATATTGAATGCTTTATCTCGTGGTGATTTAAAACTAGCCTCCCTCGATGATCCATGGACCATTCTATTTTCCCTCGGCTTCGCCTCGGGAAAATAGAATGGTCCATGGATCACCTCGGGAGGCTAGTTTTACTACACCACTCGAAGCATTCAATATTTGTATACTGTACGCATCATAAAATAGCGCTCCACACAGCGGCAATACAAGAAAACAACAAAACTAAAAGCCCCATTCTGCCCAATGTAGTTACAGAATATCTTCACTATATAAGCACTAACATTAAGATCACCTATAAATATAATCTCTGAAACTAATGATTGAGTCATTGTTGGGTCCGAGTTGGTCGTGCTTGGGTCCGAGTTGGTAGTGGGTCCGAGTTGGTCGTGGGGCCGAGTTGGTCGTGGGTCCGAGTTCGTAGTGGGTCCGAGTTGGTAGTGGGTCCGAGTTGGTAGTGGGTCCGAGTTGGCGTGGGTCCGAGTTGGCACGGGTCCGACTTTGCATGGGTCCGACTTGGTTTGGGTCCGAGTTGACCTGATACCATGGATACCTTGTGTGATCCCCCCCCCCCCCCCCCGACAACCCCCCTCCCCCTCATTTTTCTGTGTTACTAGTCATGCTAGTCTATCATTTGTCATGTTTGTCTATGGATGGGAGTATGGTTTATGATATTTGGGGGGGGGGAGGAGGACAAGCAGCACGCCACTAGCGCCGGAAAAAAAAGCACTATAGCGCCGGAAAAAAATCACACACGGCACGTTGGACGGTGTCGTCTTTTTGGTAATCCTTACTTTTAGGACACCTCTATTTTTTACAAGTTCTGTTCAAAACTGACTTTTGCAGATGACTGTCCAGTACCAAAGTGACTTTTGCAGGCTAAAGCAGTCTTTTTTCTTCATATAAACTCATGTTAGTTGTAATTTTGAAAGCACTTTCGAAGAAAATGTGACTTTCCAACCTTTTTTCGCAGTCAGACGTGCATGTTATAGTTCTCACACGCATGAAAGCCCTACATAATGAAAGCCCGATGCTGATTGGCTGCTAAAAAAATTAATTAGTCTGGTTCCTATACCAAAAGATTCTGACTACTCCTGAATCTTTTGGTCTGGGAACCAGACTAAAAATAAATAAGTTAGTCTGGTTCTCAGACCAAAAGATTCCGACTATTCCTGAATCTTTTGGTCTGGGAACCAGACTAAAAATAAATAAGATGTTTATTTTTTTATCAGCCAATCAACATCGAGCTTTCATTGCATCGAGCTTTCACGTTTGCCATCTTGGTTTTAGAGTCTGTTTTCTGGGTGTCATCGTCGTCTTTTACCCTGAATTTCCCTCATAAATCAAAGCCCTGCCCTCTTTCCACAAAATTAAACCTGCTGATATTCAAGAAGGTGTCATTGCCAATTGTTCAGATGTGCCAAGAAGTATCAGAATGTCAATTTTGAGTGTCATTTAGTCAACTGTTTTGGTGAGTCTTTCCCTTTCTATATAGGATTAGGAACGGGGTCCTAAAAGTAAGGATTACCGTCTTTTTCTCATGGACATGGTTCTGGTAGTATAGTAACGCTATTTTTCTAATAAATATTGCCAATTGTTCTATGGAATTATCTAACACAACTCTGAAATTAAACACAAACCCAAACATGAACTGTTTTCCACAAGCAAAGTGAGCAAGTAGTTGAAGTACAGCGCAACTTACTTGACGATCGCAACGGCCATCTTTTCGATCAAGTTTGAACAAAAGTGCGCCCCCAACGGTGCCGAGGGGGAATTTATTCAAATCGGCGCGGCTGACAAATTTGGCCGAGATTCGTTTTCCTTTCTTCTCTTAAAGTTGGGGCTGGAGACTTTGTATTTGATGCATATTGTAGCCCTTAATTGAGTTTACTGATACTGTTTATATTTCTTTTGTCACGATTTCTAGATATTATTTTACTTCAGTTTTTGCAAGCCAGTATTGGCGCTTGGGTGCCGCCTGCGCTGACATGCACACGACACGGGATATCCTTTGCCGGCCGATAAATTTATCATAAATGTTGCCTTTTCTCAGTATTATCAAATTTTCTAACCAGTACTATCAAATTTTTTAACCACGGATTTAAATTCAGTCGTTATTATAGCAAGCCAGTCCGCCGCGTGCAGGGGCCCGGCTCAAATTTCTTATTTTTTATGTGCGCAAAACAAAAACTGGCCAAGACTTTTTTTTCTAAAATGAATGTCAAAATGTCCCAAGCATTTCGGCTGAAGACTTCAGGCCTATTGCATATTGTTAGCAAACTATCCGAACAAATCGAACTGATGACTTTCTAGCATTGCATTATGAGCCTTCCAAAACTGAGAGACATCGAACGAAAAAAGCCATCAGACCACGACAAGCAATGAATTAATTTCAACTTTTGAATTAAGAGCGGGACGCTCCTCATTCCTTCTGAATAGTGTGCGTAATTTCTGAACAGAAGCGCTCCATTTAAAAAAACCCACTTTTTTAAAACTGTAAAGGCCTGCAAACACAAGCAAGCAAATATATTTGTTACAGGACATTATATTCCTTTAAATTTCGTCGGAAAAGAAAATCTTGATTTTGGAAAAGCACGTATAATACCAACTTTAAGGTTGCATCAAACATTTTTGATTTGTAATTTGTATCGACAATTTAGACACAAAGACTACATTTGTTTCGTCTTTTGGACACTTTTAATCTTCTAAAAGATAGTCTAATGCTTGTATTCCGGGTTGTTTTTGCACCAATAACGTAACGTACCCCCAAAATTATATTTCATATCTAAAAAAATATGTAGCACCAAAAATAGTAATGACTGCAAAGCCAATTTCATAACCAACTTTTAGATGGAAAAAACACCGAAATTAGTCAATCCGTTCAAACAATATCCCCATTTAAACACAATGACCCTAAAAACATGTCTCGTCCAAAAAATAGCTATTTCAAGAATCGTCGTCGTCACGTCTTCAAACATCACCAGCAATAAAATCTCAGTTTAAACGTTAACGTTATGCAACAAAGTGCATTGATGGCCCGTCTTTAAAAAAACAAACCAGAATTTTATAAATCATATTGTTTGCCTAATATAACCAGCGTTGTTAATCAATATACATGTATTGTGTACTGCAGTTGGTGACAGTTGTTGAAAAAAGTATTGTGTGTGATTTTCTTTGTTGTTCCAAACAGTCAAAACACACAATAAATTGCTTTTTTTTGGACGAGACAGGTTTTAGGGACAATTTGTTTAAATGGTGATACATGTACATGTATTCTTTAAACGGATTGAGCAATTTCAGTAATTTTCTAAAAGTAGTTTATGAAATTGGCTTTCCAGTCATTATTATTTTTGGTGCTAAATATTTTTTTAAATATAAAAAATATATTTTGGGGGGTTTTGGGTTCGTTTCTTTTACTCACCCTGTAGGTAAACTCACAGAAAAAAAGAATAGCATTTGTGGGTAAAACATTAATGGTTGTACACATCATGACTTTAATCTTGTTAGAAATGTAATTTATTCGGATTGGTAGTAAATTGATAAAGTGTCGCTATAGCATGTTTCCTGAAATGTAAAACAGATATTTTTGAAAGGGAAAATCAGCGGCCCTCAACCACATGGTGGCCGATGTCTCAACGGCCCCTAGGGATGAGCTACAAGATTGTAAAACACATTCATGTGGTTTTCCCCTCTCAGGCACCTCACTTTGTACAGTCATTACTCTTAGGGCAAAACCTAATACATTGTGTCGATTCACATCACCCAGACGCATAAATTCCATCTAATGAATAGTCGTTACTCTTCTTAAAAATATACACTACTAAGTTTCTACCCCCTTTGGTGCTTCTTCTGTTTCAATTTTCCAAAGATCATCAGTCCATCTGTGTGCTCAGTTTTATGCAATCCATGGAAATGTACCTTTGTGTTCTATTTAACCTTATTTTCAATTTTCATTTTGCCATATTTAAGAGCATTTTTTAGCCTTTTTTGGTGTTTATGAAAAGGCAATTTGTATATTCATGAGCAAAAGTGTGATGTCATCCAGGCAGAAATCTCAATGCCACATCTATAGCAGCATCAACATTTGCCATAATTTTGAATATCGTAAATTTTCTTTTCTTTGGTGATTCGTTGTTCAGTGTTTCAGTAGCTGACATTAGGCCAATGAGCAAAGTTGTCCCAAAATGTTTTCAATGAGCAATTTTTTGGTTCACAAGTTCAAAAGAAAACTCCTAAACTGAACGGTCTTCCTGAAATGACATCACAGAAACATCCCCCCTCATTTGTCAAGAAAAGCAGGGAACATTTCAAATGTTTTAAAAAGTGCGCTATTCAATAAAATTAACCAAAAACTAAGGTATGGCAAATAGTTTTCATACATTTAAGAGAAGAATGTTGCACAAAATATGAGCCCAAGTAAAATTCATCTCATGGGCCCTGTAAGTCTCTGATCCCTCCACTATCTTACACCTCAGTTTGCCTTGCACAACTACAAAAAAATAGGTGACAAATAATGCTTCGAGAAATGAAATAACCGCAATATTTTTTAACCAAAACATGTATCACTTTTCCGTAGTCTTTAAAATAACTCAAGCCATTCAAAAGGAAATTACAAATTAATCCTATAAGTGAATACAAGTAGGCCTACAAAAAAACGGTCATGAATATTACAATGGTCAGGTGTACACACACATTTAGCCACTTTGTACAATACACAACAAATGAAAGGACAAAGGGTGATTTTAAGTTAAAAATAACAGTATACATATGTACATGGCTGATGTTTTAAGTTTCAAAATGAAATAAAGACTCTATCTCCCGATTCCTTTGGAAAAAAATTCAATCAGTGTTTTTTCTCACATTTTGTTTTGAAAAATACATGTTACATGATTGCTGAACATAGTGTGGAAGACTTATTTACAGTAGAGAGGGATTTCTATGGACAATTAGAGCTACAGGTGTATATAATTGACGAGGATTAGGCATCTTCTGCTGATTTTTCTGTGTCCGTTGTCTTGTCTCCCTCTTTGCTGTCGATCTCGGATTCTTCAACAATCTTAGACAAAGGTCCATTGGTTCCCTCTGCTGGCTGGGCATCGGCCTCAGAGGCCTTATCACCCTCTTCCTTCCCACCATCCTTTGCTGCTTCCACTGCCTCGTCCTGCCCAAACACTTTCTTGTCACCATCATCGTCATTTCCTGGAGGAGGGGTGAGGTGGGGTGGGGGGAAGATGACCTCTTTTTCCTTTATCAGCTCGTCGGCAATGGACCTGAATATCTTGTGGATATCCTCGCTGATGTGAATGTCTTGAGCGACCTCCCAGGTCCCCTTCTGGAATTTGACCGGTAAGGAGAAGACGATGTCCTCTGGAAGGTCATACCAACCTGCAATGAAGAAAAGAAAGGAAAACAGTATTCAAAAATAATTTCACTGACATATAGGTTTCATATAAACGGCCAGATAACGTTAATTGTTTGCACGAAAATGTGTAATAAAAACTAAACCTTTTTAAAATGCACAACGTTAAAATCCAAGGATAATGCCTGCAGTCATTTCAGCAATCTTGCACTTACGGTTGGTATGATTGCGCATGAAAATCAAGAAACTTGTTACAGTTGACGGGTGCTTTGATCCAGATTTAACAAATAGACAAAGAATTAGATAGAAGGTGATTGTCATACCTTCAGATAGTACACCAACTGAGTATAATGTGTCCCCTTCAGAGCCATTCCACCAGTCAGTCAGAAGACTCACTATAGAGTGGGCTACTGAGAAGGTGGCTGGGTGCTGAAGAGCACCCTCAAGAGTCTCCTTGTAAGTCTTCAATCCGGCCACGTACTCTGTCTGCAGCCACTTGTCATCGTGGACCATTTCGCCAATCGGCCGCGAGTAAAACGGCGGCCCCCAGATGGCGCCCTCACACCCATGCACCTTGGCGTTCTTGAGGTCCGTGTAGGTCGTCCCACCCGCGTTGCCCCAGATGAACAGGTTGACAATGCCGGCCATGTTGACTTGGATGCGCCGCGCCAGGGCAGACTTGGCGTGGTTCTCCTCCAGGCGCGACAGGGCGACCACGTTCTGCCTCAGGACGGCCGGGCTGAAATGTCCCAGGATAAAGGCATTGAAGTTTAGAGGGCCAGAGCCGGCAACAATGGCCTTGACTTCAGAAAGGGCAAACTCATTCAGTACCTTTGCATAGGAAGTGAAGACCTCTGCATTCAGTTTCAACCAATCCTCTTTCTCCATGTTGTCTGGTCTGGCAATCTCATCAAGGAAGATAACTATGCTGGCATCCTTGAATGCGTGCTTCACATCTGCTGTCACCACAATGTTTCGCAGCAATGGGCAAGCTAAGTCCTCCATTTCCAGCTTCATACCCTCCACTGATTTTATGCTGTCCACATCCGCCAACAGCTTGATGGAGATCTCATTATCCTTGCCCAGGACGTCCCCGCGAGCTATCTCGTGCACCAAGTGATAAGCTACAGGACTGGCGGCGTTGGTGATGCAGACATGCAAGGGATTGCTCAGACTTTTTTCGTACTCCTCTTCTGCAGTGACCAGCAACTTTGTCTCCATATTTTCAGCCGATATCTTGGTCATATCGCTGCTCATTTGTTTGGAAGTGATGCCGTAATAACCGCTGGCGTATTCCTGAAACTCGTTGGAACCACCGATGAGGACACCCTTTCCACCTCTGTCGATGAGTTCTCGCCATACAATGGGGGACTTCTTGTGGGCCCAGCCATTTTTCTGGCAAAGTTGCGGCAACCAAATCTGTAAGACAAAATATTCAGATTTAAACACCAAAAAGCATCCAACAACATATCACAACTACATATTTGTATTTTGTGAACAAAAGTTTGAGTTTTAAGTTTTAATAAGAAAATGGAACTATATTTAGCCTACCTCCCATTCCGCTGGATTTTTCACTATCTTGTGGATGTGAAAATCCGGCAAATTGATCTTGAGATCATCAGCCAGAAGCTCAGAGCGAGCATAGTATGGGCAATCAGCACAACCTACAACAAGAAAAGAAAGATTACCAAAATATTTACAACTTGAAAGCTAAGGCCTAGGTCCCTACCGCCAAACTGCAGACTAAAGTCATGTCATATTTCAAAGGGAGATGTGGAGATTTAATGTGCTCATTTGTTTAAAACTGATTCCTCAAATAGGATCAATCGACTAAGGTTGAGGGAATGAAAGTCATAGAATACTGTCCACTGCCCGCATGTGCCGAAAGGTGCCGCCAAAATTTTTCATTATTTACAAAAAAAATAATTATTTACCCAGAATATTAATCTGCCACAACAGTTTACTTTTTTTTATCAGAATCCGCTCTACACAATTTTTCTAACGCAGAATAGTCGTATTCTGTGTACCACATTGAAGCGAAACCCAATCTGCCCACGCGTTCAGAGTGCAGTGAACACGCTGTACATATATACAATACGTGCATACAATGTATAGCGTGCGGTTACCAGCACTAGCGCTGCAAACCAATGACTGCCTGAGCCAGTGCAGCTCAGAAGCATATGAAGAGCGACCATCCGGGGCGAGCATACAGTGCTGTGGAAAGAACATTATATGTGTATACTGCATATAGAGCTGTTTACATTATACCTATCAGTATGACGTTACCTGATTCTGGTTAGTATTTCAGATTCACAATAATGAATAATGAATAATGAAAAAAAAGCCTCATTGTTTTTCAAAATCAGCAGGACGGTATTCTATGACTTTCATTCTCTCGGCCTCACAGAAGACAACTTACCACAAATACCATTGGGCCCACAGAAGAATTTTGCTTTAGTTTTAGTCCATAGCTTACTAAGTTTTCGGCCAAACACTCAACAGTATACATGGTGAATGTCGGACACTTCGCCCCATTTCCACGTCGCCCCATGTCACTTCGCCCCTAACCACTTCGCCCCATCCCCACTTCGCCCCATCCCCACAACGCCCCATCCCCACATCGCCCCATCCCCACTTCGCCCCATTCCCACTTCGCCCCATTCCCACTTCGCCCCATCTCCAATTCGCCCCATCCCCACTTCGCCCCAGCCGTTACATGTAAAAAAAAAAAATCTCATCTATTTTATTGGCTTAAAAACAATTCCAACAGATTCACTACTTGCTAACCAACGGAAAGAATTAGCCCACCAAATGAACAATTCATGACCAACCTCTCAAGCTATCACTCTCCCCTACCGAGAAAAAAAGCCTAGAGTAAAAGATCCAACTTTGTTCCCAACCCGGCTATACCAACCCGTCTCCCACTTATCTGAGAACGACAATACCTTTGACATCCTAATTTCATCTAAATGAAGTTGTAAGTGTCACATATCAGACAAATTTTGACGGAACATTTTCCTCAAGGCAGTGAGTTCCTTTTAACTCACTGACCCATACCTACGGATTCTTTTGAATCCAGCGGCAGATGAGTCCCCGAAGGGACGAATATGCATTCCGCTATTGCCCTCAGGTAAAACCTAACCCACCCCACTGCCTGGGTAAACTTGGCTTCGGTCAAAACTTCCATTGATTTCTCCTTCTTATTTCTACCCAATTTTTGAGACCCCTTTCATGTGTCTCAATTGAAGAACATAAACCACACAATGTCACACCATCGAATAACTCAATGTGTTGTTCTTACGCACATTTTTTATTCACAAGCCAATAGGAGAGGCGTCTCCAACCTCGTCCCCAGTGCTTACTTTATTTCCAACCGCGTTTCCAATAGTAAACCCTGGATAGGAAACTTCTTCCTGTATCCTGATTGGATACCGCAATTGGCTAGTAATGGATTTTTATCGTGTACTTGGTGCTATATATTCACAACGTGCAGTACGTGTTTTCGCGATCATTCGTCCACGCCTTCTCGAAAATACTCATTTCCTTTCCAATTTGCTCATATTAATATGAAATATGATACTGCATGTTGTCTTGATAAGATCATAACAGTTTGATTTCAAAAATCGTGTTTTCGTAACTCACGCCGTGCTCGCGCTGCTACAAATTGACTCTGTTTTTACCCCAGACACCGCATACAAAAACAAACGCTACAAAAACAAACGCTAAGTGGAGATGGGGCGAAGTGGGGATGGGGCGATGTGGGGATGGGGCGTTGTGGGGATGGGGCGAAGTGGGGATGGGGCGAAGTGGTTAGGGGCGAAGTGACATGGGGCGACGTGGAAATGGGGCGAAGCGTCTGACACCCATGTACATTGATGCTACACAATTTTTATTTGGTAAAGTTGTCCGAAAACTGGACAAGCATAAACTTCAGCCAATAGCTCGACTTTAAAGCCTGTACGACCAATATTTTCAAGTTTTCGGAGGACTTATTATTAATTTTTCAAAAATTATACATTAGAAGTCAAATGGTGAGAAAAATGTTCATTATTTTAATGAAAAATCTACCTGCAATCACCAACTTCGTCATGTTGTTGTAGCGTGTTGCCAAGCACATTGGAGTAAGTTTCTTTGGGCAACAAACAACCACCCATATTTGCTCTTAAAACAAGTAGTTCAAGTCAACGGTACGCCATCCTCGTCCCCAGTGCTTACTTTATTTCCAACCGTGTTTCCAATAGTAAGAGCAGGTAGTGGTGGGCGCGTACTGCTCGACACCCTGGGGACGAGGTTGACGGTACGCAACCTTCTACCCAGAGTAAATAATCCCTTAACAACTGTCCAGATAGTTGCCCTTTCCCGATGTCTTTTTAAGGGGTCGATCATAATTATGTGATCGAAGTACATGATATTTTTAAACAGTAGAAGTCGGGCTCTTCTTCGCCTGAAAATTGACGTTAGATTTTTACGGATGAGCACGAAGAACCAGACATAAATTTACACGTGCAAAAACTGTGCAGCTTCGAACATGGCTTTCCTCAGTAAGGACGTCAACTCAGAATTCCTTGAAAAACAGCAGAAAAAGAGAAAACGGGGAAAGAAGAAAAGCGTTGGTAAAATGGTACGACAATCTTGTAGTGCGCCTAGGCTAGGCATAGTTTGTACCCTGAACATATTTGGCGCGATCGGTGGGTCATGATCAGCGCCACAGCACTGCAGTGCAGCCTGTGGCATGCGGCACACAGCACCCAGCCATTGTCAGCGGGAGATTGCGCTGCTGGCATTATGGCTGGAACGGCTGCGCACTGTCTGTGCGGTGCACGTGTAGACATGGTAGGGGTAGAACCATTGAGGAATTTTCATGGCATGATTCCTCCATGATATTTTTAGAAGTAAAAAGAACCGTAAACCTGGCGTCAATAACAACACCACGCTCCTGCTGAGGGAAAGATTCCCAATATCTGGCCATCAGTAATTTTTCCCTTAAATGACCTATCACTATCACTAGTAGTATCAGCCCATATTATCAGAAAGTGATAATAATTAATATGTCCTAAAAAGTCAAAATTAGCAGGTACAATTTTTTTACTGAGAAAACACTTAAAAATGTTCAGACCAGTCCCAATCCCATAGGGTTTGTGCACCACAGGTAGGGTTGACAAGTGATGGCCAGATATGGGAATCTTTCCCTCCTGAGTCTCATAGAAACACTCTAAATATATCGTTCATAAATTAATATGCCATGCATAGAATTAAAATTACGTTGACTGGGCACTGCCATGTGCATGCGTTGGGCCATTTATGTGCAAATTCATGCCAGCAGTTGGTTCTAGTTCATTAGTTGGCTGTTGCCAATCATTTGTAGCTTAAATTAACCGTCAACATTTTGCCTGTAATTGTTTTCCTTTCTTTTTTCTGAAGGCTGATGAAGTTGAAGTCAGTGGAGATCCTGAAGATGTGGGTGTGGTGTATCTGTCTCACATCCCTCATGGATTCTACGAGCCCCAGATGAGACACTTCTTCTCACAGTTTGGGACGGTGAACAGACTGAAGCTCTGGCGCAGCAAAAAGGTACATTTACCCTTTGACGTCCCCCCTGAAATTTCTACTTCGTTCCTTATCTTCATTGACTTATTAAAAATGGGAATTGATTTTCTTAGGTTGTGTAGAGCAAAGAGAATGTGCCAAATTGGTTTATGTTGCATGCATCAGTGTTGGAACAAGTCTTTGTTGAGGAATCTAAGAAATGGCTCGTTTTGTTATGTGTTAACTGATTACTGTATTGTGTTTTCTTGGCTTTCAGAGTGGTAAATCCAGAGGTTTTGCCTACATTGAGTTTGAGTATGCCGATGTCGCCAAGATTGTTGCTGACACCATGAACAACTACCTCATGTTTCAAAAACTACTCAAATGTGAGTATACTAGTAAAACAAAAGAATCTCCCTTGTACTGTATATGATGACTTTTTTGTGTGTTGGGAAGATTTTAAAATGGTTTTACCCCTTCAGCAGCATAGTTTTTAAGACCACTGTAAAATACACAGTGTTACATTGCCTTTAGAATAATTACTTAAGATATAAATAATAATAAGCAAAAAGATGGTATACTGTGTTGCACCTTAACATGGTTTTTGTCCTTCCCGATCTGAAGGTAAATTCATCCCAAACGGAGAAGTGTGTGGCGGGGCCTTCAGAAATGCAGAAAGACGCTTCGTCAAGCCTTACCACCGCAAACTCGCAAAAGAACGTCACAACAGCCTCCTGACGGCCAACGAGGCCCGCATCGTCAAGAGCCAGCAACGACTGGTCCAGATGGAGGGGAGACGGAAGAAGAAGATGGCGAAACTGGGCATCGAGTGCAACCTTCCTGGATATGTAAGCACTAGGCTCATTGTCATAGAGCGGCTAAGCAGAACAAATTGCTTGGCAAATTTGCTCACTAAGCAAAATTCTGCCGAGAGCCAGTCGCATGCAATGTACAGAGTGTGGTGTTTTGGCTGGTAACCTGTATTTGCTAAGCAAATACAGACCTTCTCCAAGAAGGTTTTACAGAAGGAATCAAGCCTAAGCTTGACACACTGGACTATTCTGACAGTCTTGTGTGTGAGTTGGAATAATGCATGTTTGGTTGTACAATGACCAGACTCAAAATCAAGTCAGTGTCATTTCCTAATTCTTTGACGTTTTCAACATACCCTTTTTCCACAATAATCAAAAACTCTCTCTAACCACTCCATTTAGGTACTCGGGTATAATTCCTTTAGTACCAGCTTATATTATTTTTTTTCTTTCTGGTAATGAAACCAAGGATTCCTCAAAAGTGCCCTAGGCACTGTTGCTCAAAAGTAACCACTGAGCTTTGTTTAATTTGCTTAAAACAAATTCACATACCTTCTTCTGACTATGCAAGAACCTGTCACACTTCCATTCACACAATTACATCGCAAATTAACTTATAGCAGGCATTTCTATTGTACGTTATTGTCACTTACTCTTTCAGTACACAATAACAGAGAGTCTTTTATGCCTCAGATTAGAGTGCATGAATCTCGGCAAACTGTGAATCTGATCAGTCCCTCTGATTGGTTGAGTGTTCATCAGTATATGCCCGAGATCAGATCGGATGTGTTTTTTTCCGTGTTGTAATTATGTTATGCATTGTCTGAATATTCAACAGACAGAGGAGTGGGAGAACATCAAGAAGGCTCGGGCTTTCATCAACGAGCAGAAGAAAGTTGAAGCCCTTCGCAAGAAGGAGATCGAGCAGAGAAAGCAGGAGGCCCTGAAACGAGCCAAACAGAAGGTCAAGCTCCTCTCCTTGAAGCGGAAGATCAGCAAGAGGCACAAACGGAGAGAAGAACGGGAGAAGGGCGAGTCAGAGAAACAACAATCTAGCACGGACGAGAAATCACAAGAAGGAGTCGACGGCGACAAGAAGTCCCCAAAACGCAAGTTGGACTCTCAAGATCTGGCAGTGCCCTCATCCAACGAGGCAGACAGACAGACTCCTGCTAAGAAGAAAGGGAAGCTCTCGACTTCAGTTTCCCCCATCGAAGAGGCTGCCTCTCCTGCATCCCCACTCAAGAAAAATAAGGAGGAAAAGTCATCAGGAGCTCTGAGCCAGACCAGGAAAAGTGGGAGGTTGTCTTTGAAGAGAGCAGCATCTCCAGCAGTCAAGTCCAAATTTGAGACGCCAAAGAAGACGGGAGATGCTAGGAAAAGCACAGCAGCCACGCCAAAGAGCACAGCAAAGAATCTCTCAAAGGATACCTCGGTCACTCCCAAAGTAGTCCCCGAAACCCCCAAAGTGCCGAGCAGTTTGAGAAAAGACCAGGGTCTTCTATCTAAAACAAAGACACCTCAGAGTAGAAGAAAGTCAAAGACGTCTGAGCCGGAGCCCTCCAGCGATGATTACGAGAGCAGCGACACACCTGAAGAGGAGCCGAAGATTAAAGAGTTCACTGGGATTCGACTGAGCAAATCGGAGCAGAAGGATGTGACGACCAAGAAGAGGAGCAAAAATCAAGCTAGAATCAGCTTGAATGGAGACCAGCTACTGATTTTCTAAAACAAAAATCAACTGTTTGATGGTTGACAGATAGATACAGAAGCTGTTCAACCCTAATATTCCCAGATCCTTCAAACTCCAACAGGTTTTGGAGGAATTTGTAGGATCAAGGAATGTTAAGCCCTTCCTCTATGACATTACATGAAAGGAAAAAACTGTTCAATACTAAGCTTTTTTGATCATCCAGATTCTAAGAGGATGTTTGGAGGATTTTGTAGGATTGAGGAAGGTTGAGCCATGTTGCTATTACATGAATAACACAAAAAAAGGATAAACTTGTTTGACCCCAACCTTCCCAGATCTTTCAAACTCCAACAGACCAGAAGATTTGTAGGATTTTTTAAGAGCTAGGAGAGTTGAGCTCAGAATGGAAGAAACTGTTCACTCGCAATCTTCCCAGACACTTCAAAGTCCACCAAGATGTTTGCGAGGATTTCGCAGGATTAAGAAAGGTAGAGCCCCACAACAGTCACAGTACCCTATGTGGGGTTTGGTGCCCCATGCCAGTGAATGGTGGAAGTATCTGTTCTTTTCGTTTTTCTAAAAATTCAAATAGATATGTGAACGAAGTGTGAACAGTGGCAGTTTTTATTTTTTATTAAATTGAGGTCCGAAATCAATTAATGCAAAAAAAAGCAAAAAAAGACCGGTAAGTGAAATCATTGTTTTAAGTGACTTTAAAACATCAGTTAGAAGTGCAACAAGTTGTTCTTTTCTATTTAAGCTGATATTGTAAAAAAAAAAAAAAAAAAGCCTTGGTTTATAATACTGAAAACACAGTATGAACATTTAAAAAAATGTTACAATTAAGAAGTGGAATTACTCAAGTTCTTTTGATTTCTGTTGCTGAAGCAGTGCAACTTTATACTGTCACGAAAAAAATTCTCATATGAAAAATGGTCATATGTAGACCTCCCGAAAAAAAATAATATTTGAAATATGAAAACGATTAATTTGTGATTATAAATTTTAAAATGTACTGGCCAGATGAGCACTCTTTCTTTGTAGTATTAGTCAATTGGAAATTCTGGCACATTAAATAAACATGCCTGGTGACGATGTATTTATAGTCGTGATAATTTTCAACTGTACTTAGTCCGTTATTTTGAATCGGAGTGCTTTTAAATTGGACTGCGCCTTGCAAAAGTTGTGCACGTAGCTACCTGTACTAGTAACGATAGTATGAAATACTTCAGCATATATTACACTTAAGCGTGCACAACACTGAAAGTTTTCTGTAGTACATGTACTCAGTTCTTTATCCCAAAGTAATGGCTAGGACGTTAAGGTTATTTAATGCTGCGCGGTGTAGTATTTCGTCATGATAAAACCATTCAAAAAAGACCGCACTTCCCTCCAGCTCCCAACAAACAGTTCCACAATTTCGGCCAATTATTAACTCCCATCTTTCTGATGCGCCCCGGCGACGTCAAATACCCTCTAAATACTGGGAATTGCATGTACATATTATATCACAGTTAGTTCAATCTTTGAAACACAATGGTCCATAGTTGTTCATAAGTGTTTGATTTGTTTGTAGTCTGTTGTTGGTGGTTAAAGTTCAACAGTCGGGTTATATTCACGAGTGCGAAACCGCGAAGCAGTCACGCGCAGGGCTAGGGAAGGCGTGCATGAATATATCAAGTGTGAGCCTTTAAATGTGCAAACCTAAACTCGACCCTGCTTGTTCCTTCTAGTTTGCCTTCTGTGTGAAATAAGGCGTGATTATCTTTGGAATTGAGGTAAGATGAGATAGCGTCACTTTATGCTTTAATTACACTGATCTGTTTGATTCAAACTAGCGCGAGTTTGTATCCCAAACGCCTTTTGTTTCTGTTCAGATTATTTTTTTTCTGCCGTCTTTTTCACCAGTTTTGTTTCTGCGCCTGTTTGAGCACACACTCCAGTACACAATAAACGTAGGCATATTAAACGTGTCATGTCAGATTTTAGAAAACTAAGAAATGTGACCATTTATAAAAGTTAAAATGCCATATCTCACAAACCAGAAGATATGATGAGATAAATTCAAAATGAATGTGGCTTTCTTCAGTGACGTCATGATGGTATCGTTCGCCAAATGACATATGAAGCAAATAATTCGTAGCCTATACACAGGAAGTAGCCTTGAAGAGGAAGTTCCGATTGCGCGTGTACTCTCCACGAGTCAGGCCGCGGTCACATGATAAAAGAGCTATCCTGTTCATGACATTGAGAAATCTTTGTTCGCTTATACTAATATTGTATTTAAATGTGAATTGGGTGTAATGCGGCTGATGATATGACAAGTGCGGGAAGGCAAATGGCTTGTGTATTCAACGTATTCAGATTGCTCATTACTTTAGGGCATTTGTTCACATTGTGGGACGCTGTTAACATGCTTGCTTCAATCTAGATTTCACACATTTCAGTCAATTTTGGCGATGTTCGCGCGTGTTACAAAACGCACACGTAAACTAACTTTTTTATATGCTTTACAGAGGAGCTCAGCATAAAAGACATGTGTTGCAAGCATCCTATTTACAACAAATGGCGAACAAACCGTCATTAACAAACCATCACTAACAAACCATCACACTTTGAAGCCTGTCACGAAAGGAAAACCAACAATGTTGCTTTTGTTAGTAACTTTGTATGCACCTTCATGCAGTAAACACGATGGTGGATATTACACATACCTCTGCTCTGCATGAAAAAGTACAGTTTCATAAAGCTGTGTCGGCTTACTATTTCCTTGACAGATATAGCTTAAATGTTCATTCAGCACTAAATTGAAAGGGGAAGTGAACCAGAGTCTTACCAGACATACAATTCACACCAGGAAACACGGACATCACAGTGTAATGGAGGTCCATATAGAACTTTCAAATTTTACTAATAAAAAATGCGATTTTGCGATTCCGGTTGCTTATCGCTGTCCAATTGTAAGATCTAGGAAGGCACTTCAGTTAGTTGTCATGCATATTAATGTGTTTATAAACTTCAATTTAAACCTGAAATTGAATGATTAATTTGCTACTTTAAAAGGAAATAAAACAACTTACATGTAGTCAAAATATTGACTAGTTGGATTTGACTCCAGTTTTAGTTATTTGCATAACAATTTTTCCTATAGTCAATAATATTGACTGGAAAAATCTAGACAAGTTTTGCATACTTTCCGTCTCCGTTTCTTTAAGTTCGGCAGATTTTTTTTTCGATATGGATCGGACTGAGAAAGAACCCGACACAAGACCGCTCCTGCCGTACGCTGAAGATGACTTCCCTCGGACCACACCCCTCGCCGGGCCGCCCGAGTGCACGCTGAACGACGCCTGCACTCCTCCCCCAATCTCGCCCAGAGACTCCGAGAAGAATTGCAGCCTTCGCCAGAGTCTGGACGGTTATCATCATAAGCACCATGAGCATCTGCAGGAGGAGCACTATGTGGCCTATGCAAGACGGTGGTACATCCTGGCCGTCTTCTCGCTTCTCTTTGTCTTACAGGCGGCTGCCTGGAACACGTGGGGTCCCATAGCTGATACCAGTAAGATGTCCTCATTGTTTTGTCTCTCTGATGGCAGTGATGTTATTAAGGGGGAAATGGGGGTACCCCCCGGCCCCCCCCCCCACCCCCTCCATGGCTTGTGCTTTCCCCGCTCAGAATTCGTTGAATGCAAATGAGCTCTTTTTTTTTAACCTTTGAGTCCCTCTTCAAACGATGCGAACTACCTCCAAATTCCTCCCTCCAAATTTTAGCCCACGCCCCTACTCTCTACTCGTTTGATGATTTGTCTGGTAATTTGGGTTTTTTTTACCTTTTGCGATGACTATACTTTACTCTATAATGGAACATAATTAAGCATATTCCGCGTACAGTGCAATGCTGCGGAAAAGAGTGGAGGGATAATTAAGTTTGCGCAGCTGTTCGGTTGGGATTTACGTGTGCAGTGATTATAGAGGGCCACCAGCGGAGGAACATCTGTTGATGGCCTTAAGCTTGGTTTTTTTTTTTTTGCTTATATAATGCAACTTCCCTCAGAACGTTCAAACTCACGCCCTCAACAATAAGAATTTGCTATCAAAACATTTGTTTGCTCTTCAAGTCATTTGTTGTGATGTTTGACACAGCCGAAGTAGTTCTACGGTGGACCCAAGCGGACCTCGACTTGTGCATCAACTGGGGGCCAATCACGTACGTCGTGACGGGATTCATCTTTTCCTATATACTGAAGGTCAAAGGTCGGTGAATGACGTTTTTGTTTTTGTGTGTATAATAATAAAACAATCTTGTTTGTGAATATATTTTTGATGTGACGGTCATTAATTCTTTTTAATGAGCCATAGCACGGAGGTCGTATAAATATTTAAAATTAGTCTTGTTAATCCACATCATTGAATTTTAAAATCTAACTTTGGGTCATCGATATACAACGCCATTTTGTTACATCAAAATTGGTGTGCGAATTTAATACTTATTTCCTACAGCGGTTGCTTCTTACTTGAAGTATTTACACAATCTAAACACGGCACCCTCCGTATAGGATTGTCAGAAAAAGCACAAGAAGCTCGCACACAACCACCTGTTAACTTAAAAAAAAAACACGTGTTTCGACTTTCGACCAATGATCTTGTTCGGATTCACTGGCTGGTTAGAGTCCACCCAAACGATTCTTGTTTGACTTTATCTTAACAGGACTACGCTTTGCTGTGCTGTGCAGTGCTTTACTCTTCCTGTTCGGCATGGGTTTACGTTGCATTCCAGTCGGAATGGAAAACATCAAATGGTACGAATGTCCCCAAATGTTTTGTTCCAAAAATCAAGAAAAAATACTCGCACCTCTCCAAGTTATTTGATACACATCAAATTAAAGCTTACTTCATCGTCGTTCATTTTCTGTTCATTTTTTTTGGGGGGGGGGGTAATCCGATGACTTTTGGGAGAAATTTCCATTCAAATAATTATGATCACCCCTGTAGAAGTAGTCCTGAAGCCCGTCACCATTTTCAAAAATGGTGCCTGTACTCCGTTGCAAAATTACAGAACAAGTTCAGGGCCCAATTTCATCCTAATGTTCACATAAATACAAGCACACAGTCATGTTCACGAACGGCTTCCACCTTTCTTTGTTTTTTTAATCACCTCAAGAGGCCTGCGCAAGACAACCTACAGTCCGTATTTCATAAAGTTCAAATTTCGCACTAAACCTCTATTTCCCTTTTTTCCAGGACGGCCAACATTGGTCAGGTCTTTGTGGGCGTGTCAGCACCCATTCTCCAAGCGGCACCGACGCAGCTCTCGGCAGTCTGGTTTCCACCTCATCAGCGCACTACATCTACGGCTATAGCCTCCACGGCAGGCTACTTCGGCCTGGCTTGCTCTTTCCTGATTGGTCCGAACATCGTGAGCGATGTGCCCAAGAATGTCACGTGAGACTTACCACATTGGTTGGGTTTGGGCTGGGCTGGGCTGGGCTGGGCTGGGCTGGGCTGGGCTGGGCTGGGCTGGGCTGGGCTGGGCTGGGCTGGGCTGGGCTGGGCTGGGCTGGGCTGGGCTGGGCTGGGCTGGGCTGGGCTGGGCTGGGCTGGGTTGGGTTGGGCTGGGTCGGGTTGGTTTTGTATAATTCACATGCCAAATTTAAGGCCATTTTTAAAGTTAAGTTTAGGATCTTGAAGCCCATGCAGAAGTATTCTGATGTTATAGGAAATATAATTATAGTCGACAACATTTTGTTTCGTGCAATTTCACAATAAAATTTCTAATGATTATATTTTATTTGACTTTCAAATAACATAGAGCTAACAACATTACAGCGGAGAGTCGAACACAACACTTTGGCGAAATCATGAACCTTCTGTACATAGGTAAGACTCCGTACCATTTAGTCCATGCAATCGGGAATTTCTAAAGAGGAAAATAGCTTCCAGAAACACACTTTACATTTAAAAGAAAATCATACACTCGTTTTAAAATTTATATATTTGATCTGTTTTTCCCCTTTAAGAACTTATAGCGTGTATCCTAGGTTATAAGATTTTGTTTTCTCTCTTTGAATGGACAGAATGTGGAATGGCTGCCGTTCTTGTGATCGCCGCCATGTTGTATTTCCCTGACAAGCCACCGACTCCACCAAGCATATCAGCCAGCGAAGACCGGGAAAGCTTCCTGTCTGGTGCCATAAGTCTTCTGAAGTATGTTGTCATTATAGAAAATATTGACTTTTATAACAGCCGGTCCTTTTTTACTTTATTATTTTGGAATAGCCCACTCACGCGACCCAAGTTCTGCAATAGACATGCGCAGTATGGTCATGGGTCCGTTTTTCATGGAGTCCGTATTTTACATTGCAACTTCTTTACGTGACGTGTTCTTAACGGATCCGATTTTGAAATTTACCACGTGCATAGGCCTACTTTGTCTGTTGAATATCGATTGTTTCTCACATTTCTAAATGGACTGACAGATTATGTATACACTCTTTGCATTCATTAGCCATCTTTAAAGTGATTTTTTTGGTCATTTTAATCCAAAGATGACATTACAATGGATTGTATACTAGTACTATACACTGTATTGCAAGCCGAAAAAAAATGAAGTGGTTATATTTTTAGAAGAAAAAGAAGTGCTAAATGATGGTGAACTAACTATACACTTATCAATAAAAACTGCAGGAACGTGCAGTTTTGGATTCCCGCCCTGGCGTACAGTGTGAGTACGGGAGTGTACGCGGGATGGAGCACGCAACTGGACGTCATCTTTGACAAGTCTCTTGGCGTTAAGCAGGTCGGTATGCATTTTGATAGAATTTACTTTCTTAAATATCTGGCATTGTCAGAATCGGAAAATTTGTGGCTAATTTGATGGCCGTAGTCGTGAACAGCCGTCCGTTTTCGGATGAGACACTCTCAAATTCGAGTCATTTTGGTACAACGCCAGTCTCATTAAAATTCCACCAGTAATTGTATGCTGATGGCGAAGTTGTAATTTAGGGACGTGTTTGGAACTTTGGATGGAATTATGAAGGATTTTTGATGAAGTTTTTGCGCCATTGAATTTTGCACCATTGAATTTTGCCCTGACTGCTCTGAGATACATGTACGTGTACAAATCAAACAAAATTAAACGGCCTACGTTTCGATCCTAGGTTCTGCAAGGATCAAAACTGAACGGAAATTTGTTAGATATTAAAGATAATTATTTAGGATAATAATTTAGTCTACTTTTGAGACAGGACACGGTTGGATGGATCGGCTTCATCGGAAACCTGGCGGCGGTTGCTGGTGGATTGGCCTTCGCAAGGTAGGCCTAGTAGTCAGGTGGCTTAGATCTAATTTTCGTCAAGATCGTGACCGACTGGTCCAAAGCACCAAACTTGGCAGATATATTCTTATAGACCTAGAGAAGATATTTAGAAGGGGTGACACCTGAAATTCTTTTGGGAAGGGTGCCTAATTTGCATAAATCGTTAATCCCTGACGTGTAATATATTTATTCCCATATTTGGGTATATTTCCATTTTTTTATTTTTTTTGAAAAGTGTATTTTGGGGATTCTACTTACATATCTTTACTTAAATAACATTTTCCAAAGCATATAAGTGACTGAATAATTATGAGGACATAGTAACGATCCAAAATGGCTACTATTATGACCTAAAATTGCGCGCATTTACCTTGTCTCCAGATATCATCAATTAGTCTTGCCAAACATTAGCATTGATGAACTTCAAATTCACCAAGTAGCTTACTGGTACAGCTACCCTATTAAAACCTTATGCAAAATCATGTGAACTATGATAACATTGTGATATTAAGCCCAGAAAACAAAAACTGGGGAAAAACGAGGTGTCCATAAATTAGGCTAACAAGTAGGTGAATGGTTGCCTAACATATGGAACACTGGAACAAGTTCAAGAAAATTCCCCTAATTATTGTTAAGAAAACGTTTTGGCGTAGACAAAATTATTGTAAACAACAATAATCTCTTCTTAAGGGGGATTTTGTTGAACTTGTTTAAGTTCCCACGTTATACCCTTCTCGTACTAGCCCAATTTACGGACACCACATTTTCTCCCCTTTTTTGGTCTTTTGGGCTAAGCATCAAGATGTTATCAATTTTCACTTGATTTCCCATTTATTTTTGTCAGGGTAACTATGCCAGTAAGTAACTTTGTTAATTTGAAGCTCATCAATACCAACGTTTGGCGAGACTAGTTGATGATATCTGAGGAAAAGGTAAATGCGCGTAACTTTAGGGTAAAATAGTAGCAATTGTGGTTCTTTACTATGTCCTCCTAATTATTCAGTCACTTATATGTTTTACAAAATGTTATTGAAGTAAGAATATGCAAGTAGAATCACCAAAATACACTTTTCAAAAAAAATAAAAAATAAAAATATACCCAAATATGGGAATAAATATATTACACGGCAGGGATTAACGATTTATGCAAATTAGGCACCCTTCCCAAAAGAATTTCAGGTGTCACCCCTTCTAAATATCTTCTCTAGGGCTATAAGAATCTATCTGCCAAGTTTGGTGCTTTGGACCAGTCGGTCACGATTCCGACCATATGCCACCTGACTATAGTATGAGCTGCTAGATTGGTATTAAGAGCCCTTTGAATGTTACACATTCGTTTAACGTGTCCAAGATATCTTCATTATTTCCAAAAATTGAGACAAACTGCATTATTTAAACTATGGCTGCTACTATATTTCATATCATTGGTGGGAAAAATTATACTACATAATAAAAATCTGGTACAAATTCACAATAAAAATCACCCATGCGTCTATTTTTGAAATCTTCTTTGTTCCATTGGCAGGTTAGTTGATTACCTCGGAGGTCGCATGAAGTTGATTCTTATTTTGATGATGATTGGCTCGGTCGGTAGTTGTGTCTGGTGTGTCCTGCTGTCCATGTCCTACATCTCGTTCAACTTACGTAAGTAGCTCAAGTTGATATACTTCCAGGGCGAATTGGGAGGAGGGTACGATGCCTCCTTGGAGAACTTAAACTTGCCCCGTGCCCTGCCAAAAAAAAAAAAACAATTATATTTCCCCGACGAGTTTTCAATTCTTTTGTTATATTTCGACAATGTTTGTTTCCTTTGGGGCAGTCTGCAACACTTATTTTGGGGTTGCTTTTGCGACTCATATAACGCACAAAAAAATCCTCCTGATTTATTATCGGGCCGCAAATAACTCACGTTTTGTACGGTAATTAAACGTGCGTGGGCAGATTTTGTCGTTCGCTATCTCATTCTAAAGTGAATGACTTTTGTAGTGCGAGAGAAAACAAAATAGGAATTGAAAAAATAATATCAGAGAAACGAGAGAAACGGGTGGATATTGTGATCAAATTTCTTTCTCTCTTGATCATGTAGCGAGTCTGTACATCTCCTGTATCATCATCGGTTTCTTCATCAATGCCTCCATTCCCATCTACTTCGAGGTGACGGTAGAGGGCATGTATCCCGTCTCCGAGGGAACCATCACCATGCTGATGACGTGGCTCAACAACGTGTGCGTGCTGGTCTTCCTGCTCCTACCGCAGATACACGGCATAGGTAAAATAACAAAACACTGTCAATATCATCGACGACTTTTGTTTTTTAACAAACACCAATTCACACGAGGCAATATTCTCAGGCACGGCGACGAAGCCTTCTTGGGAGCGTCTATTCCACGTAATACTGTTCATTTCTTCCTAAAGATTGCAAGTGCAACAAGGCACCTTATCATTTTCCTCATTGTCATGGCCTTTACTGCTTCATTAGCTATGAGCCAATTTGAGGATTCGAGGATCTATATTCGTCTCCCCCCCCCCCAAATACTTATTACAAAATGTGGGGCATAGCACAGTAACCGGGACAACGGAACACCAAAAACGGAGCCAGTCAGAGGAAGGTGATTTTCGTTTTTGTAAAAAGTGCAATAAATTGTTACTTCCGTTCTTATTTTTACAGCCCTATAAGCAAACTACATTTTGTACATCATTTTGTACACTGTTGGTAATAAAAGCGTAATATGTTGGTAATGAACCCCCAAAAGCCACTCCCCGGCCATGCTTGTTCAGTGCGAATGACTATGACGGGTCGTTATGCGTAAAACATTACTATAAAACTTGGCGAAAAAAAAAACTGGAGGCATGTCAGCAGTTTCTACAAGTTCTGGATTGTGACTGATTAATTTCGGTTGTGTTTTCTTCTTCTAGGAGTGGTGTGGATGAATTGGATGCTCCTTGGGTCAGTGGTCATTTGCGTCCCGCTCCTCTTGATGTACAAGGAGCAATATAAGCGGCTCAATCTCGACACGAAGGACGAGTAAACACCGGCCCGCACGAGCAAAGCTATAAATATAACTTAGGTGCCAACGACTTTTCATTTTTCTTCTAAACACATAAATTGTTGACTCAGGCTGCAGCTACTGTTTTTACTACATAATCACAAATAACAAAAATGTCGATTCTTCCACCACTGATAATAAGCATAGTTGAAGCCAGGATTTTTCCAAAGTGAGTGCAAAACATTAGCATACTAGCAAAATAGCCGTGAAAAAATCGGAAAAGTTGGGTGAAGACGACGCCTGATGATGAAGGCACTATTTCAAAACAACTTTTTACTATATAAAGCCCTTTCGGCAGCAGTTTATGTTACATGTACTTTAAAAAGAAAAGAAAAAAAAAGAAGGGCTAAAATAAATAACTCAACTTCGACGATCTTCTTTAATCCTTTCCGTCTACTTTTGTCTTCCTTTGTATGGGTGCGGTAAGGTACCAATAACTGAAATAAAACTTGGGCCGGTGACAATTTCAATTTCCTATTTGTCGGGAATATGACGCTCTTCAATCTTTCCTTTAAGCATTGAATTTACTGTTGGCACTTATAATACAGATTTCCAAGTTATAGTTATAACTTATATATAACACACTGGAACTTTTTGCAGTGTCATGTCACATTGTAAATGGGTTGGCACTGTCTTAATGTACACAATTTGGAGGCTGAAGCACTGACATGCATGTATTATATTTAGTCATACCTTTGAAATAATGGTCTCATTTTAAGACAAAATGACCTTTCCCGTGCCATTTTCGAGTTCATTGTGACCAGAAAATAGATTTGTATTTCAAACTGCTCTTTTCCTGGAAATGCAAAAGTTATTTACTTTTGAATGAGACACCAAACGAAAATATATCAAGTTGACGTGTAGTGTTATGGAATAATTACTTTACAAATTTCGATTTTTTTTTGCGATTGACAATAATTCTTCCGGATTTTTTTTGTACGTTAAGAGCTAAAGCTACCCAAAGTCAAAAAGAAAAAAAAAACAAATCGGAGGGTTGCAGTCGTCGAAAAAGAAAAATAGAAAATGTTAGTTTTATTTTAATTTAAAACATGAATTCTATTTTAAAAAACAAAATCGAAGTTGTTAAAGAGAGTAACTTTAATGTGTTTACAATTACTAAATCTTCCAAGAACCGTGTTGTGCAACCTAAATTTTAATCGATGTCAATATGTTTTCAAGATTTGTGAAAATATATTTACGCAGACATTGAATACAACATTTTTCCCAAGAATTTATTATGTTCAAACTATGTGTTGATTGCAAACAATGCAAACTTTAATTAGTATTTAATTAGTACCGTTGTGGTTAATCGTAAGATTCTTAATCTTAAGACAGTGCGTTGAAAATGCAGCTACTGTTGAAGTTGTTATTCGAGATTTATCGATTTAATTCCAAGCACAAATTAAGAAAAATGTGTATTAAGGCACTGTAAGGTGTTTAAAAATGTTATAAATATTAATTTATCACTACGATTCAAAAATGGCTGTTAGTCCACATACTTGAATGGAATCTTAATATTTCCTTTCTTTTTCTCTGGCAGTTTCAAAGAAAACCGATACGTTAATGTCAAATTTTGACATAATAATAAAGTGCAATCACTTTTCTGCCCACCGTATGATTTCATGTTAATTTATGACTATCCTCAAAATAACTGACATTTAAATAAAACATGGCAGTATGTGAAAGACTTGATTTCCAGTTGATATTTTATAAAAATGTTTTAGTGCAACAATCGGTTTTGAAGTTTCACCAAAATTGCCACATATACGTACTACAAAAGGAAATACAATTAATCATAACTCAAATAATCATCTAACAAAAACCACCAAAATTTTACCCGTATTTACATGAGTTGTGTCAAACCGTCTAGAATGAAAAGTTTACATTAAATTCAACGGCATAAGGCATCAATCACGATTGGAGTGACGAGAAATTGGATAAAAGTCGACTATTTGTTTTAAATTTAAAAAATATACCAATTAAATTTACAGTCATGGTAGAAATGCCAGCATTTCTAATTTCAAGCATTATACACATGAAAAACGAGTATCATCTTTATCAATGTACATTGCTGGAAAAAAAATTATAAAAAGTTTGTATAAATGTGTAAAATTTTAGAACGAACCACCTATGATACGTAATCACTGCCTATAACACCTTCTTATATTATTGGAAATGCAGTAGCATACTATATGAAGCCACAAAAGTCAACATTCATTGCAATATTAAAAATGTGGACCTATATACATTGTGTATTAATTGTATTGACTTTACCGGTGTCCTGAGTGATAGTTGTTACATGTAAATATCAATAACACCTTTGATCAATAACACCTTTGATGTAGATATGTGCAAATATCTTGAAATTTTAAATATCATTGTTATATAATTGTTATATATTCAGTGCTTTCCAAGAGCTTGTGAGATAACAATACTACAAACTTGGACAGGTGTTCATGTAATATTCATAACATAAAATATTATTTTCTTACAAACCCAACCCTTCACAGACATTCTATTAATTACAAGTTAGTTGATATTAAAACAAATATCAATCTCACTTCATTGAATAATTATCAAAATATATAAAATAATGCCTTCATACTTCTTGGTTGAGAAGTATGTGGGAATACAAGCAAATATGAGTTTCAAAATTAGTACGTCAGTCTTCCACATACCCACTAATTGTGGGGGGAAAAATGTACTTTTTAAATGTAATAATGCTGTATTACACTTAGTACTCTACACAGTCCAGGGGGATATAGAACTGTCAAAACTTGGGAGCAAGTCACTCCAATTCAAACTTAACCTTAATACTGTCAGAAGATTTGTGTGCAACGTCTCATTGGCAAGTTCATAACTTACTTAGTGAGAGAAAATTATGAATTAAAAACATGATAATTCAAGTGGCTGTTAATTTTGATCGGTGCATTTCAAATATTTGAATATTCAATCAATCCAAGTTAGAATAATCAAATATGAAATTATTTGAACATGCACAGCCCTAGAAGAGGACAATATCATTTGTTATCCTCTCTGGATACTTTCCGTCATATCTTCATCCAGACGATTATAATGCTCCTTATACATCATGAGGAGAGGCAAGCACACGAAGACGGAACCTAGAAGGAGCCAGTTCATCCAAATCACACCTGTGAACAAAGCGGAAAATATCAATGACCAAACCAATTTCATACAGCTACTCATCACACCAACTTGCCGAGGACTTGTTGGACTTGTCGTTAGACTTCAAGGCTGTGATTGGTTGAAACAAAATTGGGCGGGGCTTAATGGGTCAGTCGAGGGGCTCTGTACACAAGTACCCCCTCAACGGTAAGAAGGGCAGAGTTGGGGAGATCACTGGAAGCCTTCCAAACACATTACCGACGCCTGAAGCTCGCGCAAGATGACATGGCTATATGCACATTCAAGGGCAGATCCGGGAAGGGGGGGGGGGGCAACAGGGGCCATAAAGGCAGGCACTAAAAACGTCGGCAAAAGGCAAACATCGCAATAAAGGCAGGTACTGCACACACCACCTTCTTTTCCTCAAAAAAATTGGGTTAAAGTGGTCAGAAATTGCCTCAGATCGCACCACATATCACACCACTAGAATCCAACAAATGTTTGGGGCCCTTAAGCAGGCCCCGAACCCCACGCAGTTATTTACCTGGACCCACTTTTTGGGGACCACCGTTTCCCCCCCCCCCCCCAAAAAAAAAAATTGTGTTCTGGATCAGCCCTTGAAAATAAAACTAGTCATGCCTCCTTCATGCTGCAGGTGCATGAACCAGTACGGGCACATGATGTATTCCGTCCAAAGTGGTAGAAATATTGACCTCTCTTGTTTGCGCACTGAGCCCATTGTGACGGTGGTAGCAGCCTCAGTTATTTCCGAATCTTGAACTTACTTAGATTTGGAATCATCGGCAGCAACAGGAATATCAGAGCAGCCACATTGTTCAGGTATGTCAGTACCATTGTTATGTTGCCTTCCGAGACAGGATACATGCCCTCGACCGTGATCTCAAAGTATATGGGCACGGAGGCGTTGATGAAAAGTCCAATGAAGATACATGCAATGTAGATGCTCACTGCAACCAAAGAGACACAAATCATCATATCAAATATAGGTGAATGTCCAATAAACGATTCCCCAAAATAAACATTGTAAAAAGTTGCCATGTATGTCTGGTACAAACTTAAAACATTTGTAAAACCTGGGTGACTGTCATATTTCGGGTTTTTTTTGTTAGGGGTGTTCACATTGTACTCTGTACCCCTGTTAGAAATTTGCCCGTATCTGCTTCAATTTCACAATCTTGCAGATAATCTCAACTTGAAGTTGAAGCCCACACGACTCACATAAAAAATACATGTGCGCATTACACTTTTTTCGAGATTGTGTCATGTTACTCACCTAAACTGTATGAGATATACTTCATTGAGAGTAGGACACACCATACACAGCTAACGAAGGCTGCCAGGGTGAGTGAAATCAATACTGCCTTCATCCTACCACCAAGGATGTCTACAAGTCTGGTGAAGTCACAAAAACAAGGAGAGATAAAATAGTTAACAAGAGTGAAGACTGGAATTTGTCAAACGCATTGCCAAATAAGAATTGTCTTACTATTCGATGGCATACTCCTGCCATCACTCATTTAGGGGTGGTCCTTGGTACAAGTACGAATCATTTCATTTGGAAGTGATCCAGATCAGCATCTGAATGCATGATTTTTTTCAAGGATTTTTCACCCACCATATGGAAAATTTTCACCCTGTGTGACCAGCTACGTGAGCGTGGCACTGACCTGGTGATCCTGTATGCCTTATCACCCACCTAATCTAACCACACAGGTCAATGGACTGGTACATTTTATAAAATGGGGAGTGGAAAGGTAGACCAACCCAGGCATATACATGTAAACTACAAAAATTCTGAGCTTAAGATCCAGACTGTTTCACCTTACTGGAGAGTTTAAGGGGACTAAGCCCCCCCCCCCTTCCCCCCCCCCCCAGCGCCCTCCTTGATCCTCCATTGGGACCAAAGCTCAAACGAGGAGCAATGTTTTTCTACTGAAGTGAAATTTTTGTGACAATGTTGTACCACTCACCTTGCAACTATCAAGCCTCCCAGCATCCCAGCAATATTGGAGATGAATCCAATCCAACCAACAGTGTCCTGAAAAAACCACCCAAATATTAGAAATTCATCCGCTAACATGGCTAAATCACACAACACAGCTAAGCACAACTCAACAGAGACATAGCATAGCATATTGGACAGTGCCGCACTTGTACTAAACAAAACTTTCAGTGATTATAAATAATTTTGAATACTGTGATTGTTACCTGTCCTATATTCAGAGTAGTCTTGAAAATTGTGTCCATTTGCGTGGTCCAGCCACCGTAAACTCCAGATGATATGCTGTAGGCTGCCGCAGGAATCCAAAAATGGGTGCTCCTTTAATCAAATATTCAACAAAAATGGGACTTTTTTAATCTTTAGCTGTTTCAGAGTTAAGGATTATGATTAATACGTGTTGACACTTGATTGAATTAAAGCATGTTTCTTAACAAATTGAAAATGAAGTTTTCTTCTTTCAATTTTTGGACAGTTGTCTAAAGACTAACTTGATCATCTTCAGGGCTCCATCTTTGAAGCTTTCCCGAGGTTTGGTGGCAGATAAGCTGGGTGAGGTTGGTGGCTTCTCAGGGAAGTACAATAGAGCCGCGATGACCACGACGGCCACAGCTCCACATTCTGAAACATCAAATGAAAACAAATAATACAAATGTGTGTAATATCTATTGTTTATATTAGGTTTCACCCTTCCCCAATGTAATTTAATAGGCACTCGCAGCAATTTATATACACTAAACACTGTCTGGCGACTAGTCAGAAAATAAAAGCCTCCAGCTTGCTCAGGTGGGACTTGAGCCAACAACATTTTGGTTAAAAGCACAATCATGTTTAATCACTCGACCACCTTGGTTGGTTTGGTTTCCCGGCTGGTTTAAATCCGGAACAGCAGTGGGTTCAACAGTCAAATGACTTTTCAGAGAAGTTTTTGATGGATTTCTTTCAATAAAATTAAAAACAAATTCCGAAGCCTCCCTTTTTGAAATCAAATCTGACAACGAATATTTAAAAGACTAAATTGTTGCAGACTGCTTACTTACTGGAATACAGTTAGACCTTTGTTACAGGCAACATTCTGTTTGCCTTAACTGAAGTTTTACTACGACCAAAACATTAAGCCCTGTAACTTTTTTGAAAGACAACAGTTTGTACATACCTATATACATTAACTTCATTATCTCATTGAAGTACAGTGCTTTCTCCTTTGGGTCTATGGATTCTGCATTTGAACTGAAACCAAATATTCACTGTTACAATGCAATATCTTTTTTTTTCTTTTTTTTAATTCAACAAAAACACTATTTGGCAACAGTTTAGAGATACTAAGAGGAATAGGTTGACAATTCTTAATTCTTCAATTTACCAAAAGTAAACCTTCTTTTCCATTGTCGAAAGAGACAATTGATTTCAATTAGTTCTCTTTCAAAAGATCAGTTGCATTAAAAAAGAAGATCAAACCTGAAACTAACCAACTAAAAAAATACTACCTTGCATTTTGCGGAAGACTTGTGACCACTAATGGCCCCACCAGAAACGACATGGACATGCCAAAAAATGCCGAGGTAGAAGAAATGGCTGTGGAGGTAGTCCGTTGGTGAGGCGGGAACCAGACCGCTGATAATTCAGTTGGTGCTGACATCATAACGGGACCAGCTATGCCAATTAAAACGTGGCCAGCGTTCATTGTCCTTGGATAAAACACAAAACAGGCATTTAATCATCTAAGACGACAATTTACAATGTGACAATGAATATTCCATGGTTTTAATAAGTACTAGTCATGTTGAGATAACCATCTCAGCCAATCCTGGAGAGTGGTGAGACATCTACACTAGTCCAGGCGGTTGTGGGTTCAAGTCCCACCTAAGTAAGCTAATGATTAGTTTCTCGCAGCCCGCGGACAAAACAGAATCTATTTCCACCTCATAAAAAAAAAAAACAATAGAAAAATAATCTATTTTTGCCCTCGTAATTTTTCTTACCACTTCACGTTTTCTACACCGACAGGAATGCACCGTATAGCGACTCCCATTAGGAAGATCAAGGAACTGCATAATACGCAAAACCTGAGACCTGCAGGACACGAAAAGAAACAGATAGCTGATGAATAATTTTGCACTATTTCCGTGAGTTTAAAACATGTTAACACCATTTAATGTCTTTTAAACCAGCATGTTTTTTAATAATCATTTTCGAATAGACTTTTTTTGGTTCATTCAAATTTTGTCTGTTTTAGGAGGGAGGGATGTCAACACCTTATACTGCCCCAAACTACCCCCCCCCCCCCCTTCACCAACACCTCACCTTATGGATGGGACTTATTGGTACTTGCATTGTTCTTCTCAGTCTTATTCCTCTTCTTAAGAATTTCCCTTCTGGGCACCGTTAGACAACAACCGGCAGACACAAATACGGCACCATTGTTCCATTTGTGCAAGTACCCCACAAGGTAGCTCTCATAAAAACAACAAATTTCACAAAACACAACATGAAAACCATGAGATCATTGTGTGACAATTTCTTACCTTTGATGAGAAGTAGATAGGAAAAGAAAAAGCCGGTGATTACGAATGTAATGGGACCCCAGTTGGCCAACAGGGCTATGTCACCATCCGTCCAGTCTAACACACCCTTGGCTAGAAATCAGATGATGAAGAATTAGGTTTAAAATCATGCATTACAATCAATGGAGCTTTTATTATAAGTATGTACACTGAAAATCTGATATTATGTACAAAATATAAATTATAATTCCAGACCTATAGGTAGGTCCTAGAATTAAAAGGAATCAAATTATTTTTACGGGTTAGAGAGGAATTTTGGATTATGCACATGTTTACATCCCGTAACGAAGGATTCTGCGGTTACTGGGTTAGATCAGACATTTTCTGCTAACGCTGTCAGCCAGTGTTGTTGACTCGAGTCGCTGACTCGGACTCGAGTCGGACTCAAGTCGCTACTTTTTTTGACTTGAGACGACTTCACTCTGGAAAAAATGACTTGAGACTTGACTTGACTTGAAAATATATGACTTGTGACTTTTGACTTGACTAGGACAAAAATGACTTGGTTACAACTCTCCTGTCAGCACAAACTGGTGAAATTGTGTGACAAACCTGTGTCTGCGATGGGACCCCATGTGTTCCACGTTGCTGCTTGCAACATACAAAGTAGCGAGAAGACGGCCAGAATGAACCACCTTCTTTTGTACACCACGTGTTCTCCTGCCATGGGCTTTCCCCTCTCATTCTTCAAGCTGTTCGTCACAGGAGATGGGGTCTCCGCACTTAGAATGTCCCCATTGACAGTATCGTATTTGGTCAAGCTTGGGTGTGAATCCTTGGATGCTACACTCGACAACAGGTGTCGGTTTCTGCCATGGTCACTTGATGCGTTCAATTGAAACAAGTGTCGTGACTAGCGGTCTCTTCTGCTTCTGCTGGATAGTATGCAAACACTGCAGATGGTGGTATAACGTATAGGTCAGTGTGGCAGTGGTGATTAAATTTTGTAATGAGCTTTTTTGACCAGCTCATCCATATTTATTTGATGCAGTCTCTCTTTGAATTATTTGATGTCAGGTTGAGCTCTAACGTCTGGTGGGAGGATGTTCCATTCACAAGTTGTCCGGGGGTTTCTCAACCTATGTGGTATTTGTTGGTTATCAGGACATCTGCACCAGATGCAGCAAGGGTGCCTTTAATTAAGACATAGCGACTGCCTCTGCCTGCAGCCTGCCACATCCTTTTTGCAGGACCCTTGAAAGAGCTGGGCTGTTCATAACCTGATTACCACCCACACGCATGGCACATCACTAAGCTGAAAGAATTGGAGAAAGTTTTAAAATGTAAACAATCAATCAGTTAGAACAAAACAAAGATCAATTTAAGGAAAGGAAATTAAGCCACAAGCAAGTCGGGCTTAGTCAGACATGCTAGGCGTGCATGTTGGCACAGTCGTCCTAAGGACCAAAAGATAGAGGGGCCGGTGGACACTGCACTGTACCGGTACTACTATGATGAAATAGTCTATAGGGCCTACACAATCGCCTTGAAAAAGTTGAATGGCCGGATCACGAGATTCGTACAGAATATACAGCACATCATCTAAACATGCTAAACAGCAGTACGTAGGCCTACCGAGTACCGGTGCACAAAACCAGTCCGAGGCCGCCCTGCGATTCCACCGTCCTTCACAAGTAATTGCATGTAATCGTAATAAGATATTGTATTTGCCGAAGCTTTGGTTACAAACACATTTAGCAGTTATTTTAGTTCAATGTGCGGAAAGAGTAACTAAAATTGAATGACGGAAAACTTTGACATATAGCTGCGCCTGTACGTACGTGCTGCGCTGCCTAGCCTGTGGCGCGACCGGCCGGCTTTGCCTTGATCTTTAATAGTTGGACCATCCCATTATTAAATGGGTGAGATTGCTCAATGTCAAGTTGTTGCCAAAAATTTGCAGTGTTGTACAACTCGAGAACTACACAAAAGTTATCGGCCCGACTGCTCGAAAATTATTTGGACTCGGCCCGTACTCGAGTCTTTGTGCTAATTTTGGCACGGACTCGTTGGTTTGGACTCGGTACTGGCTCCAGTATATAATTACTGGGAGTACAAATCGAGTTCATTTTTGTTTAAATCGATTCTGTACTATAGCTCATCCGATCAGGAGCGACAGCGCGTGCATACGCAAATGCCAGTATTTATTCATACGATATATGGTATTATGTAATATTTGTACTTTATGAACTTTTGTATATTAATTTTTCGCGATCCACATTTTTAAACGTAGTAGTTTTTGCGCAAACGTATTTGCTTTTATATCTTCAAGGAAGCCACAGCTTTGAAATATATTAGTTGAACTCTGCAGCAAATATATACTCCTTTTTATTATTCGTATGAAACGAAGTAACGCTTATAGTGCAGCAAACTAATCAGATTTTAGCAAATGGTTTTCATTAAAAGCGTTTATTTAAATTTACTCATACAGAACTGATGCGTACAATATGCTGAAATTTTGGTAGTAAAAGCACTGGCAATGGCCATGTTTTATTCATACCAACTGGTATCATTTGTACTTCACTCATACAGAACTGATGCGTACAATATGCTGAAATTTTGGTAGTAAAAGCAAATGGCCATGTTTTATTCATACCAACTGGTATCATTTGTACTTTATGAACTTTGTTAATATTAATTTTTCGCGATTAACATTAATAAATGCAGTACTTTTTGCGCAGAATTATTTGCTTTATCATTTCAAAGCCTTGCCCCAACCCAGCCTTGAAAAATAACAAGTGCATATTTGAAATCTGAAGCGTTTACTTAATAAATAAAGTGAAATTCTCCAGCACAATACTAAAAAAAATGTACGGCATTATTGCTTTGCAAGGTGTTTAAAAATGTTATAAATTGTTGTTATATTAAACAATGGCTGCGTTAGTCACTGATCTCTATATAAAGACTGGATAGCGGATATGCATACAACATTAACACAGTAGACGCCCCCGGTCTCACGAAGATGGCCGCGTATAATACGAACGTTCTACGCGTAAATACGCGCGCGTTGTATCAACAGTTGACGCGCATTTTGGTCACGTACACATATTATGATGTTCTAAAAGGGACACATTTCCGTAGTGATTATTATTTCAAAAACGCCGAAAAAGTGATTTGCGGCATTATAAAAGTAACCACGACGTTAGAAAAATTGTAGTAAACCTTGGTCAGTTGGTCAGTGGTGGTGGCCAAAATATAAGTCAAGTGAACCGCGACGTTACAAAAGAAATCATGCTGTCTATAAAGACGGCAACTTGTCCTTTGTAGATCACCAGCCGGTCTCACCAATTTGGCGTCAAATTCATTCATTGTGCAGCTCTTTATTAGCTATCCAGTCTTTATATAGAGATCAGTGGCGTTAGTTCGCATGGATAAAATCTTCTTTTTTCTTTTTCTCTTGTTATGACAATAAACAACGATATTATACAAATAACGAATGTTTGTGAGTGCGATGGTAAGAATAATTTCATGAGGTGACAGATTGAATGTTCTATTCCACGAGGCAAAGCCGAGTGGAATAGAACATTCAATCTGTCACCGATGAAATTATTCTTTCCATCGCACGAACGTAAAACATTCGTTATTTGTTTTATACAAACACCTAAATAAATTCTCGTCATTTGATTGGTAAATTATAAACTACAATTTATTTTGATTTTAAAGATGTTGAACTACCCCTTCACGAAAATGTTTAAACCCAACGCTGTAGCGCTGGCTATTTGGATTCTTGGAACAATACGCGCTACGCTAAACGCGCACACCAGCATGCATTTTGCACGCAAATACCGCGTCATGGAACAAGCGCAAAGTGAAACGGTATAACGCATGGGTATAACGCATGGTCGCACCGTGCATTATACCGAATAATAATATGTCACGTGATCTACAATTCACCAATCAGATGACGGGGATTTATTCAGGTGTTGTATAAAGGCTTATGTCAAATTTGTGATATAATAATAAAGTACAATATCACTTTTCTGCCCACCGCATGTTAATTTATGACTATCCTTAAAATAACTGACATTTAAATAAAGCATGGCAGTATGTGAAAGACTTGGTTTCTATTAAATTTTTATAAAATGTTTTAGTGCAACAATCGGTTTGAAGTTTCACCATAATTGCCACATATACGTACTACAAAAGGAAATACAATTAATCATCACTCAAATAATCTTCTAACAAAAACCACCAACATTTTACCCATATTTACAAGAGTTGTGTCAAACCGTCTAGAAAAAAGTTAAGTTTAATTCAACGGCATAAGGCATCAATCATGATTGGAGTGACGAGAAATTGGATAAAAGTCGACTATTTGTTTTGAATTAAAAAAATATACCAATCAAATTTACAGTCATGGTAGAAATGCCAGCATTTCTAATTTCAAGCATTATACACACGAAAAACGAGTATCATCTTTATCAATGTACATTGTTGAAATTTTTTTTTTTTAAGTTTGTATAAATTTAAGAACGAACCACCTTCGATACATAAGCACTGCCTTTAACACCTCTTAATATTATTGGAAATGCAATAGCATTGATGAAGCCTCATTAAAAGTTAACATTGCCTGTAATATTAATATGTAGACCTATGTACATTATGTAATTATTCACTTTACAGGTGACCTGAGTGATACTTGTTGCATGTTAATATTAATAACACTTTCGTTGTGCAAATATCTTGTAAGTTTAAATATCTTTGTTATTTACTCACTATATATTCAGTGCTTTCCATGAGCTGGTGAGATAACAATACAACAAACTTGCAGAGGTGTTCAAGCAAAATTACAATCTATGTCTCTCTAAAGCAAGCATTCCGTCAAAGTCATGTCTTGCACCGTTTTCCTTTTACAACCCTAACGCTTCAAAACATTCTATTAATTACAAGTTAGTTGATTTTAAAACAAAATTAATTTTACTTCGGTGAATAATTATAAAAATAAACAATTAAATGAAATAATGCCCTCAATACTTCTTGGTTGAGAAGTATGTGGGAATACAAGCAAATACGAGTTTCAAAATTAGTACGTCAGTCTTCCACATACCCACTTATTGTGGGGAAAAACTGTACTTTTTAAATGTAATAATGCTGTATTACACTTAGTACTCTACACAGTCCAGGGGGATATAGAACTGTCAAAACTTGGAGCAAGTCACTCCAATTCAAACTTAACCTTAATACTGTCTGAAGATTTGTGTGCAACGTCTCATTGGCAAGTTCATAACTTAGTTAATGAGAGAAAATTATGAATTAAAAACATGATAATTCAAGTGCCAGTTAATTTTGATCGGTGCATTTCATATATTTGAATATTCAATCAAGTCCAAGTTAGAATAATCAAATATGAAATTAGCCCTAGAAGAGGACAATATCATTTGTTATCCTCTCTGGATACTTTCCGTCATATCTTCATCCAGACGATTATAATGCTCTTTATACATCATGAGGAGAGGCAAGCACACAAAGACTGAACCTAGAAGGAGCCAGTTCATCCAAATCACACCTGATGGCGAACGTGGAGGAAAATATCAATGACCAACACAATTTCATACAGCTACTCAGCACAAAAATTTGCTGAGCACTTATTGGACTTGTTGCTAGACTTCAAGGCTGTGATTGGTTGAAACAAAATTGGGCAGGGCATAATGGGCGAGTCTACGGGCTCTGTGCACAAGTACCCCCTCAACGGTAAGAAGGGCAGAGTTGGGGGAGACCACTGGGAGAGACGCCCGAGGCTCATGAGAGATGACATGGCTATATGCATATTCAAAATAAACAAGGGCAGATCCAGGGGGGGGGGGCAATGGGGGTCATAAAGGCAGGCACTGCGTACAGCACCATTTTTTCCTCAAAAAAATTGGGTCAAAGTGGTCAGAAAATTGCCTCAGATCGCACCACAGATCACACCACTAGAATCAAAAAAAAAAATTTTTGGGGGGGGGCCCTTAAGCGGACCCCAAAACCCACGCAGTTATATTCTTGGACCCACTTTTTGAGGACCAACATTTTTTTGGCCCCCCCCCCAAAAAAAATTGTGTTCTGGCTCACCCCCTGAAAATAAAACTAGTCATGCCTCCTTCATGCTGCAGGTGCATGAACCAGAACGGGCACATGATGTCTCCCGTCCACATGGCTCTCAAAAGTGGTAGAAAAAGCGCCCTCTCTTGTTTGCACACTGAGTCCATTGTGACGGTGGTAGCAGCCTCAGTTATTTCAGAATTTTGAACTTACTTAGATTTGGAATCATCGGCGGCAACAGGAATATCACAGAAACCACATTGGTCACGAATGTCATCACCATTGTTATGTTGCCTTCTGAGACAGGATACATGCCCTCGACCGTGATCTCAAAGTATATGGGGAAGGAGGCATTGATGAAAAGTCCAAAGAAGATACATGCAATGTAGACGCTCACTGTAACCAAAGAGAAACACATATCACAGAATCAAATATAGGTGAATGTCCAATAAACAATTCCCAAAAATAAACATTGAAAACACTTGCAATGTTTGTCTGGTATAAGCTTAAAACATTTGTAAAACCTGGGTGACTGTCATATTTCATTTTTTTTTTATTAGGGGTGTTCACATTTTCTTATGAAGCTTTTTAAGATAAATAAAACAACCTGAAAATTTTCGAAACTCTGCACCCCTGTTAGAAATTTGCCCGTATCTGCTTCAATTTCACAATCTTTCAGATAATCTCAACTTGAAGTTGAAGCCCAAACAACACACATAAAAATAAATGTGCGCATTACATTTTTTTCGACACTTTCTCATGTTACTCACCTAAACTATATGAGATATACTTCATTGAGAGTAGGACATACCATACACAGCTAACGAAGGCTGCCATGGTGAGTGAAATCAATACTGCCTTCATCCTACCGCCTAGGATGTCTACAAGTCTGGTGAAGTCACAAAAACAAGGAGAGATAAAATATTTAACAAGAGTGAAGACTGCAATTTGTCAAACGCATTGCCAAATAAGAATTGTCTTACTATTCGATGGCATACTCCTGCCGTCACTCATTTAGGGGTGGTCCTTGGTACGGGGGGGGGGTCATTAAGGCAGGCACTGCGTACACCACCATCTTTTCCTCAAAAAAATTGGGTCAAAGTGGTCAGAAAATTGCCTCAGATCGCACCACAGATCACACCACTAGAATCAAAAAAAAAATTTGGCGGTCCCTTAAGCGGTCCCCAAAACCCACAGAGTTATATTCTTGGACCCACTTTTTGGGGACCAACATTTTTTTGCCCCCCCCCCCAAATAATTTGGAAGTGATCCAGATCAGCATCTGAATGCATGATTTTTTCAATGGAAAACTTTCACCCTGTGTGACCAGCTACGTGAGCGTGGCACTGACCTGGTGATCCTGTATGCCTTATCACTCACCTAATATAACCACACAGGTCAATGGACTGGTACATTTTATAAAATGGGGAGTGGAAAGGTAGACCAACCCAGGCACATACATGTAAACTACAAAATGTCTGAGCTTAAGATCCAGACTGTTTCACCTTACTGGAGAGTTTAAGGGGACTAAGCCCCCCCCCCCCCCCAGCGCCCTCCTGATCCTCCATTGGGACCAAAGCTCAACGAGGAGCAATTTTTTCTACTGAAGTGAAACTTTTGTGACACTGTTGCACCACTCACCTTGCAACTATCAAGCCTCCCAGCATCCCGGCAATATTGGAGATGAATCCAATCCAACCAACAGTGTCCTGAAAAAAATGACCCAAATATTAGAAATTCATCTGCTAACATGGCTAAATCACACAACACAGCTAAGCACAACTCAACAGAGACTAGCATAGCATATTGGACAGTGCCGCACTTGTACTAAACAAAACTTTCAGCAATTATAAATAATTTTGAATATTGTGATTGTTACCTGTCCTATATTCAGAGTAGTCTTGAAAATTGTGTCCATTTGCGTGGTCCAGCCACCGTAAACTCCAGATGATATGCTGTAGGCTGCCGCAGGAATCCAAAAATGGGTGCTCCTTCAACCAAATATTCAACAAAAATGGGACTCTTTTAATCTTTAGCTGTTTCAGAGTTAAGGATTATGATTAATACGTGTTGACACTTGATTGAATTAAAGCATGTTTCTTAAAAAATTGAAAATTAAGTTTTCTTCTTCCAATTTTTGGACAGTTGTCTAAAGACTAACTTGATCATCTTCAGGGCTCCATCTTTGAAGCTTTCCCGAGGTTTGGTGGCAGATAAGCTGGGTGAGGTTGGTGGCTTCTCAGGGAAGTACAATAGAGCCGCGATGACCACGACGGCCACAGCTCCACATTCTGAAACATCAAATGAAAACAAATAATACAAATGTGTGTAATATCTATTGTTTATATTAGGTTTCACCCTTCCCCAATGTAATTTAATAGGCACTCGCAGCAATTTATATACACTAAACGCTGTCTGGCAACTAGTCAGAAAATAAAAGCCTCAAGCTTGTTCAGGTGGGACTTGAGCCAACAACATTTTGGTTAAAAGCGCAATCATGTTTAATCACTCGACCACCTTGGTTGGTTAGGTTGCCCGGCTGGTTTAAATCCGGAACAGCAGTGGGTTCAACAGTCAAAAGACTTTTCAGGGAAGTCTTTTATGGTTTTTTTTTTTCAACTTCAATAAAATTAAAAACAAATCCCGAAGCCTCCCTTTTTGGAATCAAATCTGACAACGAATATTTAAAAGACTAAATTGTTGGAGACTGCTTATTGACTAGAGTGACGTGGAATACAGTTAGACCTTTGTTACAGGCAACATTCTGTTTGCCTTAACTGAAGTTTTACTACGACCAAAACATTAAGCCCTGTAACTTTTTGGAAAGACAATAGTTTGTACATACCTATATACATTAACTTCATTATCTCATTGAAGTACAGTGCTTTCTCCTTTGGGTCTATGGATTCTGCATGTGAACTGAAACCAAATATTCACTGTTACAATGCAATATTTTTTTTTTTCTTTTGTTAATTCAAGAAAAACATTATTTGGTAACAGCTTAGCGATATTTTTAAGAACAACATTTTGACAATTCATAATTCTTCAATTTACCAAAAGTAAACCTTCTTTTCCATTGTCGCAAAGAGACAATTGATTTCAATTAGTTCTCTTCCCAAAGATCAGTTGCTCTAAAACAAGAACAAACGTGAAACTAACCAAATAGGTAAGGTTACTACCTTGCATTTTGCGGAAGACTTGTGACCACTAATGGCCCCACCAGAAACGACATGGACATGCCAAAAAATGCTGAGGTCATAGAAATGGCCGTGGACGTAGTCCGTTGGTGAGGCGGGAACCAGACCGCTGATAATTCAGTTGGTGCTGACATCATAACGGGACCAGCTATGCCAATTAAAACGTGGCCAGCGTTCATTGTCCTTGGATAAAACACAAAACAGACATTTAATCATCGAAGACGACAATTTACAATGTGACAATGAATATTCCATGGTTTGAATATGGTACTACAACGTAGTCATGTTGAGACATCTGCACTAGTCCAGGAGGTCCTGGGTTCAAGTCCCACCTAAGTAAGCTAATAAGACAAAATAGAAAATTAATCAATCTGTGCCTTCGTAATTTTTCTTACCACTTCACGTTTTCTACACCGACAGGAATGCACCGTATAGCGACTCCCAATAGGAAGATCAAGGAACTGCATAATACGAAAAACCTGAAACCTGCAGGACACGAAAAGAAACAGATAGCTGATGAATTATTTTGCACTATTTCCGTGAGTTTAAAACATGTTAACACTATTTAATGTCTTTAAAGCATGTGTTCTAAAAATTATTTTCAAAGGGAAGTGCGTTTTTTTTTCCATTCAAATTTTGTCTGTTTTAAGAGGGAGGGATGTTAACACCTTATACTGCCCCAAACTACCCCCCCCCCTCCCCTGCACCTACACCCAACCTTATAGATGAGGCTTATGGGTCTTGCATTGTTCTACTCTTATTCTTCTTCTTTAGAATTTCCCTTCTGGGCACCGTTAGACAACAACCGGCAGACACAAATACGGCACCATTGTTCCATTTGTGCAAGTACCCCACAAGGTAGCTCTCAAAAAAAAACAAATTTCACAAAACACAACATGAAAACCATGAGATCATTGTGTGACAATTTCTTACCTTTGATGAGAAGTAGATAGGAAAAGAAAAAGCTGGTGATTACGAATGTAATGGGACCCCAGTTGGCCAACAGGGCTATGTCACCATCCGTCCAGTCCAACACAACCTTGGCTAGAAATCAGATGATGAAGAATTAGGTTTAAAATCATGCATTACAATCAATGGAGCTTATATTATAAGTATGTACATTGAAAATCTGATATTATGTACAAAATATAAATTATAATTCCAGATCTATAGGTAGGTCCTAGAATTAAAAGGAATCAAATTATTTTTACGGGTCAGAGAGGAATTTTGGATTATGCACATGTTTACATCCCGTAACGAAGGATTCTGCGGTTACTGGGTTAGATCAGACATTTTCTGCCAACGCTGTCAGCCAGTGTTGTTAACTCGAGTCGCTGACTCGGACTCGAGTCGGACTCAAGTCGCTACTTTTTTGACTTGAGACTTGACTTTACTTGGGAAAAAATGACTTGAGACTTGACTTGAAAATATATGGCTTGTGACTTGACTGGACTAGGACAAAAATGACTTGGTTACAACTCTCCTGTCAGCACAAACTGGTGAAATTGTGTGACAAACCTGTGTCTGCGATGGGACCCCATGCGTTCGACGCTGCTGCTTGCAACATACAAAGTAGCGAGAAGACGGCCAGAATGAACCACCTTGCTTTGTACACCACGTGTTCTCCTGTCATGGGCTTTCCCCTCTCATTCTTCAAGCTGTTCGTCAGAGGAGATGGGGTCTCCGCACTAAGGATGTCACGGTCCCCATTGACAGTATCGTATTTGGTCAAGCTTGGGTGTGAATGCTTGGGTGCTACGTACGACAACAGGGCGTCGGTTTCTGCCATGGTTACTTGATGTGTTCAATTCAAACTAGTGTCGTGACTAGCGGTCTCTCAACCTGTGTGGGATTTGTTGGTTATCAGGACATCTGCACCAGATGCAGCAAGGGTGACTTTAATTAAGACATAGCGACTGCCTCTGCCTGCAGCCTGCCACATCCTTTTTGCAGGACCCTTGAAAGAGGTGGGCAGTTCATAACCTGATTACCACCCACACGCATGGCACGTCACTTAGCTGAAAGAATCGGAGAAAGTTTTAAAATGTAAACAACCGGTTACTGGAACAAAACAAAGATCAATTTAAGGAAAGGAAATTAAGCCGCAATAGCAAGTCAGGCTTAGTCAGGGTTTCGATCCAACTCGGACCCAAACCAAGTCGGACCCGAGCCAACTCGGACCCATACGAACTCGGACCCACTACCAACTCGGACCCACCACCAACTCGGACCCACAACCAACTCGGACCCACTACCAACTCGGACCCATGTATGACCAACTCGGACCCATCGTTTACAATCATTCGACAGCGTTTTCAATCATTCGACAATTTCATACAGTTTGTCCACTTATCATCTGTTAATACAGTGATGCTGTTACTGGTAAGTATAAATTTTCATTGTAGTTGTCAGGTAAAATATCTGTATTGCACTTGCAGCAGTTTGTTGTTGTAAGCGCATTGAAATGCTATTTTGAAATGCGCTTTTAAAAGTGTAATTAATTATTTATTTTTATCATTTGTTTCCATTGAAACATATTGCACTTTAACCAAAAGTAATTAAAATTAAAGTTTAACCAATTATTCATTTTCATATTTGACATCGTTCATGCCATCTTGCTCAATTTAACAGCAATTTATTTCCTTTTTAATTAACACCACATAAATTCAGAACAGATCTTCATAGAAAAATAAAATTGAAAAGTATGACATTGAAACATAAACACTTTCAAACATGACATTATTAATTCAATAAATATAAGTAAACATTATATAAGTCATTAAATAAAATAATTAAGGTATAAAAACGAAGACTACTCTAAACTCTACATGTACATGTATTTAAAAAAAAAAACACATAAACACCATTGCATACACTGCAAGAAAAACGAAGGTTCCATATTGAACAAAAAAGTTAATCAAAAAAGTATAAAAAGTTAAACAGATTCGTAAAAAAAAAAAAAATTAAAAAAACTAACAATTACATGAAATGAAAGGCCTATTTCAAATTAATAACTTTAACTAATGATTAAGTCATTGTTGGGTCCGAGTTGGGGTCCGAGTTGGTCGTGGGTCCGAGTTGGTCGTTGGTCCGAGTTGGTCGTGGGTCCGAGTTGATGAAATACTGTATACTTGTACCATGGAGAAATAAAACATGCTTGTACACAATCGCCTTGAAAAAAGTTGAATGGCCGGATTATCACGAGATTCGTACACTGCACATCATCTAAACATGCCAAACAGCAGTACGTAAGCCTACCGTGTGTACAAAACCAGTCCGAGGCCGCCCTGCGATTCCACCGTCCTTCACAAGTAATTGCATGTAATTGTAATAATAAGATATTGTATTTGCCGAAGCTTTGGTAACAAAACACATTTAGCAGTTTATTTTAGTTCACCGTGCTAGTTGGACCATCCCATTATTAAATGGGTGAGATTGCTCAATGTCAAGTGGTTGCCAAAAATTAGCAGTGTTGTACAACTCGAGTATAGTAGTATAGTACTACACGCAAGCACTCGATTAGCCTTTAGTCAAGTCCCACGCGCCTATACCCGGACCATCCGGACACGTAACGCACCCCGGATGCTGGCAGGTAAAAAAGACTAGCACGAGCTAGCTTTTTTTCCTGGAAATGCAAAAGTTATTTACTTTTAAATGAGACATCAAACGAAAATATGTCAAGTTGACGTGTAGTGTTATGGAATAATTACTTTACAAATTTCGATTTTTTGCGATTGACAATAATTCATCCGGATTTTTTTTTGTGTACGTTAAGAAGAGCGCTACCCAAAGTCAAAAAGAAAAACAAATCGGAGGGTTGCAGTCGTCGAAAAATAGAAAATGTTGGTTTTATTTTAATTGAAAACATGAATTCTATTATAAAAAAAACAAAATCGAAGTTGTTAAAGAGAGTAACTATAATGTGTTTACAATTACTAAATCTTCCAAGAACCGTGTTGTGCAACCTAAATTTTAATTGATATCAATATGTTTTCAAGATTTGTGAAAATATATTTACGCAGACATTGAATACATCATTTTCCCCCAGAATTTAGTACGTTCAAACTATGTGTTGATTGCAAACAATGCAAACTTTAATTAGTATTTAATTAGTACCGTTGTGGTTAATCGTAAGATTCTTAATCTTAAGACAGTGCGTTGAAAATGCAGCTACTGTTGAAGTTGTTATTCGAGATTTATCGATTTAATTCCCAAGCACAAATTAAGAAAAATGTGTATCAAGGCACTGTAAGGTGTTTTAAAAATGTTATAAATATTAAATTATTACTACGATTCAAAAATGGCTGTTAGTCCACACACTTGAATGGAATCTTGATATTTCCCTTTTTTTTCTCTGGCAATTACAAAAAAACACCGATAGGTTTATGTCAAGTTATTGACACAATAATAAAGTACAATCACTTTTCTACGAAAGCCCATTAGCGCCACTGCAAGTATATATGTTACAGATTATGTAATTCGTTATTACGGATTATTAATTCGTTATTACGGATTATTAATTCGTTATAACGGATTATTTAATTCTTTATTACGGATTATTAATTCGTTATTACGGATGATTAATTCGTTATTACGGATTATTAATTCGTTATTACGGATTACTAATTGGTTATTACGGATTATTAATTCGTTATAACCGATTATTTAATTCGTTATTACGGATTATTAATTCGTTATTACGGATTATTAATTCGTTATTACGGATTACTAATTTGTTATTACGGATTATTAATTCGTTATTACGGATTACTTATTCGTTATTACGGATTACTAATTCGTTATTACGGATTATTTAATTCGTTATTACGGATTATTAATTCGTTATTACGAATTAGGTCTGATGTTCTCACACTTGGAGAGCACGTGACCAGGGGCCTGTGTATATAGCGCCGCTAGGCGGCGCTATCTTTGCATACAACGTTTGCACCCTGTGCCATACTTGCCGAGTAATGACTCGGAACGTATGAGTAATTCGTAATAACGAATTAATAATCCGTAATAACGAATTAATAATCCGTAATAACGAATTAAATAATCCGTAATAACGAATTAGTAATCCATAATAACGAATTAATAATCCGTAATAACGAATTAAATAATCCGTTATAACGAATTAGTAATCCGTAATAACGAATTAAATAATCCGTTATAACGAATTAGTAATCCGTAATAACGAATTAAATAATCCGTAATAACGAATTAATAATCCGTTATAACGAATTAATAATCCATAACGAATTAATAATCCGTAATAACGAATTAATAATCCGTAATAACGAATTAAATAATCCGTTATAACGAATTAGTAATCCGTAATAACGAATTAAATAATCCGTAATAACGAATTAATAATCCGTTATAACGAATTAATAATCCGTAATAACGAATTAATAATCCGTAATAACGAATTAATAATCGGTAATAACGAATTAAATAATCCGTTATAACGAATTAATAATCCGTAATAACGAATTAATAATCCGTAATAACGAATTAATAATCCGTAATAACGAATTAATAATCCGTAATAACGAATTAAATAATCCGTTATAACGAATTAGTAATCCGTAATAACGAATTAATAATCCATAATAACGAATTAAATATTCCGCAACATATATACTTGCAGTGGCGCTAATGGGCTTTCGTACTTTTCTGCCCACCATATGATTTCATGTTAATTTATGACTATCCTTAAAATAACTGACATTTAAATAAAGCATGGCAGTATGTGAAAGACTTGGTTTCTATTGATATTTTTATAACAAATGTTTTTAGTGCAACAATCGGTTTGAAGTTTCACCATAATTGCAACATATACGTACTACAAAAGGAAATACAATTAATCATCACTCAAATAATCTTCTAACAAAAACAACCAACATTTTACCCGTATTTACAAGACTTGCGTCAAACCGTCTAGAAAAAAAGTTTAGTTTAAATTCAATGGCATAAGGCAGCAATCATGATTGGAGTGACAAGAAATTGGATAAAAGTCGACGATTTGTTTTAAATTTAAAAAAATACCAATTAAATTTACAGTCATGGTAGAAATGCCAGCATTTATAATTTCAAGCATTATATACATGAAAAACGAGTATCATCTTTATCAATGTACATTGCTGGAAAAAAAATTATAAAAAGTTTGTATAAATGTGTAAAATTTAAGAATGAACCACCTTCGATACATAAGCACTGCCTTTAACACCTCTTAATATTATTGGAAATGCAATAGCATTGATGAAGCCTCATTAAAAGTTAATATTCCCTGCAATATTAATATGTAGACCTATGTACATTATGTAATTATTATATTCACTTTACAGGTGACCTGAGTGATACATGTTACATGTTAATATTAATAACACTTTCGTTGTGCAAATATCTTGTAAGTTTAAATATCTTTGTTATTTACTCATTATATATTCAGTGGTTTCCATGAGCAGGTGAGATAACAATACAACAAACTTGCACAGGTGTTCAAGCAATGTCTCTCTGAGGCAAGCATTCCATCAAAAGTCATGTCTTGCACCGTTTTTCTATTACAACCCTAACGCTTCAAAACATTCTATTAATTACAAGTTAGTTGATTTTAAAACAAAATTAATTTTACTTCGGTGAATAATTATCAAAATAAACAATTAAATGAAATAATGCCCTAAATACTTCTTGGTTTAGAAGATGTGGGAATACAAGCAAATTATGAGTTTCAAAATTAGTACGGCAGTCTTCCACATACCCACTTACTGTGGGGAGAAAACTGTACTTTTTAAATGTAATAATGCTGTATTACACTTAGTACTCTACACAGTCCAGGGGGATATAGAAGAAATACTGTCAAAACTTGGGAGCAGGTCACTCCAATTCAAACTTAACCTTAATACTGTCAGAAGATTTGTGTGCAACGTCTCATTGGCAAGTTCATAACTTAGTTAATGAGAGAAAATTATGAATTAAAAACATGATAATTCAAGTGCCAGTTAATTTTGATCGGTGCATTTCATATATTTGAATATTCAATCAAGTCCAAGTTAGAATACTCAAATATGAAATTAGCCCTAGAAGAGGACAATATCATTTGTTATCCTCTCTGGATACTTCCGTCATATCTTCATCCAGACGATTATAATGCTCTTTAAACATCATGAGGAGAGGCAAGCACACAAAGACTGAACCTAGAAGGAACCAGTTCATCCAAATCACACCTGATGGCGAACAAAGAGGAAAATATCAATGACCAACACAATTTCATACAGCTACTCAGCACAAAAATTTGCTGAGGACTTATTGGACTTGTTGCTAGACTTCAAGGCTGTGATTGGTTGAAACAAAATTGGGCAGGGCATAATGGGCGAGTCTATGGGCTCTGTGCACAAGTACCCCCTCAACGGTAAGAAGGGCAGAGTTGGGGGAGACCACTGGGAGAGACATTCCAATACATTTCCGACGCCTGACGCTCATGCGAGATGACATTGCTATATGCATATTCAAAATAAACAAGGGCAGATCCAGGGTCAAAATTGGGTCAAAGTGGTCAGAAAATTGCCTCAGATCGCACCACAGATCACACCACTAGAATCCAAAAAAAATTTGGGGGGCCCTTAAGCGGACCCCAAAACCCACGCAGTTATATTCTTGGACCCACTTTTTGGGGACCAACATTTTTTTGGCCCCCCCCCCCCAAAAAAATTGTGTTCTGGATCGCCCCCTGAAAATAAAACTAGTCATGCCTCCTTCATGCTGCAGGTGCATGAACCAGAACGGGCACATGATGTCTCCCGTCCACATGGCTCTCAAAAGTGGTAGAAAAAGCGCCCTCTCTTGTTTGCGCACTGAGTCCATTGTGACGGTGGTAGCAGCCTCAGTTATTTCAGAATTTTGAACTTACTTAGATTTGGAATCATCGGCAGCAACAGGAATATCACAGAAACCACATTGGTCAGGAATGCCATCACCATTGTTATGTTGCCTTCCGAGACAGGATACATGCCCTCGACCGTGATCTCAAAGTATATGGGGAAGGAGGCGTTGATGAAAAGTCCAATGAAGATACATGCAATATAGACGCTCACTGCAACCAAAGAGAAACAAATCACAGAATCAAATATAGGTGAATGTCCAATAAACAATTCCCAAAAATAAACATTGAAAACACTTGCAATGTATGTCTGGTATAAGCTTAAAACATTTGTAAAACCTGGGTGACTGTCATTTTTCAGTTTTTTTTTCATTAGGGGTGTTCACATTTTCTTATGAAGCTTTTTAAGATAAATAAAACAACCTGAAAATTTCGAAACTCTGTACCTCTGTTAGAAATTTGCCCGTATCTGCTTCAATTTCACAATCTTTCAGATAATCTCAACTTGAAGTTGAAGCCCACACGACTCACATAAAAAATAAATGTGCGCATTACATTTTTTTCGACACTATCTCACGTTACTCACCTAAACTGTATGAGATATACTTCATTGAGAGTAGGACACACCATACACAGCTAACGAAGGCTGCCAGGGTGAGTGAAATCAATACTGCCTTCATCCTACCGCCTAGGATGTCTACAAGTCTGGTGAAGTCACACAAAGAAGGAGAGATAAAATGGTTAACAAGAGTGAAGACTGGAATTTGTCAAACGCATTGCCAAATAAGAATTGTCTTACTATTCGATGGCATACTCCTGCCGTCACTCATTTAGGGGTGGTCCTTGGTACAAGTACGAATCATTTCATTTGGAAGTGATCCAGATCAGCATCTGAATGCATGATTTTTTCAAGGATTTTTCACCCACCATATGGAAAACTTTCACCCTGTGTGACCAGCTACGTGAGCGTGGCACTGACCTGGTGATCCTGTATGCCTTATCACCCACCTAATCTAACCACACAGGTCAATGGACTGGTACATTTTATAAAATGGGGAGTGGAAAGGTAGACCAACCCAGGCATATACCTGTAAACTACAAAAATTCTGAGCTTAAGATCCAGACTTTTTAACCTTACTGGAGAGTTTAAGGGGACTAAGCCCGCCCCCCCCCCCCCCCCCCCCCCCAGCGCCCTCCTTGATCCTCAATTGGGACCAAAGCTTAAACGAGGAGCAATTTTTTCTACTGAAGTGAAACTTTTGTGACACTGTTGCACCACTCACCTTGCAACTATCAAGCCTCCCAGCATCCCGGCAATATTGGAGATGAATCCAATCCAACCAACAGTGTCCTGAAAAAAAAACCACCCAAATATTAGAAATTCATCCACTAACATGGCTAAATCACACAACACAGCTAAGCACAACTCAACAGAGACATAGCATAGCATAGCATATTGGACAGTGCCGCACTTGTACTAAACAAAACTTTCAGCGATTATCAATAATTTTAAATACTGTGATTGTTACCTGTCCTATATTCAGAGTATTCTTGAAAATTGTGTCCATTTGCGTGGTCCAGCCAACATAAACTCCAGATGATATGCTGTAGGCTGCCGCAGGAATCCAAAAATTGGTGCTCCTTTAATCAAATATTCAACAAAAATGGGACTCTTTTAATCTTTAGCTGTTTCAGAGTTAAGGATTATGATTAATACGTGTTGACACTTGATTGAATTAAAGCATGTTTCTTAAAAAATTGAAAATGAAGTTTTCTAAAGACTAACTTGATCATCTTCAGGGCTCCATCTTTGAAGCTTTCCCGAGGTTTGGTGGCAGATAAGCTGGGTGAGGTTGGTGGCTTCTCAGGGAAGTACAATAGAGCCGCGATGACCACGACGGCCACAGCTCCACATTCTGAAACATCAAATGAAAACAAATAATACAAATGTGTGTAATATCTATTGTTTATATTAGGTTTCACCCTTCCCCAATGTAATTTAATAGGCACTCGCAGCAATTTATATACACTAAACGCTGTCTGGCAACTGGTCAGAAAATAAAAGCCTCCAGCTTGCTCAGGTGGGACTTGAGCCAACAACATTTTGGTTAAAAGCACAATCATGCTTAATCACTCGACCACCTTGGTTGGTTTGGTTTCCCGGCTGGTTTAAATCCAGAACAGCAGTGGGTTCAACAGTCAAATGATTTTTCAGAGAAGTTTTTCATGGATTTTTTTTATCAACTTCAATAAAATTAAAAACAAATCCCGAAGCCTTCCTTTTTTGAATCAAATCTGACAACGAATATTTAAAAGACTAAATTGCTGCAGACTGCTTACTTACTGGAATACAGTTAGACCTTTGTTACAGGCAACATTCTGTTTGCCTTAACTGAAGTTTTACTACGACCAAAACATTAAGCCCTGTAACTTTTTTGAAAGACAACAGTTTGTACATACCTATATACATTAACTTCATTATCTCATTGAAGTACAGTGCTTTCTCCTTTGGGTCTATGGATTCTGCATGTGAACTGAAACCAAATATTCACTTTTACAATGCAGTGTGACAGTGCCTTTTTTTGGGTCTTTTTTTAATTCAACAAAAACATTATTTGGTAACAGCTTAGCGATATTAAGAGGAACATTTTGACAAGGGACAATTCATAATTCTTCAATTTATCAAAAGTAAACCCTCTTTCCCATTGTCGAAAGAGACAATTGATTTCAGTTAGTTCTCTTTCCAAAGATCAGTTGCTCTAAAAAAAGATTAAACGTGAAACTAACCAAATAGGTAAGGTTACTACCTTGCATTTTGCGGAAGACTTGTGACCACTAATGGCCCCACCAGAAACGACATGGACATGCCAAAAAATGCTGAGGTCAAAGAAATGGCCGTGGACGTAGTCCGTTGGTGAGGCGGGAACCAGACCGCTGATAATTCAGTTGGTGCTGACATCATAACAGGACTAGCTATGCCAATTAAAACGTGGCCAGCGTTCATTGTCCTTGGATAAAACACAAAACAGACATTTAATCATCGAAGACGACAATTTACAATGTGACAATGAATATTCCATGGTTTGAATACGGTACTACATGTACAAGGTAGTCATGTTGAGACATCTAACACTAGTCCAGGCGGTTGTGGGTTCAAGTCCCACCTAAGTAAGCTAATGATTAGTTTCTCGCAGCCCGCGGACGAAACAGAATCTATTTCCATCTCATAAAAAAAATAGAAAATTAATCAATCTGTGCCCTCGTAATTTTTCTTACCACTTCACGTTTTCTACACCGACAGGAATGCACCGTATAGCGACTCCCAATAGGAAGATCAAGGAACTGCATAATACGAAAAACCTGAGACCTGCAGGACACGAAAAGAAACAGATAGCTGATGAATTATTTTGCACTATTTCCGTGAGTTTAAAACATGTTAACACTATATAATGTCTTTAAAGCATGTGTTCTAAAAATTATTTTCATAGGGAAGTGCGTTTTTTTTTCCATTCAAATTTTGTCTGTTTTAGGAGGGAGGGATGTTAACACCTTATACTGCCCCAAACTACCCCCCCCCCCCCTCCCCTGCACCTACACCCAACCTTATGGATGAGGCTTATGGGTCTTGCATTGTTCTACTTTTATTCTTCTTCTTTAGAATTTCCCTTCTGGGCACCGTTAGACAACAACCGGCAGACACAAATACGGCACCATTGTTCCATTTGTGCAAGTACCCCACAAGGTAGCTCTCATAAAAACAACAAATTTCACAAAACACAACATGAAAACCATGAGATCATTGTGTGACAATTTCTTACCTTTGATGAGAAGTAGATAGGAAAAGAAAAAGCAGGTGATTACGAATGTAATGGGACCCCAGTTGGCCAACAGGGCTATGTCACCATCCGTCCAGTCCAACACACCCTTGGCTAGAAATCAGATGATGAAGAATTAGGTTTAAAATCATGGTTTACTATCAATGGAGCTTAGGCCCAAAAAAAAAATAAGTTGGTCTCTGGTCAGCGCGCACGTCGATTTTAACCATGCGCATCGATCTTTTTTTTTTCCAAAATGTTCCGCGCCGCGGTAGCTCCAAACGGCGCCCACTATTTCCGCACCTCCTCAATTTTTTTTACCAAAGAGCACCAAGGAATGGGAAATTGCACCAAGGCAAATGATCGAAAGCACCAAGGCAAATTATGGAGGACACCAATGTACATGAGGACACCAAAAAAGCAAAATAGTACCCACCTTGTCTGTACAATCCAAGCTTGAAGAAAAAAAAAAAAGCCGTGTGGCCGCGTCAATTGCAGACATTTGGTCTGACCAGAGACCGAATATTTTTTTTTTTGGGCCTTATAAGTAAATCGAAAATCTGATATTATGTACACAATATAATTCCAGATCTATAGGTAGGTCCTAGAATTAAAAGGAATCAAATTATTTTTACAGGTTAGAGAGGAATTTTGGATTATACACATGTTTACATCCCGTAACGAAGGATTCTGCGGTTACTGGGTAAGATCAGACATTTTCTGCTAACGCTTTCAGCCAGTGTTGTTAACTCGAGTCACTGACTCGGACTCGAGTCGGACTCAAGTCGCTACTTTTTTTGACTTGAGACAACTTCACTCTTGAAAAAATGACTTGAGACTTGACTTGACTTGAAAATATGTGACTTGTGACTTGACTTGACTAGGACAAAAATGACTTGGTTACAACTCTCCTGTCAGCACAAACTGGTGAAATTGTGTGACAAACCTGTGTCGGAGATGGGACCCCATGTGTTCCACGTTGCTGCTTGCAACATACAAAGTAGCGAGAAGACGGCCAGAATGAACCACCTTCTTTTGTACACCACGTGTTCTTCTGCCATGGGCTTTCCCCTCTCATTCTTCAAGCTGTTCGTCAGAGGAGATGGGGTCTCCGCACTAAGGATGTCACGGTCCCCATTGACAGTATTGAATTTGGTCAACAACAGGGCGTCGGTTTCTGCCATGGTTACTTGATGTGTTCAATTCAAACTAGTGTCGTGACTAGCGGTCTCTCAACCTGCGTGGGATTTGTTGGTATCTGCACCAGATGCAGCAAGGGTGACTTTAATTAAGACATAGCGACTGCCTCTGCCTGCAGCCTGCCACATCCTTTTTGCAGGACCCTTGAAAGATGTGGGCAGTTCATAACCTGATTACCACCCACACACGCATGGCACGTCACTGAGCTGAAGGAATTGGAGAAAGTTTTAAAATGTAAACAACCGGTTAGAACAAAACAAAGATCAATTTAAGGAAAGGAAATTAAGCCGCAATAGCAAGTCAGGCTTAGTCAGACATGCTAGGCGTGCATGTTGGCACAGTCGTCCTAAGGACCAAAAGATAGAGGGGGCCGGTGGACACTGCACTGTACTACTATGATGAAATAACTATACATGTAGCCTTGCGCCTAGGCCTACACAATCGCCTTAAAAAAAGTTGAATGGCCGGATCACGAGATTCGTACAGAATATAGCACATCATCTAAACATGCTAAACAGCAGCAGTACGTAGGCCTAGTCAGCTAGTGTGTACAAAACCAGTCCGAGGCCGCCCTGCGATTCCACCGTCCTTCACAAGTAATTGCATGTAGGTGTAACGAGCCGAAGCTTTGGTTACAAAACACATTTAGCAGTTATTTTAGTTCAATGTGCAGAAAGAGTATAACTATTTGAATGACGGAAAACTTTGACACTTCGTCGGTACACGTACACTCACACAGCCGCGCCTGTATACGTGCTGCCTGCACTTGTACTTGTTTGGATTATAACACCTCACCCACAGATTCTGTGTCTTGATTGGCCGAGAGCGAGTCACGTGTTACTTTCTAATTTTGCTATCTTTCTGTGCACGGCCAAAAGTACTATGCGCATAGCAACCAAAGTACTATACCATTAGCAACCAAAGTACTATTTCCATGGCGCGGTATTTGTGTGCAAATGCATGCTGGTGTGCGCGTTGCGCGTAGTGCGTAGCGCGCATTATTCCAAAGAGAGCGCGCCGCAGACTTACGGTTCAAACATTTCGTGAAGGGGTGGTTTTTAAGAGAGAAATACATTTTCCACCAATTTTGTATTGAAATTGAAGTTAATTTCAACTGTGTTCAGATTTAAATAATTTAAAATATTAAAATCAAGCAGAATCTGTGGGTGAAGTGTTAAAAAAACAAATATTGAATCAGGCGCGGTTCTACGGGGGGGCTAGGGGGAGCTGTAGCCCCCAAAAAATTTTGTCTAGCCCCCCCAAAATAAATTCCGTAAAAAAACAAATTGCATTAGCAAAAAGAAGGATTGTGATGTACATGTGAACGGTCTCCCCCTAAAGAAGAAATAGCCGTGACAAGGGTGCATTAGTTAATACTAGTGCAGGGCCAGTCGAAAATGTGCGTGTTCGGAAGGGGCAGTTGAGAACTGCAGCTCGTGCAAACAACGCACATTATTCAATGGTGTGAAAGCACACTCGCAAGTTAAACTCACAAAATGTCGTCACCCCCCCCCCCCGGCACATACAGTGCAGTGATGGTTGCTCATTTGAGTACAAAATGCATGTGCCCGTGCATGCTACTCACGTATATGTACGTACGAAGACATAGTGTGCAGTGCTTATCTCCCTACAATGTGCCCGTCATTTTTGCAGGGCCCGTCAAAAAAATGCACCTGTTCGTTAGGGGCAATTTCAAAATGCTCATATCATGCAAACAACGCACACGATTCAATTGTGTTGTTTTCACATGTTAAACTCACACTCATAGGTTGAGCGCACTTTGTACATGTCGCCAGGCCATCCCCGGCACTGATATTCACCAATACGCCCGTGCAGCTACTCACCTACGTGAGTAAGGTTGCTCAATCCACCGCCTACAATAGTGGTTCAATCGACTGCAAAATGCATGTGCCCGTGCAGTCATCACGTACGGAAACATATGGTACGCAGTGCTATTCACCCATACTGGACAATGGTATCGCCCTACAATGCACGTGCGCGTGCTCGTCCTTTTTGCATTGTTTGCGTCATATTGAGCACGCGCGCTTTAGCTTTAACATGACGTAAACAATTGAAAAGAACAGTAGTGCGTGGAGTTCTAGGCTATACTCTGCCACGTTGAGTCTCAAAAAATGCTGCTTTTTTGCAGCTTTTTCGACAACCGCTCTTCCAAACCCCTTCAAATTTGGCACTGCACATTCTGGTGTCCCGAGCAATACACCCGCCGATTTTCAACTTCATACGGTGCCCAGTTCTGGAGATAATCGGCGGACAGACAGACAGACAGACAGACGGACAGACAGACAGAGATTCCTTGAATTGTAGTATAGATAGTGCAAGGGCGGATCCAGGAGGGGGAGGGGAGGCCAAAGGGGGCCATCGCCCCCCCCCCCAAAAAAAAACCGAAACCAATTTTTGTTTGTTTTATGTGACATCGCAATAAAGGCAGGCAATGAGTGCACCACCATCTTTTCCTCAAAAACAATTGGTTAAAGTGGTCAGAAATTGCCTCAGATCGCACCACAGAGCATCTAGAATCCAAAAATTGTTCGGGGCCCCGAACCCCACGCCGTAATTTTTTGGACCCACTTTTTTGGGGGACCAAATTTTTTTTGGGCCCCCCCCCCACAAAAAATTGTGTTCTGGATCCGCCCTTGCTATAGTGTGAATGATTTTAGGATTTTATTGGCGTTCCCCGTTGAAAATATGGCATGAGCCCCCCCCCCCCCCCCCCCCCCCCCCCCCCCCCCCCCCACCACCACCTATTGATCTTCGGAGGCCTAAGTGTCTGGAAAAAATAACCGGTCAACATTTCAGCACGCCTCCCTGAAAAAAATTTCTGGATCGACCGTGCTAGCCCCCCAAAAATATTGGTTCTAGAACCGCGCCTGTATTGAATGCTTTATCTCTTGGTGAAGTAAAACTAGCCTCCCTCGGTGATCCATGGAGCATTCTATTTTCCCTTGGCTTTGCCTCGGGAAAATAGAATGTCCATGCATCACCTCGGGAGGCTAGTTTTACTACACCACTCGAAGTATTTGGATACTATCCGCCCATGGGGAATGGGAAATACTATTCAACAGTTAGGATCATGACGCGGTATTTGTGTGCAAATGAATGCTGGTGTGCGCGTTCAGCGTTGCGCGTAGCGCGTATTGTTCCAAAGAGCCAGCGCTACAGCGTTAGGTTCAAATATTTTCGTGAAGGGGTGATCTGGAAGAGAGAAATAGATTTTCCTTCAGTTTTGTATTGAAAAAAGTTCAAATATATCAAATGACAAGGATCTATATGTCAGCTATATAAAACAAATATTGAGTGGCTTTAAATTGTGAAATGGGAGGAATATTATCGCTCGGTAAAATCTGGACTTTCTCAGTTCACTCGGCTTCGCCTCGTAGTGAGGTACATTATAATTAGTAACAAAAATGCTAAGGATCGTTACACAGTGGACAAAAGCACCATTTTTTCACCAAAGCATCTCCATGGTATACCTTTTCGAAAAAAAGACGGACGCAAAAAATTGAATGATGGAAAGGGCATGTATGACGTCATTATGACGTCATCAGCTAATTATTACATGAAAAAATATAAATTAATAATAATCTTCAGAACTGCGAGCATCTCAACAACAAATTTGGTATCAAATTAAAGGGGACAACAAGATCTTTCATTTGAGTGGTATGTCATTGGGATGGAATATAGTTGAGGGTGATTTTGTGGGTCAAAAAAACCTTTTTGGTCAAAAGACCGTTTTTTGGGGCTAAAATCATGGATTTTGGGTAGTCACTTTGACACTTTGTTTTAACATGCAAACAGTATGTGGTATTGTGAGATGTTGTTTTGAAGTCAGAGAGAAAGGCTCAAATTCTATGCTTAAAGAGTTTTTGTAATTGATTATTAGTATCTTAAATGTTTAGTGTTCCAAAGATAAGCGGAAAAGTGAGGTACCTTGGTGATAAAATCGTGACACGGGTGGAGAAAAGCACCATTTTCACACCAAAGCATCTCCATTGTTTACGTTTTCGAAAAAAAGGTAGGATGCAAAAAATTGGATGATGGGAAGGGCCATTTATGACATCATTATGACGTCATCGGCTAATTATTAAACACTTATACATTAAAATTGAAATATTATCTAGGAATAAGCCATGGATCGTTTTTTTTACATTTAATATACGTTTCTGAGATCAAGGAAATCAGTGCAGTTGCCAATTTTGTTCTTAGACTATCTTTAAAAGATTTAAATACAAATAGTTTGATAAAATGAGGGATGTTTCCTAATTTAATGTATTAAATTAAACATGTATGTACATGTACATTTGACCCTCGCTCCTATCCCCTGTTGTGATCAATGATTCGTTAGTAGCTATTCTACTGTCCCTTCGGCTCCGTATTCTACATCAACTGGCAATGCATTTATTGCCCTAAACCCTTCAGACTCAATAACGGGAACGAATGACAAACGGGCTAAAGAGATTATTACAAACAAAACAAAACAAAACAAAACCGAGAAACAAAAGCAATCCCATTCCCCAGAGAGAAAAATGCAACCCATAGAAACAAACAACCTAGTTGACATACATAGGTCTACACTCAGATTAAATACACACACTAAAGAAAAAACAAGAAAATACCCGGGAACAAAATGAAATAAGACACAATTTTACATTGACGATAAAATAAATATGACTGCAATAATTCCTCCCTCAGTTTTGAAAGAAAAGATTCACAACCTTCTACAATTAACACTTTTTGTAATTTTAACACGGTGACCTCGGAGAACATCAATGAGGCAATCGAACAGTTCTCGTATCTTGTAATCCATGTGTCTACACTCTAAAAACAAATTGGTTGAAATCAATATATTAGTCAAATTCAACCAATGTGGTTGGTAGATATGTGTCCAACCAATCTATTGCTTAAAATAACCAATCTGAAATGGTTTGCTTTTCAACCTATCTATATTAGTCAGAATTCTAACCAACATGTCTTGGTTGTTTTTTAACAAAAGACAAACAAAAACAACCGACCTGACCTG